ATGTAAAACATTGCATTTGAAAAATGAAAAATGATATAAATTGCTGTAATTAAAATAAGCATGTTTGATATTTTGCCCTCTACACAAACACGCATAAAGCTTCAAGATAAGAAACAGCTCTGAACAATTTGTTTTCATTATGTAATACAAATATCTGGGCATATAATTATATCTAATTCAGCCTCTTGAATGTTACAGAATTTCAGTCTCACTTCATCTCAACTCAAGAGGTGTTTCCCAGCATTTTGACTCAAACAAAAAAAGGGAAATTACTATTTGCCAACATCTAAGTACATCAAAAGTAACATCAACTAGTGAGAAGCAGCATGACTAAATACTTTGATTGCAATAATTAATTTCTGTATGTGGCTTTAAAAATACTCACTATTCAAAAACCATGTATATATATCCACTCACAGAGTATGCTCCTATGATTTCAACTGCAGAAATAAAAATACAAAGTCAAAATACAGCTGCAGCTCTCAATATTGTAAAACATTGCAACATTTCTCAATACTGTGGAACATTAGATATATGAAATAAAAACATTTTCCCCTTAAAAGTGCACAGCTGTACTCTAGCAGTACCCAGTGGTCCCTAGTGCCCTACTTTTGCTCTAAGGAATCTTTCTTTCTTTTCCCATGTACATGTAAAGCATGTGCTGGGCACCTTTGGTTTTGCATTGGGCTTTAAGCACTGGGCTCCCCTTTAATTTTTCTTAGAGTACAGCCATGAAAGTCTACCAAAATTTTGTCATCATGAAAAGACATCATATGAAGTAATTTTTCAATAAATGATAGAATTTTAAAATGTCTAAAGGAAAAAAAATAAAAAATGAAGCAAAATAGCATGGGCATTGTAACATGTTCACAAATATAATGTTTTTCCTACTCATTGCAGAAATTCTGTATTGTATAATCATGCATTATAGCCCAGAAAAAGGGAATACTTGAATTAAAGCTGCAAGAACACAGTATGTATCACTTTTTTGTTCCTTTATCATTCTGACTTTTAAATAAAAAATTTAAAAAATGAAATATTTGATATATATCATTCTTGAATTTAAACAATACTTATAAAGTGGTAATCAAAATAATGAGACACTAATAGTAATTGATAATAACAATATGAAGAGGAATAGAGTAGATACTAAACTACATGAAGACATTTATATGTCCATCACGATATAAATGGTCAGAGCTGTTCGCATGAAAGAAGTAAGCTGATGACATCAATCTACACTAAAAACAGTTCTTCATCGTTATGATTTACAAAGTGATGACACAGCCATTGTATTTTTATGGTTCATTTAACCCTTTAACTCCCAAGATCTAATTGTTAATTCTCTCCTGTAGCTGCTACACATTTCTGTGTAAATTGGTTATGAGAACTTAATGCAAGATCAAGATAGCAGCTTCTACTTGATAAGTTTGAATATTCTCATTAACTGTTTGCTGAAGAATGTATGGATATTGTAGGGAGAAGTTTTATGTTAATCACTTCTGGGAGTTAAAGGGTTAATATATTTACATTCATTTACCACTTAAAAATATTCTGAAGTCAGAAAATCATGCTCTATCTTAAAGAATTTCACATGGAATGTATTTTTATTATTCCACAGAGCTGTGATCCTCAGTACTGCGGCACTACAACCTTTGTGAATCTAGTAATCTGCATTGAATCGACTTGATGATGTCGATATCAGAGTTTTAAAATCTTCCATGTGCATTTTCTACCCAACAGTATGTGCATTTATTTCCCATAAAATTTTTGTCACTATGAGTTCAGCAACAAAACACTCTTTTATCATCTGTATCTGACCATTAATTTTGCTGTTTACCATTCTATTAGTTCAATGGCCACTTTAATGCAAATTCAATATTCTACAAGATTTGCATGTACCTGTACCAAAATTAAATTCTGACAATCACGGGGACCAGCTGACATCTAATGCACAACTCTTATTTATTTACTTGGAGGAAAAAATGAAATAAATGCATTCTTTACTTGGAAAAAGAAAATCTCATTTTAAATTTGAAATTTTAGTGCTTTTCCAAAAGACCAATCAAAACTTTTAAACTATAGATGGAAAGACTTAATCCATTTAGAAATGTCTGTATTTCTTATTATTTTTTTTTGTTCTTCAGAAAAGCAAACTCGTGAGTCTCACTTCACTCATAGGATTCAAATTGAATATTTTAACTAAATCTAAACGAATTGTGAAATAAGAAATAAAATTAGATCCCACGGATTACGACTTCAATCAAATCAGCGGTGGAATATACATTGTATCTACAGCAGGAAAACTCTACGAGTAATTGATACTTGTTTAAATGGTATAATGCCCAAACAACAACAGCGGACACCTCAAAAGCATGTCGCCAAACGAGCGGAAAATTTACATGACAGAAGTTTTCCTTATTCATATCCGTTTATACCGTACCTATATGAGGATGCCGCAATTTCTGGCAGATACGGGCCTCCCTCTGTAAATCTGCGAACGGTGAATTAAAAAAAAAGTTTAAATATCTTTTCAACGTAGAATGGATAGGTTACTTTCTGATGAAAATTTTTAACGCGTAAAGAGAACGCCTTGTGGGCACTAGAAGGCTCAACCACCCTGAAACAGAAAGATGCGAAACCACCGGAAAGAAGGTTTGAGAAATACAAACCGCGTGTCCAGAATTAATAACCCCTTCACTGGATATCTAATAACATAAGAGGACATTTCTCGCATCGTTTACTGTTCCCAGTATCTGATAAATAGCGCGAGGAAAAATATTTCAATTCACCCTGACGTGCATGTAGTCTTCGTTCGTTTGCCTAAGGAACATTTTTATTGCTTTCATTTAGAGGTCTATATGGAAAAACACATATTAGAAGAGCAGATTTAAGGCAATCGAACCTTAAGTATTGCATCGGCAAGAAGTCAATAAAAAATCGAACGTTAAATTCACGTTCAGTTCGGTGTTCTTCAAACTTTAAGCACATGCAATATCAAGATGCTTTCATTACATTAGATTTAAACATTAGCAAACCGGATAACAACCAAAATCCTCTTGCACCTGAATATTATGCATAAAATCAGCAAGATAGCGGCATATTACCTTCTTCTGTCAGACCACTCGAGGAGGACATTTTTGCAATATCTACAATTTTCACCGCACACACTCGATCGCTTCTTTTGTCGAAACATCTTCGAATAACACTGAAAGTACCTCTGCAAACAAATTAATAGGTACGCTTTACACTTCACAACATTCGACGGTAATACAAACTACACATTTTTAAGATATCGACAAGGTAATACAAGAAGATAAGAAGTCATAAAACCAAGATTAGGCAAACACGCAAACATTGATGATTCGCAATTGCAACTGCCTGTTACATTTGGTTCTCGAACGACCTTTCAGATATCAGCAAGAATACTAACTTTCCGATTTGTTCTTGAAGGTCGAACCGCGACGGAAACCCGTTTTCCATGTCAAATGTAGACAATTTCCTTCTCAAATTTAAGTTTCTAACCGCTGGATTTCAAGACTTTCGAGCCGATAGCCAAAAGAGCATGGCTACAGTAGTTAAGTTCGGTGCGCGAAGGGAAAATGCCTTGCCCAGATCAGATGAAATGACCACTATAACAGCTGTAAGCTTGGTTACGCAGCTGCTTGGTAGCCACGCCAAATCTCAAATTCCCGATCGTCTCTTCCACAACCCTAACTTGCACGCTTATAGTTAACCGCAAAAAGGAACCAAGGGTTATTGAAGTGGCCCGTGAAATCAATGTAAATTAAAATTAAGATAGGATTTGAGTATGTCTAAATGAAACGCGCGTGATTTTGTTTGTTTGTCTGTTTAATCGTGAAAATCCATTAGTTTAATTCTTTTGCGCCAAAAAGTCTCAAGTTGTTTGTGTTCGATTCTAGAAAGCTCCAGCCTGAATGATTTAGCTACAGAAAGGTCAAGACTAATCCAAGTATTGGCAACTAAGGACTGAACGATGCCGTAAAAATAAGCTGCTCATAGCCATTTTAAATACTTCGATCCCCTTTCAGACGATGACCTAAGGTCTGTGAACGGACAAGTCTGTAATGACCCCCAGGGGACAGCCGACACTTCAGAAAAAGACTACGTACGTATCAAACTTCGTTCTGAAAAGCCCTGGAAACGAGGTTGGCTCGCATGCACAAACGGTTGCGATGTGTAAATTTGTTAAAATGAGAAAGCGACAAGAAAGGGCTAACGCTAGAACGTCAGCGTTAGAAAATTTTTACGGTGGTCAAATTACATTAGAAACTCAGTTGATTACACCAAGTAATCTCGTAATTTACCCCCCACCGATGCGGCAACACAGTACAAACTTACGTTTACATCCTTTTTTACCAAAATTAAGAAGGATTATGATTCGTCTATAATAGCTCTTATTCGACGTGCATTCATATATATTTGACAATTAGATTACCTCACTTCTAATATGACAATTAGATTACTTTACTTCTAACATGACAATGAGATTAGCTTACTTCTTACATGACTTTGACTGGTCTAACTGTGCTGTCGGCTGCGCTAAAGTCTAATTTATTTAGAACCAACATCATGACCAGCTCCCAGTTGGCTTGTTAGCGGTATTGCAGAGGTCATGGGTTCAAATCCCGTACAGGCCTGAATTTTTTTCAGGCCTTATTTTCACTACTGCCTAAGTAGCGCACATTACTGCGAGGATCACTTTCATTCACGTCTTTATCCGCAGTTCAAATATATGACTTTCATATATTCTTAACCGTTTAAAGTGTAATTTGATAAACATAACGTCTTTCTAGAATCAAGCACTCATACATTTTACTGTTTTACTCCTAAAAATTGCACTCAATATGTTTTTAAAACAACCACGTAGTCTTCTAATAATACATTCTTAACTAAACTGTGCATGCGTTCAAGACCGAAATTAGGCGATAATAGAGACTGGGTCGAGTGTGATACAATGTATTGTGGGTAATCACAAAATGGCGCCGACCTCGACCCGTTCGATTCAGAAAGATAGCATGTAATTATGTTTTGTCAACATGTGAGTAGATTACGGCAGCGTTTTGCTGCCAGATAGCTTTGACAGTAATGACAGTTGAACACCCATCAACCGCTAATAAGGTAAGATTTTCTACTGCTAAATTCAGTTCCTTTCTTCTCGATAGCGTGTATTTGATGAAGATTTGGTATTTGATTCATAGTAGGCTACGTACTGTTCACCAGTCTAGTAGTTAATGTATGTAGACCTGATTCTAGTGAGTAAGACATGGTTGATCGAACTGGAAAGATACTATTGGGATTTTTGTTAAGGAAATCCGGCATCCAAAAGGTAAAACAGTGTTAAGAAAGGCCAGCCAATGTACGATCGAAAAAATTGACGAAAAATCTTAAATTTTGAAGGATCTCAATATAAAGAGACGTTAATGAAACGAACGAATCAAACTCCACTGGACATTGATATTGTAAAATTTGCTATATTTTAACATCTTAGTCTGAGTACTAGATTAAATGTTGTTATGTTTACCTCTGTGCCACATGATCCAGTTGTATGATCATGGCTTTACTTGTCATGGTGTCTTCAACTGTACATGGAAATTTAACTTGATCCTCAACTTTTGAAATAGTCAAAAAATTTTTTCTTGTGACTTCCATAGCAAAATGATCAGATACAAGTTTTAATTGCATGGTTCTGCTGTGCTTTTAAAAGGGACCAATATTTGTAGTTAAAGAAGTTACTCACCCCACAACAGTAATGACCAAAAAAAGGTTTCAAGTTAAAAATTGATTTCACTTTATCTGCTAAGCTGTGTATTACAAGAAGGGCTGGGTGTCCAAGTACTCTTGTCTCAGAAAACTAGGGCAGAGAGAATTTAACAACAAGTTGCCAACACAGCAATAAGAAAAAAAGCCATTGTATTTATCAGTTGAGAAGGTCTATCACTGTTTGAACTTCTCAGCAGATCAGTTATCAAATCTTTCAGACAGAACAGAATTGTTTTCATGTGTACAAATTTTGTGTGAGTTTTTCAGTTTTTTTTTTCTTTTTGGTTGAGTTGCTCTTTAGAGGTTTGTTCAGTTTAGATTTAAGAGTTAACAGTGCTTCTATTTGGTGGTGTCCTTTTTGGCCTTCTTCTTCTTCTTCTCAGAGAGAAGTACAGTTGAACCTGTATTATGCGGCACAATATTAAATGGTCATCCTATATTGTGCAGTTGGTTGTCAAAGTAACCAAATTGTTTCCCCTTAGGTACTGTAATTTTCATCTCTATTAGACATCCCAGTGGCCAGTTTGTATTTTGTTCTGCTTGTATCAAAGGGTGACGTAAGGCAGAATCACTTAAATAAACTAATCATACTCTCTTAAGTAAAGTTTACTCCATGTTTATCTCCTGGAGTCAATATTATTACTTTGAATTAAGTTGTTATCAGTGCATAACAGATAACATGTCTCTCTCTTCTTTGGACTGTCAGGACAAATATTACATGCCAAAAAACACTCACTCATTTGCTGGTCACTCCACCATACCCTGTGGGTGACCACTTAAAACAGGTGTGACTGTATTCCATCAAGGATTTGGGGGGGGGGGGGGAGGGTCTTGAGACCAATTGAGTAGAAATGAGCAAGAGAAAGGATGTATTCAAGAAGGTCAGTTGAGGATTAGATTTTTAGAAAATGAATTTTGGGATATAAATTATCAAAGTATTTACAAGAAATGGGTACAAGTAAATATCAAATGATGTCAATAAAAACTTCACCAGTGTCACATTTAGTATGTGATTCAATGTTGATTTTGTAAATATTTTGATGGTTTGTTTTTTCTTATTTATGGTCCATGAATTCAGGTTATTGTTAATACTGATGAGCTAAATCAGATTGTAGAGGCCACGGGTGCTTCCTATGATCAAGCCAATCAAGCCTACATTGTAAGTCAATCAGCAGACACTGATTTTCTTCTTAAAAACAGAACAGTTTAAGTATCAGGTAGTGAATATTCTGAATAGGAGAGTAACATTATTTTGATTGTGAAGTTTGATCATCTGGGTTAGATCAGTAATGAGATAGACTACTGTTGGTAGCAATGAGTTACATTTTGACAACCTTGGTAGAGGATGTCATCATTGGAGCCAACTTGCCTTCAATGACTACTTCCACTGAGGTTACTATTCAATTGTCAGTCAGTACTACCTACAACAGTCCTTCTCAGGACCACCCTTGAAACTCTTTGCATAACCCATTAGACCACTCAATTCAGACTCTGCAGCAATAACCAATTGGTCATGTCTTCTTCCTTTCTATATTTAGACCCTTCACACCCTAAAATCAGTATCCATATTCTCTATAATCTTTTCTATGCATTTCTTTTGGAACTGACAAGGAGAATTCATTTAAAAATCAAAGTATCTTTAGTTGACATTCATTTTCTTTATTCTTATGATCTTAATGAATGATTCTGTAGTGTCACTTTAAGGAGAATTTAGATTAAAAGGTTAAATTTGATACTGGAATTGATTTTATAATTCTGAATTCCTTTTGTTGCTGTATCTTCAGGCCAGTGGCAATGACCTTCAAAGAGCAATAGCAATGTTGACAGACACTCAGAATCCTAATGCCTCATTGAAGGTGCTTTTCACATTTTGATGTCATGTTTCTGGTATTTGGCAGGGTTGTTGTTGGGCACTGGCTGCCAGTGAAATTTTCAGCAGGAAAAAGTAGCTTTGACTTGCATTAACTCACTAAAGCACATAGAAGATTGTCATCTAATTGAAAATATTTAAATATAAGTCTTACAAACTTTAGTATTAGTTTTGCAAATGGCTGGGAAACAAGTGTTTTCACTAACCCTAAGGTCCAGTTTTTTATTGCACACAAAGCACCTTCTTGGATGCACCATAATTGAGCCCCCTCACTTGAAATTTCAGTTGGTAGCCTAAATTTCTCATCAACAATCTTGTTAATGGTGTGTTTCTGTTTCTTGGATGTGGTTGTACTTCATACTTCTAGGTATGCATGGATTGACTTAGTAGCTTGTAAACCTATTGGCTGATTATGAGCTGTAAGTTTTTTCTAAGTGCTGGCCACTGGCATAGTTCAGTAGCTGAGAAAGATTGGGCACAACTCTTGTTTCCAGATCTCCCTTTGAGCCTTCTCAGTTCTGATCTTAAATGACAGACAATTTCTTTAGTTACAACCCTGAACCAGATGAGGTCTGTCAAAGCACCACAGGAAATTTGGAAAAGCTGATGATTTTAGTGTTCCCTTTGTCAGTCAGAAAATTGGGGGTTGTGGATATGTGTGTGTTTGTGTAATTGTATATTAGAGTTAATGCCATGGGAGATAACATGGTAATGCATGATTCATCACATAATCAATTCATGAAACAAAACGTACATTTGCTTATTGTAAAGGGAAGCAAAGTGCTGATTTGTAAGATAGATATTTGGTTTTAAGGTTTATGACTTTCTATCTCTCATGTCAGGTGAGCTTTAGGCTAGCTTATCTCCTACTGTGGGCTTGTTCAATGGGTATATGGGATAGATAAATGAGAAAAGAAAACAACTGTCTTTTTGTCTCCAACAGGGTGTTGCAAACCAAACAGGTGAGTTGTTTTAAGATCTCTAACAGTACATTCATGTGTGCTTATCACACAGATTCATGAAAATACACAAATTCTTTATTCCACAAGTCGGCAGATTTCCAGAAAACATTGGTTACCAGTGGCTTTAAAAAACTGCACTAGATTAGGTTAGAAAGTAGGTTTTAGAGGACAAAATTGATTGAAAAACAAGTTTATAAACTGCCCCAATGTTGAGAATTTTTTCTAGAGTGAAACCAGCTTATTGACTGTTTTGTTTCAATGACATCCAAATATCCAAATAGAAATTCCAAGGAACTAATATATGTCTTATTTAAAGACAGAAAATTAATCTTAATATGTTGATCTCAGCCCATCTAAAGTCACCTTTATGGTAAGGTGTAAACTTTTGATAACCAAGTGCCACCATTTATGATTGATACCAAATTCAATTCAATTTTCAATAGGAACAGGAACACAGACCTTTATAGGACCGCAAAATGCTCCTGGCAGACCACAAAGTAAGATTTTGTTGATTATTATCAATTACAGTTATATGTAGTGAAAGCAATTTTCATTATCAATCTAGAGTTAGTTTTACTCTTCTAAGCACAGCAAAGCGTGCTTATTGCAGTTTGTGTGTTTTGTGTTTAAACAGGGTTTTACTACAGCATATTGATAAATTTGGATTTATAAAGGTGCCCTTTTTTTCAGATGCTTTGAAACTTTCAAACGAGGTCATTGTGTTGACCCATGTGGTATTTTCATGCCTCTTTAAATTGAACACTTTGTACCAAATTTCCATCGATCAGATATAAGTGACGCCCATTTTGAATAAAATAGCAGGACTGTACATGCTTACTAACCATTCAACATCTTAGTATTATTTTCTTCTTAATATAATTTTTAATCATTTTAGCTGATGTAATTGACCTAACGAAAGAGACAGAAGACTTGGAATATGCAATTGCTCTTAGTTTACGAGAGGCACAGGTGTGGTATACACTTTGTTATATTAAAATTTGTTGGGAGAATGCTGGAGACAATTAAAATTGCTGGTTTAACTTATTTTGGCATTATTTAGAAACTAGACTAGGATACCAATGAAATAGCTAATTTAGAAAAGATGCACCTAGTTATTTACATTTAGGAACCAAAATTTACAGTGATGTGCAACACAATGCAAGAAGAATTCTTCCCTTCTTTTAGAATTAATCAAGACAGTTTAACTCTAATTTTCCTTTGGCAAAAGAATTCAAAATAACATCAAACCTGGTTGAAATCTGTTAATCTAAGAAATAAAATTGAGCCACAGCATGTTTCAATTAACAAGTTAAAAAATTTATGAACTGTTGGTGCAACTTACATTCTTAAGTTTATTTTCTTTTGATCTTAGGGTATAACTGTAGAAGAACAAGATATAAGCAGGTACAATATTTTTCAAACTTCAAGATCATGTTTAACCCACCCTTTACACCCTAGCATCAGAATGAAAGTTCTCCATACTGATCTGTACACATTTCCTAAGATGCTGTCAAGGAGAATCTGTTTAACAATCAAGAGCTTCTTGAGTTTGGGATCATTTCTTCTATTCTCAAGACCTTAATGTGTGATTCAGGGGTGATACTGTTGGGAGAAATTAGATGCTTATCACTCTTAGGGGTTAAAGGGTTAAGATTGTTCACCATTTATGGGTCTTTTTACTTTCTTCTAATCATTCATTACATGATTTTCATTTCCTAAGTTATTGAAAATGGTTTAAATATTCATTAAGTACTAAACCTCTAACTGATAAATACATAGCTATAATTGCTCTTCCTAATTAAATGGTCATAAGCTGTTGGTGCCATTGTCAAGGAAAAAGCATGAAATCATGTGGTCATATTTATCCATCAAAGAATTGGTGTGTCAAAAGAATAAAACTTTTAGATAAGTGTTTCACTTCTATAATTATGCTGTCTTGTTACATTTAGTGGTCAGTGATATTTTTTCCAAAACCAGGTTTTCATATGCAATTTCTTCATGAGCCACTGAAGAAAACTCATTTTGGCATTTGTGTTTGTAGGGTTTTAGAAGCCAGTTTAGCAGAAAATAAATCTGGTCTAAAGCGGAAGAGAGGTGATCCTTGGGTGAGGTTTGTGGATCCTGTGAATCCTTATGAGCGTCAGCGCTTAGATGGGTGCCCTGTGGGCCTGAAGAATGTAGGGAACACATGCTGGTTTAGTGCTGTCATTCAGGTTTGTATATCTGTTACTACAGAAATGTTGACAACTTGGAGACTCATCAGTGTCATCATTTTGGTGCATTTCTAAAGAATTCAATACTTTGGTGTATTCTTGAAGACTCATCAGTTCATGCATTTCTCTTGCTAGCAAATTTCCTACTAAACAAGAGGCACACTTTATTCCAGAACATATATGATTTTTATCTCAAATGTGAAGTATGAATTGTACTCTTCTTGTGACAATTTGAGATTTCAAAGATTTAGGTAACCCTTGCAAGTTGTATTCTAGTATAAAAGAAATTAGGACTGAGATGCTATAACAGTAGTTTATGACTAGTCCCTCTTTTTCTAGGAAGACCCATAAGTAAAAAAAATTCAGCCAAAAAAAAATTGATATTGAGCACCAACTTACACCATACAGGTTTTTGTGTAAGAAAAAGCTTGCCATAGATGTTTGATCTGAAATTCTTACCCACTTGTTCTAGCTATATTTTCACAGAAAGGAAAGAGTAGGTATACTGCATTCCCAATCACTACTCCAGTTAACATAATCATATTTCATGGCTGGTGTTAGTAAACAGGGATGCTAAAGAAATCCACATATGAAGCAGACAAAAGATTTGTATTAAGACAAACCTTTGAACTGCTTTGCATGGAACAATGAAACATCTCTTACTAGTCAAATACTAACAGCAGTTTGACCCGGGCCTCATCTGTTGTCCATTTCTTGTTTTAATTTTACTTTCAAGATCTTGCCAGTATTTCTCCTTACTGTCTGCCTTACAAATGCTATGATGTTAGTCCAGAGAATTTGACATTGGATCAACCACTAATCTCCTCATTGATATTTTTCTTTATTCTCATCACTTGTCTTTTGATATTGTATTGTTATTGTAAGGAGAATTTCTGCCCTGGTTACTCACATGAAGCTATCATACTGATGAAACTCTTTCTCTGCCTTTTTGCAATAAACTTATTATTATTACTATTATTATTATTGTGGCTAAAAAATACTGGTCCTGACTTTAGAATATAAATCATTTTACCCAGTAAATTTCTTATCAGTGTTTCCTGGAAATGCCCTTTTCTTTTTCCTTCCTACTCAACAGTCATTATTTCATCTTCCTGTTTTCCGACGACTGGTTCTCAACTATACTCCTCCACTGGATCCTCAGGAAAAACCTGAGGTGAGTGATGATCTTTTCTAGTGTCATTTAACTGTTGGTTGGTTGACTCTGAATCTGTATGTGTCTGTGGTATTTACATGTACAGTGTTTAGTTGAATCCTGTTGTTGCAGATGAGATTCAAAAGACTTTGTAAGGCTAATATTCTTATGTACATTTGTCAAGAGGTCAGATACTTTTCCATTGGGCTGTCTGGTCAACTCTTGATCTATAACTGAAATTATGGTGAACTTTCTATGCTGGAGATTTCAATTGTAATTCTCCTCATCCTCTGCCATATAATTATTATATTGCTAGTGCTGAGATCTCAGTACTTATTTACTTTCAGTTATATTGTGTTGATATTGGCATGAGTAATTATGCTTGGGTTGGTAAAGGGTGTGAATGGGCTATTAGAAGCATTGGGTGTTATGTGAACAAATTTTTATTTAGGGATGAAATTCAGCTTTTTGTTTCCTTTTTTGTGATAAAGTAAATGTGACAACATCAGCTAATTTTGTGTGGGGATTTTCCCTGTTTCACTTGCTGTCCTTTTTATTGTGTTTCACAGGATGGTTATCGTGTGTCTTTCATGACAGAGCTGCGATTCTTATTTGCCTTAATGCTTGGTAGTAAAAGAAAATATGTGGATCCAACCAAAGCTGTACAGGTGTGTGTCTTTACTTGAACTCTAAAGCACAAAAACAAACAAATGGGCGTGAGCAACCAATTGGGGGCTTTCCTTAGCTAAGCCAGTGGAGAAAATAACAGAAATTTTAATTTTTTTTTTTTTGGGAGGGGAATGAAATTTCTTCCTTCAATTGATTGTCAATGGCAGTGACCTGTACTGGGTTTATGACTAGTACTTACTCTCTAATTAGCCCAAACAATTCTTTCCCAATGCAGGTTTTTTTTCCATAACTTGGTCCTGCCTCAGGATGTCATCTTAGTTCACTAGAGCTGGCATGTGTTCTCTGAATTAGATCATCACGTTTGCACTTGTTGATAGAGTAGATTTTAGTGGGGTTTTGTTGGTGACCACATCTTCCTTTAAAAATTATTTGCTTGCAGATATTAAAGGAAGCTCTGAAGTATAATGGGAGTGAAAGTAATCCTGGAAACCAACAGGTATATACATTTAAGGACCCTTGTAGGAAATGTAATTTGGAAAACAAATGCGGCGTGATCAAAATCACAGAATACAAAATGAAAGTCTAATGACTGTATTTACTCCTTTTCCTTCATTGTTCACATTCTAGTGATAATTGATTGTGTTTTCTCTTCTCTTTTTTTTTCGTCCATGGCCCAAGGGTCTTGCAATCATTGTTGACAATGTCCCTATCGATTTTTGCCTAGTTTGCAGGCCTGCCCTCATTATTAGCGCTTGGCATAAGCGTTTCTTCGTCTTCGGGGAAGTATGAGGCTTTGAGCAACGCAAGCCTTGCTAATAAGGAAACTTCATAATCAGTGCCAGACCCTTGGTAAACCTCTCCCCGACTCGCCTCAAATTTGTCCGCGGGCGGAGAAACGCGCGTCTTTCAGCGCTCATATTGAAGGTTGATTGCTGCATTTCTTTTATTTTTAGGATGTCAGTGAATTCACTCATAAGTTGCTGGAATGGCTGGAAGACTCATTTAAAGTCAACCACAACAACGGCATTGACGGCAGTCCAATTAGGAAGTAAGTAATGATCACAATGTCTGACATCTAATTCTTGAAAGAAACATGAGTATTATTGGTGTTTGCCGAAGAAGAAAACAAAGGTTTCTTTATGCTAAGGAACTGATCGTACCGTTATGGTAAGCGTCTTGCCATGACAACACCTCGTTATTTGGCTCGAAATGATATGAGCCGCCAATCAGGGTATGATTTTGCGGGTCTTGAGTTCTATAAAGGGTACATAATTTCACTATCAAGCGCCTTGAACAGGTTGTCTTTTGGATTGGAAGCCTCGGGTTGGATTTGATGTAATTTAGTTGTAATCAACTCTTGAATGTAGCGTGATTGTGTTTCCTAGTTAGAACAACTCTTCCACCGAGGGCCGGTTAATTGAATGAAATGTATCGTCTTGGTGTTATATATTTCTTCAAGAGTTAGCCTTTTAATATAAATATAGGTTTTTCCTGTGTTGACACTCGTCACACTAGTCAGCCTTGAGAATAAACGTTTGGCCAAATGAAGATGATTTAGAATAAACAGGGTTCGTACGGGTCCTGAAAAACCTGGAAAGTCCTGGAATTTTATTTTGACATTTTCCAGGACTGGAAAGTCCTCGAAAAAGACTACAGGTCCTGAAATGCCCTGGAAATCTGCTTAACAAAAGCAATAAGAAAATTCCTGGAAAATTCCTTGAAATTTTTTTCTGAAAAAGGGTACGAACCCTGAATAAAGCTTTGCTAGATAACAGCTAAACTTTCTTTGAATGACCAGCTCGTGGTTGTTTGGTTTGGATGGAAAATCAAGAATGTGTTTTTCACTTGGTTTGTAAAAATATCAGCATTTAAAAAACTTAACGTGTTTTGTGTAGACACAAAGAACACCATTAATTTTTTTCGCAGCGGCAAAGACCTAAATCCTGTGGTCGAATTGTTTTTTGGCGAGTCTAACGTGGAAGGTGTCTACGAAGGTGAGTTTATTTGCGTTACCTGAGTGTGCAGTTTAGTTATGTCGAATGATTACTTCTTACTGACTGAGCGCGAGGGGCGCGCTGGGACACATTAATGGTCCGTGGTGGTGGCATTACGCGAGGTCCGTACAAAAAGGACCGAGGGCCAGTATTCACCTGTACGGCTAAAGCAAGCCAGATTTATAGGTAGTTTGCTATAAGGCACTCGAACCAAACTTGTGTATTTGAATTTGTTTTCTTTCGCGAACTAAAATACACGACGCGGCTTTTAACCGTTTCCGTGGAAACGGTCCTTGTGGCAAAAGACAGACCATTTAAGAACCAATTAGAACGCTCGGATTTACCTCAGAACTACTTTGCCATATGATAGAGAATGTTATATGCGGTTTGAGGAATTGTTTTGTTTCATTTGATTCGGTAACGGAACACTTTCAAATTTTACCAAAGATCTTCTCAAGGAATCCCTGCTCTTAAGATGGAAACTACTTGATGACGAAAAAGAATCATTTATCTGTTCGAGAGACATTTACTTAAAGGCCGCTGTGTGCCTCTAGTATTCCGTCTCTCGCAGCGAAATAACTTGCGTCAATCATCAACTGTCGGCGACAGAAAAAAAATCCTAGTTCTGCGTGTACTCTGGGAAGTGATGCGCCCGGGCGATTTTTTTCTTTTTCTTTCGGAGGATGGAGGGGGGGGAGGGGATTATGCAAAGGAATTATGCAAAGGAAGGTTCGATTCCTTGTGGGGATTCAGACATTTTCTGTGTTCCACGTTCATCTCACTCTTAAATGATTTTGTCGGAATCAAAGGTAATACTAAGTATACAGGTAAACTGGATCGTATAGTTTCACTACATGTGTGCTCCATATGCTTTACTGTAGGTAAGACCTTCAGCAAGAAGGAAACATTTGGAGCGTTTCCCCTGCAAGTTCAAGGCTATGGTGACCTTCATGACAGCTTAGAAGGAGCTATGGCTCAAGTAGAGATTGAACCAGTAGGTCCCGAAGGATCACAAAAGTCTGGACAGGAGGTGGGGTATATCGGCTGTAATCTGTAACCTTCGCTTGAGAAGCCTTGATTTCAAGGTGATGAACTCCAACAGAGTCAGTTTGGGTACAAGCCTGAAAATGGGTTCATTACCGTGGTGGTTAAAAAGAGATGCTTCACGCTCACAATCCTTTTTCCAGCCTTGAGTAAAACCGGCCACCAGCAAAATCGTCCAAAAATAGTTTTTTTAAAACCACTCACATTTCACCAGCAAACTCTAAAAATGCAAAGCGAACGTAGCTTTCTTAATATGTCTTAATGCAACAGACGTTTTACATTGGTCTTAACGTCAGAGTGGTTGATTCACAGACGATGCGGAGCTTCTGCACAAGGCACTGATCCCTTCATAAGCGACTTTGTGACTAAAAATCAGATGGGAGAACATGTTATCGTGTGGCATTGTTCAGCACCCGAAGGACTTTTTCTGACAATGTTTTACAGCGTAGCTTGGCTGTGTTAGCTACTTTCATACCAACATTTTAAGTTGGGTCGTTTTGGATTCTGTTGCTTGCTTAACCTGAAGATTTCTCCTTTCTTTTAGCACTGGTTCACCCGTCTTCCAGTTGTACTCAAGTTCATGCTCTCTAGATTCCTGTTCAATCAATCCACAGGCAGAGCAGAAAAAATACATGAGAGATTTTTGTTCGACCGAGTTATCTTCATGGACCGGTAGGGATTTGTTCGAATGTAACCAAACCAAACGTTTAATTACAAAGTCTGCGACATTCTGAGATGATTTACTCCCTTCAATTGATGTAACGTAGTTTAACTGATTACTTTTTCTGATTGAAGGCGTTCAGTTTGTAAAATAGAGCGAAATAGTAAACAGCGTGATAGTAATGCATGAGTGCCGAAAAAGCGAGAGAGGTCTGGGTCGGGTCTCGTGATGAACGACCCGTTTTTACTAAATGGACGCCTGGGACATGCTGATTCTATGCTGAGTAGTGCGTGTTCGTGAGTAATTACGTTTGAGTCTGATATTTCTATAATTTGTTGTGCTTGGCACAGGTACATGGAGCCTAACAAGGAAATAACGAGAACGTACAGAGAAGAGGTGAAGAAATTAAAAGAACGAAGAGCCAAGCTTAAAGGCAGCCTTGAAAAGTGAGAATTCAAACTCTATTGTCATTGAGTGACGTTTGTGTATGGTTAATGAGTCGATGTCACGTGTTTCCAGTTGCGTCATGTCAAGAAAAAAGTTGTGATGGTGATCGTTGAAACATTAACATCATCTCTCGATTCACCAATCCGTTCTTTGGTTGATTATTTGCAATATTGATTACGTTTTTCGTTGCAGAGCTCTGACAGAGGGGCTTGACCAGTGTAATTGACAATCTAAGGGAACCTGTGACTACAACCGATAGATTTGCTTGAAATCACGCGATTTGCCAATTGACAGTACTTGAAATCGATCCGAAAGGCTATACAAAGCGGAAAAAAAATTGATGTGACACGGATAGATTCTTAACAAAGCTTACTAGAACTTATCATTGCAGCACGGCGTTGGTTTTGTAAGAAAAAGACTCTCGTCCCATGGTACAAAGTTTTCTTTACGCGTTACCTCCTTATCATATTTTAGGTACCTTAAGTACGGTCAAGGTTCCAGACGTTGTCCTATCCAAGAAGTTCTAGACAGTGCTCTATCGTTCGTTCAAAGCACTCCTCCATCAAGCGATGAACTCGATTCTGATGTAGATGTAGATATGAAAACTCCTCTGTCAGGCTCACCCACACCCATGAGCACCATGGGAATGGTGACAGATGCACACTCACCTACCCCTTCTCCGTGCCCTTTGTCCGATGTACGGTGGACCCCAGCGCCTCGTCACGTAACAGAAACGGAAGTGGCTGTGCTGGAGGGCTGCCTAAGGCGGTGGAAGCAAGAGATGGAACAGGATGCTAAAGGTGAAATATTGCTGTGATTTAACTTCATATACTCGTTAATAATGCAATAATATATAGATTTAGCCAAGCCTAAAAGCGGAGCTCGCATTTTTTTTCCCGCACGTTTCAAGGGCAAAACGCCTTGCCCCGGCTAGGACTAGAACCCGAGTCGTCCGACTCGGAGCCCAGTGCACTAACCACTGGACTACTGAACAAAGCCGTGGCGTTGGCGTGCCCGCGGTACAGTTGACCACGCATGTTAAAAGTAGCACCTTGTACAGTCGTACGGTCGTACATCCAAATTTTTTCGGCTTGATGGGTTATTACTATTTTGTATAATTATGGGGCTACGCTCTGCGAGCTCCGCTATCAGGGATGCTGGTTGAAAGAGCAAAAGAAGACATTGTATGTAGGCTAATGATAGCCTATGAGCCTTTCTTCGCCCACTCGAGATTTGGTTTTAGCCCGCGAGATCCGCACGACAATATTAGTGCCAGTCCCCCCGCTGGCTTGCTTCCCCGTCAAGGCCTCAGCGTTAAGGCGCAGCGCTTATATCGAGCTGCTCACAAGCTGGTTTGACAGAGGTTATTTGACCTGGATGAGGAAGCCCAGATGGAGAATAGTCTCTCAAGCATGCAGTCGTAGCCAGAGAGATCGTAACCTCATTCCAACTGGTTGCAGGAACGTGAAAAATCCTTGGTACTGTTTCACTTCAGTTGCAAACCCAAAAAGAAGACAATGTTCGTGCGCAAAACAGTAGCTCTTTCCATACGGTGGCTATGTGATGTTAAGAAATCGACTAAATCGCTAAAGGGGTTGTTATTTTTGATGGATTTTTCATGGAGCTGTTTCATCAAACAGTGGGCCGTAGTGAAGCGGTAATGTGTTTAACTTAGAATTTATAATGACTGAAGCCTTGATTTTTATTTTGTTGTTTGGAAGATCTAAACTCCCACCTTCGAGAAACCGAAGACGCCATTTCCAATATTTATGACGATGCACATCTTAAGAAAGTGAGTCGAACTTTGTTCTTTGAATAATTAGGTGAACACACAAAAAAGATGGGCTGTGATGTGGAGAGGTCAGCCATCGTCTCTGACCCACATTCAGCATTTAAAAATATTTAAATTAGTTGAAGAAACTCTTTAGTTTTTTCTTCAGATTGGAAGAATCGTTCTTTATCATCCTCCTAGTTATTATCAGCTCTTTTCATAGGCAAATACAGAATTCATGACAGAATGAAAGTCAGAAATAGGTGCGGTGCGGTGTTGTATGGGTGTGGTAACTTCTTGATGAGTTTGACTCTCTCAGCTTGAAAGAGGTTACGAAGCGTTAGATCGATAACAGAGATATGCCAGAGGGGCGAAGATGGAATATTGTAGAAAATGAACTCACTCTGTTAATAACGAAATTGAAAACTTTAGGCTTTTCTATATGTACAAACAGGGACATAACCCCTTTTTCAGTTTTACTTGCTTTTTTTCCTTTAAGTTACCGTACCGTCTTCACGCAGTCCTTGTCCACGAAGGTCAAGCTTCAGGCGGCCATTACTGGGCATACATTCAAGATCCCAGTCAACAGAGATGGTGTAAGTTCAACGACATCACAGTCAGTGAAGTCACGTGGGAAGAGGTATCTCGTGAGTCTCTGGGTAGCTATCGTAACGTGAGTGCGTACTGCCTCATGTATATTGACGCTCGTCGCGAAGGTTGCATTGGCGCCGGTGGTAGTATACATGAGTTGCCATTGGACTTGAAGGAGCTTGTTGATAAAGATAACGCTGAGTTTGAAAACGAGATGAGAGATTGGGACGAGAAACAACTCGCGAAGACGGGTAAGAGCGGGGATTCAATTTGTCCTTTTTGATTATATTAAAAAAAAAAAGCGACCCGTTCAAAAGGTACAACCTAAACAGAAGTTTCGTGAAGAAGAGGAGAAAAATAAGAAAATCATTATGATTCTGTAATTTTAAACGCCCACGTACCGTGCAACTTGTAGTTATCTGGAAGTTGTTTTCTATCGAAACTAACGACCCCCAAACTATCGATTTTCTTTACCGGGGCAAGAGGTAAATGACAATGCCTTCAATATATTTCTTTTGAGTCGTAAGGGCACAGATTAAGGCAAGTAATAAACAACGATGACCTTTTTTGTTTTGGATGGATCGTTTGACCGACACACGGTGTGAGTTAGAGTTATCCATTGGCTGATAAACTGACTAGGCTCGCTGACTGTCTAACTGACAAACTGACTGACTGATTGGCTAAGAGACTGAGTGACTGTTTGACCGACTGACTGACTGACGGACTGATCTACAGAATTACTGACTGGCTGACAGACTGACAGACTGACAGACTGACTATTTAGCTAACTGATTGATCAATTCTTGATTGTATTTCCCGCACAGAAAATCAATGTAAAGCGATAGTTCCCAGACCAGACGTTGTTATTGAATCTGAGTCCAGTACGCAGACACACGATACACCAGAAAATGAAGAGACCTCCGATCTGAACTCACTGGCCGAGGCTGCAAGGAGCCTGGGCGTAGAGGAAGCACTGACAAAGTGGTGCATTGAACAAAGGACCAATCTGGAGAAGATCTCGCGAGAGTACTCACCAGACCACCCTGGAGATGTGCGCCTAGAGCATTTTGCAATTTATTTAATGAAGTGTAAAGCTCAAGAAAAGACAATCAGTTTGGCCATACTGGAACAAGTTGTGGATGATATCAAGACACAGGAGGAGGATACGTGAGTTTAGAAACCGAGAGAAGAGAGGGAATGGGAAATTCAAGGAAGTTGGAGAGTAAAAATTGGGTGGAAGAGTCAAGATGGCGATTTAGTCGGGTGGGGTGGGGTGGAAGGGGACATTACGGAGGATAGGAGTGCAGCTTAGTGTCCAATACCTGCCAATAGTTTGTTAGTATTACGTCGTGCCTTCGTGTAAAAACTATGGTCTGTTGGCATGAAATATTTGACCGAAACGAAAACAGTGTTAGCTGCTTATCAGTGACCAGTCAAAGCCGAGATAGTGACACCAGTGACATACAGATAAACACGTTAATGAAATTGATTGTCTTTTATTTATCTTCAATTAAGGCTCCTTCTGGTGAAACAGTGGGGACACAACAGATTGAATGCAGAAAGAGAAGGAACAAATATTGAATTCCAGGTTACGCAAAATTTCGGTACATTTTTTCATCACAAACCTGCTAGTGTTGACTATCTTCTTCGTTGACTAAGCCACGTCCATTTTCCCGCGCTCAAGCGCGTTCACCTCTGTTTTGAGTGCTTATTGTTCCTTTCTGTTATATGCCATTGTACCTATTGAAAGTTACGATGACTTGACTCTGTTGTCAATTGCGCATTCAGTTGTAGGAAGACTCTTCTCCTAGGGTAATTTTCTCGTAAAATCCATCAGGTTACAATCATTTTAAATTTAATGGGTAACATTTGCCCTCCCGAAGTGCAACCGGGAAAGCTACAGTAATCGATCTTGGTACGATAGGGGATCATGGTTTCATGTATCTACTTCCTTTTCAGGGTTGGAAAGAGAAATACAGCCAATTCCAAAAAGTGAATTCTTGTTTCCTGACGGGTCTTGAGCATTTACACAATTCGAAGTACGTACAAGTTAACTACACCAATCAAAGCTCATCACTTTTGATCCAAAGAATTAAAGTTTGTAACACCCTATACAACATCATAGTACACTCTTTGTGAAGCAGAGCTCAGTAGCTTTATTTAGGAGACATTTATGCCATTTAGTAAATTTAAGCGTGTGCCCTCTTAGAATGTCTGGAATCTCATTGGGTGACTTGACCGTTAAATGATCACCCACTCTCTCCCCCTTTTCTGGAATCTAAGGAACCTAAAACGTTAATTTTACATGGTCATTGGCTTATATATGTCAACTCTCCTTAGACTGAACAATTCCTTCTGTGTATCATACCTTTTTATTTTAAAACTTTTTCCAGTTTTAATTTGCTGTTTTGTTCTAAGGTCGTGGAATGAACTCGAAATTTAAACCCTTTCTACCATTTAAATTATTGGTAACTCACTTGTCAGAGGAACTACACCCAACGTTAAGTTTTCAAAAATGATTCTGTCTGCAGATTTCGTGAAGCATTACCCTATTTGGTACACGCGTGTACACTGAATTCCAAGCTTTTCAACCCAGACTTGCCCGGCCAAGCCATGGACGAGAAACTGCTGGCTCACTACCGGCGCGTTTGCTTTCTCCGTTTGAATGAGTTGGCAGTAGGGATGTTTGAGGGTAACGATTGGAAATCGGTATGCGCGGGTCTGGAGCTAGTCAGCGAACTGGTGGTGCCATGTATACCTCGACTCATTGCGTCACAGGAGGCCGACGATGCCGCCGCTGTGGAACAGGTCAGAAGCTGCTGGTGTAACTTCTTGGGATTACCTCTTGATGGTGAGTCAACTGGTTCCGTCACGCAAGATTACGTGACAAACCCTTGCAAGTCCCATGCTCCATTCACACCAAAGTTTAAAATGTTTTAAAACTGCCTTTTTAAACAATTCATAGAGGTTGCTTTAATTTTGAATTAAGCCCATTGAAAATGCAAGTTCGTAATTACTTGAATCCCATCCCATCTGATTTTCATTCAGTTAAACCCGCCTTAAACTAGACTTGTTTTGCTGGTATGAATGGGTTCTTGTGTCTACAATCACTGAAAATTTCGAGTCAGGTCAAGTCAAGTTCTGGGAGAAATATCAATTTGATATTTTCGTAATTCGAGCAGTTTTTAGGAATTGGAGTTGAGCATATATGGAAAGTCTAAAGCTGTTTGGCTATGGTAAAGCACACTAGTATTCCATTCATTGACAGTCTTAAGTACACCCTATTTTTTCAGTGAAAAAGACACTAACCGCTTCCTTCTCCCTCTTTATAATTTTTCTGATAGTAAATGTTCTAGCGCAATACAGGGGAGGGTTGGTGAGAAGGGGCTAAACTGAGAGATTGAGCACTTCGTATGAGTTTGAGTAGAATTAATTCCGCAAGTGTCGCTGTAACCAAGGTGCTCTAAACATGGAGGTCGAATAATTTAGAATGATTGACATGCCTTTATTATACAAGACCTTGTATTGGTTCAAGCTACTTGACCAACCCTACCACAATTTAATATGAAACAGTTTGAATAAATCACCACTTTTTTTTTTTATTTAGATCGCCATCGTGTCAAACTTGAAGAATACCTTCCAAAGCTTCTTGATGTCACAAGTGAATCTTGCTCTGAAATCAAAGCACCGCCAATTATACGACCATCAAGCTCACGCGACCTCTGCGATAGATTTTTCCGGGCGATGGAACTGGTACACGCTAATCCCACTGCTTTTACGACGTAACGAAGCCGCGCCGAACACGAACCGAAACTCTGGGAGACCTTTCCTTCTTCACCAAAGCACATCGCCTACTTTCTCCTCTTTTCGAGCCAAAAAAAAAATACAATTAACATTTCCGTCCATTTCTCTCAATGAAACACGACGATAGCATGGTACAAAGTTTCAATTCTTCAAAGCGTTTGGATGTTTCTGTACATACAGCATGAATAAATAAAGTGCGTCGTATTTAAGATTTTCAAGCTAAGTGCATTTGTTGGATTAAATAAATGACTACCAACATAAGTGTGGAAGTTCTACTCTTTAAATGGCATAGCACAGCGCATTTCTATGAGTTTGGTGAAACGAAAACCACAGTGATCACAACAGCCAATTAGAAAAGAGGAAAATATCATAGGAGCCAATCACAACGTTTGGCTTTGGTTTTGCATCTGGTTAGTCGAAAAGGTGGCGCGAGTTTCTGAACCAATCACAGAGCGCAGTAGAGAAAAACATACAATCGCGGATTACTTTCGACACTCAGTGGAAAATTGCGCTAAAGTGAAGTAACTTAAGGGGGGAGGACAATGTATGTACAGTCATCCCGCGAAATCTCACGAAATATCCAATAAAGCTGAGTCAGTTAAAATCACGAAATATCCCGAAAGATATCAAAAGCAAATCACACCTACTACATGCTTTCTTTGCAGTTTTTCGGTCCCAGTGTATAAGTTCAGTATACACACACATGTGCGTTTATGCTGCCGACTAAACACTCTGTAACCTGGAACCTGTAGAAAATAACATTTTACAACAGAGAATGGAGAAAGAGCCCTGGCGCCTCGATTACTTCATAGTTTTTGATCCGTTCAACTAAGACGTCGAAACACACAATATCTCACGAGTCATGAGAGCATTAAATCAGACAGCACTTTCTATTAGTTAACCGGCGTAACAACGCATGTGGAATGTTGGGGAAACACGCCTTCGGCTCGTGATTCACCAACTTTTTATCGTGTTCTCCCAACATCCAAAGAGGGTTGCCACGCTGGTAAACCAACAGGAAGTGCGGTCTATTGCTTTTATAAAATAATCTTTAATTTTCCATGGATTTTCCGGTGTAATGAATAGAAGGTTTTGGACCAATCAGTGCTCTCGTAATATCTCAGTCATTATAAACGAATTTATCAACTTATGGATGTTATCTTGACTCTCCTCACTAATTTACAGAGGAATTTAAGGCAGCCATGAGAGAGAAATATTGATCAGATTTCAACGGTCGCATGAAGAACGTAACAATGAGCAAGGTGTTTGAATTGATGTCATTGCGCAAGAGTGGTGCTTACAAAGCATGCGCATAAATTACGATGGCCTACTTAAAGATCGTAATTGTTAAGTAATTGATACTAATTTTTTGTGGATCGTTAGTCTGGGTCACTTTGACTCATTCCGAAACCGTCATTTTGAGAGGTATTAAACGGTATGTAAACATCAAACTACTCGTAAACCGTCTGGTTACTATAGGTATAAATTCTGTTTATTTTCGGCAGCACAGAACGGAACCCCTTGCATGGTTGTGTATCTGAGGACTTTAGAGTACAAATTAAAAAGTCCCAACCTTTCGACGAATTCTTCAGATGATAGACCACTTCTCTTTACAATGTAATGGAGGTTTTAAACCTTTAAGTTAATAACCCTTTCAGACACCTGTGTTTACTCACGATCTGAGGCTTAAATCAATCCTGTTTATACATTCGACACCTGTATTGTCTCTTCTCCATGCTGATAAGTCAGAATGCGAGCAGAATTTGAATAAAAGAGTTTATGCTATTGTCATTTTAAAGTGAGAGAGATTGATTTTTTCCGCTGCAATCGTAAACCAGCTTGCTTAGCATAACAACGAAAACTTAAGTGAGGCGAAGAAGGACAATGCACGTATTGAAGAAAACTGTGTTGAATGAAATACTTTTTAAAGAATGGGCCATTCTTTATTAGGATTTAGCAAAGCCGAGAGTCCTTACGGACCTGCTCTCTATCGCGTCCATCACATCTGTTATGTAATGACTGTCACTCAAACGTCACGCTATGTCTAGAAAATAGCGTGATTGGAATGCCAAACGGGATGGCGTGTTTTCGTTATCATACAACGAATGCCTACAGAGTGTCATCTTTCAGAATGTCACGAAAGCGTCGCGAAGAGAACACGCGCGCCAACAAATGCTGTTTGAAATCAGTAATTAAATGAAATGAAAAGCCTTGAAGATTGATTTTCCACCATCTTATCTTATCTGCAGTGGAATCGACCTCGTCAAGGTATATAGGTTTCGCTTTACTCGATGACAGTTCACAACAAAAAGATACCTTTGACCGGGGAAATATATTCGTCTGGAAATTCTATTGTTTTGGTACCGTTTGCTTTCCACCACCGGAAGTTATATTGTGTTTAAGCATCACAGGAACTCAGCGACCAACGACCGACATGCTGTCATTGTTTCTAAAGTATTAACATTTCCCTATCTGTTACGAATCAAGGTTATATGGATTGGCTGAATACCCTGGCGTCACAATCATCCAGTTGTTTCTAAATAAAATGTCATTGTTCTTCGTTTAGCAATGTTGTTTAACTAAACTCTTCAATTTCGCCGTCACGTCTAGTTTTGGCCGCTATGCGAGACCCGAAATAAAACTCGATAAAAACGATCAAATTTCTTTGTCTGGGTCTTTCAACCCTGGCACCTGGATAAAAGCTACTTTTTCGAGAAAGCAGGCTTTTTTTTTTCAGCACGGCAGATATCGTAATAACAGCAAGATAATTAGACGGAGATATTTGAATTGCATACCGACGGAAATTTGCATAATTGTGCTTTCCCAGACAGTGAGGTTTTTAGTCCGACCGCTGAGTACTAGAAAACATTAGGACGAGAAGAACGGTTTTTTTGGACCACCGATGTGTGACACCATCGAACCTCGCGCAGAAATGGAAACTACAATTTATCAAGGTACCAAACTTCTACATACTACATAACTTCACGCTGTTAATTATGAACATTTCAATTATTTCCTACAGAGTTCACACCAGACGTACATACCGACTGGCTCGAAGTTGTGTGTCATATCGAGAAATCTCTTTGTCAAAATATGTTTTACTTTGCATTGGAATACACAAATGTTGACCGGCCAACTGCATCATTGTCCTGGCTTTTGCGTGATTTTCGAGAGAAAGCAGCGAGTGAAATGTACAAATAGAACATTTTCTGCACTTGCGCCTAAGGAAGGTAAAATATCCGATGGGATTCTTTTCGATTACAGAACGGGACAACTTTAATGTGACGAACAAGCGATGGTGAGATAAGTTGAGCAAACCAGGTCGTCGATCGGAAATTGATTTGGTTGGAGATTTTGTCAAACAAAGCAAAAGAAGATGGGCTGAGTTTCGATATTTTGTAGCATGTAACTATTACAACGATGTAATCTTACTTGCCTCTTTAGTCTCTAAATTAACTGGCGGAGAAAGTCATTGAAATTGAACCCTGGCTGTCTGAGTGAGATTCCCTTATCAGCTCACAGCTAGAAAAAACCATTGTATTCAAAAGTCTGTTAGAAAATAGATCAGCGTCGTTAATATTCAGGCAACATATGCGAACTGGTTTTTAAAGAAGGAGAAAATTTGAGAGATGCTGAAAGCGCCGTACTTCGGATGTAAGTTTGCAACAGCCAGACTGACTAAGCCACAAGTTATTGTCAATTGCATTATATGATAGTTTGCAAGAAATGAGCGATGGATTTTTAAAGATCTGAAAGTCTAAATCTCATACAAACAACATAAAAATGCTTTGTCATTTTCTTAGAGGGCCAGAGTCAGTCAATACTCGTGGTAATTTGTGACTGAATCATACCACATGTATTCGCGCTGCCCTGATCGAGTTGTGACTTCTTCATTGTATTTCAACGTTTTTCTTGTAAACCGAAGATTTCGTGCCTTCTTGCTAGATAATTCAATTTTGAATTTATGTACTAATGTATTTTTGTCTGTGTTATAGAAAAACAATACGAACAGCAGCAGCAGAGGGAGCCGGCAAGTGGAGGCGATTCCTAAACACGCTACAGCACGAGGTGTACACGCGCTCTAAAATCCTCCTTGGGATTATACTAGTGAGTTTCAAATGTAGTTATTGCAGTATTTCTACAATGAACATTGCCTTACCTCTTTCCAAATCGTTGCTATCAAGATGATTGCGATTTGCATACAAAAATGAACCGACACGACCTGTCTGAGTAACACGAGGTTTTCTCAGTTGGTTTTAGTCGACCTACACCGTCATCCTCAATACAACATGAATCCATCGTCGACAATCGTTTCATCAGACAAGGAAAACACTGTTTTCTGAACATTGATTATTTTGAAAATAGAGGGACACTTTGACAAAACATCTTTTTTTCATCGTTTCCTGATAGGTATTTGCTGTTGTGTCTCGCACTGTCTAGATTTTATGCAAAGCTTTCCAGACCGCGTACTGTTGACGCTGTTCATACACTAGTCATCATGAGAGATTACTTCGGATTCGCTTCAACACTTGCGTAAAACTCGTCGCAATTTCATTCAGTTTCACTTTATCTTTTTATCGCGAAAGTAAGAGGAAAGAGGAAACTGAAGGAAAAACCGTTAGAGCTTCGTGAAATGAAACGCCAATTAGGTTAGCAGAAACATTCAAGTTTGATCAGAGGGACTTTATTAACTCACGCTCATATGTTCCTCTTCTGAACTTACTTTGAATATTTTTATGTACTATATCAGGAAAGAGGGCTTTTTTTTTTTTTGGGGAACAGTTTGGTATTTATTCAAGGACATCGAAAACTCGGTGCATTTCGTTCCAAAATTTGAGGCAGCTGAAGCATGAGAGGGACAGGGAAGATGTTCCATTGTCAAAATTGCAGTTTCCACATACAAAATCTTATCATTTGGGAAGAAAATAGTGGTTACAAAATAGGTTAACAGTATGTAATTTTATACAGATACTGTGCAATCATTTCCTTACTGAAAGGAAACACTTATCAACAAAGAGGCGAGATCATGTTATGGCAAAATGGTGTGGTGCAACAATTTCTATCTGCTCCTATTTTTTCATGTCTTAAATGGCTAATAATTCAAATTGGATAATTGTTACTTCTGTCTTTTTCCATTTTTCTCGGTTCTTTAGTCTGAGTGTGCAACTTGAGTTTATTCATAGACCTTTACTGCTTTCTTTCAGATACAAATTTTAAAGAAGAACACAGACAGAGCAATCAGGAAAACTGCAATGGTGACTACATATGGTCTTCCTTTCTTTTATAATTCCTTCCTTATTTCTTTTGTCTCTACAATTACAGTTGTAGATAGATCAACTAATTCTCCATGCCAATTGCTTAATTCTTAAATGATTTATGCTTTTTAGTGGCACAAATTTACTCAGGAAACTAAATCCTTAAGGTCAGCTCGAGGGCTGAAGTAAGTCTTGCTCTTAGACCCATTCGACTTTTTGCAAGTCTGTCAAAAACACGCGTGCTTGATTCACTAACTTAAGCATCAACAACTTGTGTAGGAAGCTACAGTCCATCATCAGGGTGTTTTTAATCATTTTTCAAATGAACAATGAGGAAATTTCTATTAGTGTAGGAAATCACATGTTTGACTTACGTTCGTTGAGTACAGCCGGGAACTCTTGTAATTTGCATAGCACCCCGCTCACCCGGGGCGGGGTTTGTTCTCGAGCCTGAAGTGTGGTTACACATCCGTTATATGTGGGTTAAACTCAAAACTCAGCTTTCACGCCATGCGTTTCGACCATCTACCCAAAAAGAGTCTTTTGGCTTCTTCTTTGCGCAAAGAACTATCCCAAATTATGTCTCCTATTGTTAGATTGATGAAAGAATTGTTACGATCTCTGAAATTGCTTGCTAAGAAATTTCGTTCGCCTTTAGTCAACATTCCTCGTGCATGTTTCAAGACCACATTTAGGTTGCAAGCCATGTGGCGTCGCAAGTTTTCGCGTGCAAAATGAATCGGATGCTTCAACAAAACGTTCGGCGAAAGAGCACAATCTGAATCGTAAGGGGTTCGTGTCGAGTCTTAGTTCTCTAGCCTTTAGAAAACAAGGCCACCAGACTATTGTGTTCGAGGTAAGTGTTTATCCCAGAGTTTGGATCAATCAACTGATAAACCCACGTAGCAGTTTCGAACCGGTTTTTCTCTGAGGGCTCGTGTTATATACCCAGACATGTGAATTGATCACATTATAGGTTTAGGGGGATTTTAAAGGATGCTCCTTGCAGAGGTGTTGTGTTCGGAAGAGCCTGTTGAATCCTCGGTGTATTTACTGATTGTTTGTTCAAGATCGACATCAGACGCACGCGACAACCAAAAATATCACTATCTTTACTTTTCTAATTTTTGATCGCGTGAAAAAAGAAATCTAAGAACAGTTATCAAGAAAAATCGTGTTTATGTTGACACTCAAGTCTTGGAGACTGAATAGAAGTTTGAAAACATCGGTGAAGGTTAGTACTTAACTCGAGCAAGTATTGACTTTCAAAGACATGAATACTACATTCGTATTATTTCCTTGTTTACAAGCACATTTTTTTACTGGCGGCTCTTGGGAAAAGTTCTTGATAGATATATTTTTGTCATAAGACAAAGTGTTAGCTGCTAAATACTTCTTGCTAATTCCAGACTGATAAATTAGACCCAGTTACATTTGACATCAATTTGAATGAATCACTTCTCTGAATCTTTGCTGGTTCTAAGATGTGGTAAAATGACGAAATAGGGGCATTGTATTCCCAAAGTTTTTTCCATTTTGTCTTTTGTAACTATTTCGGTTTAGAAATCGACAAAATCTTACAGGTGAAGCTCTGACATAATTAGGTTCTTCATAAGCCTAGTCCAATGGAGAATTTTATTGACGAGTGCAATGAACGAAAGAAGGGTCCTTTCCTAGAAATTCACTATTTCTGCAGTTAGATTATATATTTAGTTCGGGTCTTATTCTTAAGTAGCGAATTATTTTTAGCTTGTTAAAAAATTATGGGAAATATTTGCTCCTCTGAATAGGTACAACAGTTCCAGACAGATCTGCTAGACATTTCCATCACTTTCTAAGGTTTGTATAACTTAGCTCAGATGTGAAGTCTTATTAGTATGGAGTCTAAATATTTTATGTTTTTATATCTTTATATCACCTCTTTGAAGAAGAAAGGAAACAAACTTTTGATGTACTTCAAGAACGATCTAATGTGCACCAAAGGGGCCAAGACTAAATCAAGCCTTTATTTATTTTTTCCAGGCTCATGCATTGCACTTGTGATTCGAGTTTCGAGTAAGGTGATACGGTGAGCTCATTTTCGAATACCCTTTTACGCCATTCTCTCGAGAAAGATCGTTTACATAGCACTGAAAAGAAAATTAGTCTCAGGGAAAACATATTTTAGTGTTTTTCGAAAGAACACTCATGATTCAATGGTACAATGGAGATGGACATTTAATCAAAGCAAACTGCTAATGCTAACTTCAAAGCAATGATGAAGACTTTCCTTTCTCCCACTGCTTGATCTTTTTACTTCGCAAAAATCAATCGTGAGCCAAGAAGAAGAACAGCATCCTGCAACAAATTCAGAGATTTTTATAGTTTATTGGAGTCAAATTCATGAAACACAATATATGCGAGGAAAGTTAGAGTTGTCTCCTTTGTTGAATGGACATATAACAATGATCATCAAACGATCTTATAGCTTATTGTATGTCGGTGTTTCATTTTCTTTTGCATGTTTTTAAAAGTTACAGGATGTTTTTTCGCATTTCCCTTCGAATGAAAGAGCTATCATTTTTTGTGAGTGAAAACATTGTTTTACTCTTTAATGATGTCTTGGAATAATGGGGTTTCTGATATTGAATGAACTTTCTGAACAATTAGATCATTTTTAAGGTCGTTGAGGGACAATCGTTTGCAATTTCTGTTTGGATTATAGTTAGCTGAGGGAAAGAACATGTTGATTTTTCTTTTCATGTATTATTTTGTTTGAAGAATTTGCAATTTCGACTTCACAAGAAGTCGAAATTGCAAATTCTAGAATCATCATTGTATCTATGTATCTCCCCAGGAGAGGAGAGGTCTTGTTCAGAATTCAGTCCTCCTTTCATACGACATCTGAAACATTATAGTAACAAGCTGGAAACAACATTTTTGTTTCGTTTTCTTTTAACTGCTTCTTTTCGTTCCTTTGAAATTACTATTCTGATATGATTGAAATCTGGTTCTGACAAATATATACCTTGGAGCTTATGTACTTCAGTGATATGGAGTAAACACGTTTGGAAATGTTTTAGGATTTCTTCGTCGATGGGGGCTTTCTACACAGCTATTTTAGACAAAGCCATTCAAGAAAAGATATATCGATTTAATTATTATTTTTACGACCGAGGGTGGATTGCAAATCTTTCACAAGACCATAGAACATTGACAAGATTAATATAAGCGATCGGGAAAATGACATTTCATATCACCTGATTTCAACGGTTAGTTGCCAAGACCCGAAAAGTATCTACTTCCTAAGAGAAAACAGCCTTTCAAACTGTCTTCTTAGAGCTTCAAATCGTGCTGTAGCTTGATGAATTTTGATCCATTACTGTTTATAGCAAGTTTAATGATGAAGGCATGTTGTCGTCTTATACGGCTTCGATAGAGCGAGAGAGAGAAACTGCAGCAATCTAATTTTTCTTTCACCCTGAAAAATAATCAGGTAGCAATGCTTAGGGCTTGATTACACTGGAAGGAAAGTTAGGCTTGATATACTATTCAATGTTTTTTTTCCCGAAACTGTTGTAGGTAGTTGTGGCATGATAACCTCAGGCGGAATTGATGCAACGACCCGTGCATCCTAAACCTTGCCTTTTGACATTTTTGTTTTCAGCGTTGTCGAAGGATCTTAGATAAGAGATTCTGAATCAGGGCTCAGAGATGCTAAAATTTCGAACGAAGGATGGTGTTTGATTTGTTTCACCAATTAACCTTGGTCCCACAGAAGATTTGCGACGCTCCTCGATGAACTCCACCGGTGTTTAGTTGCATGTTGTTGCAGAACAAGGAGACTCCATACCGCCGAGCACGTTACGTATAAATATCCAATTCTTGCAAAATTAAACCATACACAAATGAAAAGTACTCTGAAAAAAGGTTACCCTTCAAACCGGAAAATTTATCAGCAAGGGAAGATTTTGTGGGAAGTAACATAGAGAAACGCCCCTGTGAGATACCATAATAATCATTCAAGTCACAATATTTTTGCCTAATAAGGAAGGTTTAAGATATTTCTTCTAAGCTTTAGGATATGAGGATGGAAAATGTGGTTAATAGATCAAGAATCTTTGCAGCAGAGTGCTCATGTTGTTCATGTAACTATGGTCAGTTTTTCGATTTTAATATATTTACCAAGCCATATTTATTCCACATTAGTGATTGGTTCACTTCGGCGATACATTCCTGTTGGAACTCTATGCTCAAGCTTGAAGAGGACGTCTGTGGCACTGGCTGATTACTCCGGCATTTTATTGGTGCGTTGTCTCAAGATTCTTCTTATCACAGTTTTATTGAATCCAGCAAAGGTTTTCGGAATCTGAATCGATCCACAGTCAACGAATAATTCTACCCCAATAATCGTTCAAATTGACACTAATGAGCGAACTCTCTATTATGAAAGCAACTTCGTGTGTCGGCTGAAAATTTTTTTCTTTCAATATACCTTAATTTTGAACTCTGGATGTGGATCTTCGTTTGATAAGTTCAGCGGGTTTGTAGGTTTTTCAAAAGGAAACACATAGGTTCCGAAGTCCACCTTGTTTTCGCGTTTGGGGGAACGGAAACCTCGCCCTTACGGGTCGTGATATCACAATACAATACCTTGAAGACACAACTATTAAGGTTTACTATTTTGAAAAAGAGAAAATCATGTAAGAAAAGCAAAAATTGTTTAAAATGATTCTATCTTTTCTTTAGTCGCCAAACAGTGTATATAGGGTTTGAACTGTCTAAGTCATGTTGACATTTGATCGTGTTGCATGTTATGAAGATCTCACGAAAAATAGGAAATCGCGCTTGCTCATTTTTCGAGGGAAATGCGCTTGAAAAAGTCAAGCCTATCAATCTATCAAGAATAATTTTTAATTGGTAACGGCAGGCAAACTACTTATTATTGTTCATGAAGCGGCAATGTGTATGTTTCGCATGTCGGTAAACAATATCCTTGACGTCTAGTCTTGCAATAACTTAAAACTGACAGCACTGAATTAGTGAGAAATTATCTGACCACATTTTCTGTCGCATTATATTTTCGACTTTTCTAAAATGTCGCTTTGAAGACCCTTTCAGGAAAGTCAGCTTTCAAAATGGACTACCTTTGTAACAGCAGTCGTTGAACACGAGAGAGACGAGAGAGAGCAAACATTTTCTTGAGCAGTAGGCGGTTAACTGTGTGAAAAGACAGGTATTACATTTTAAAATGCCTTGAGCGCACGTGGTCAAAGTCTCTATTATTTCTACGCTAATTTTCTTAACAAAGGCTGGCATCCACTTTGTTAGCAAAGCAAATAAACGAAGAGAACAGTCACGGAAAGATCCAGCGGTTCATCTGAACCCGTAGATCCGAACTTGTGGGAATTTCTCACCACAGGTTCGTGTCTATGGTCCACGTGTACTGCATTACTACAATGAAACTTAACTCCCTTCGTTGTAAAACAACTGTTGGTTGTTGCATCGTTAGTTTAGACTGGACAATAAGAGTTCGAAAGACAAAGGAGACAATTGCCATACCATGAAAGTTAACCACAGATTGAGTCTTACATTGATTACACGTTGCGTTGTGCAGCTAGCATTGTTTTCCAGTGACAGCGCTTTAAACCGCAGTCATAGCTTTCAATAGGACACTTTTGTTAAATTGAATGAATATGAATTAGATTTTAATGTTCCATGGTATAAGTTTCTACAGTTTACTTACGGGACGCACTGTCGCGCTCAACACCATGTTCTAGATAAATCTGTGTTGAGTTCCAACGAAGCTAAGGCTCAAAGTTCAGCTGGCTAGTTTATCGGCAGTAAATACTTTGTTTACACATCTTCATGAATTTGAAAGAAAATTATTTGAGCATATTTGTTACCAAGTTAGCGAGCTACACGACTGATTCCTGGCTTTTACTCATCCTATAGGCAAGATTGCGAACGCCATTAATCTCCATGGCTTAGCAAACCTCAAATATAATACCAATATATTCATGGCATTGTGAGTCATTCACTCTTAATTTTGTTAAGGTCTATTTAGCTAGTTATGTTAGCTAGGTAGGTCTCTTTTTAGCAGAAAAAAACCTAACCACGTTTTGTAAAGAGGTAAAGGTATCTAAGAATGTCAGAACACTTTTCAGTCAACGATTTTCAGTGCTTTGTATGCTGATGATTTCCATAATAAAACATGAACATTCACCAACTTGTTTTGAGTGTTTGAGTGTTTTCCTCGTTTGATTGGTGAGCAAACGCTTCTAATTATGTTACGTTAACAATAAACTCCTTGCTGGAATGCCGGCGAGATGGGTCTGAAGTAATTCCTTCACAGCAATGCACAAAAAAATCGGAAAACCTTCTGCTCTTTGGAGCGCAAGTCTCACAAAATTGTTTTCATACATTGTTTGTCTGCAGTTGCCAATTCTTTTCAGAAAACCATCCTGGATAATTAACGTCCGTGTAGGTGATAAAAGACTGGACGCTTTCCAATCGATTATTTGAATCTCACGGAAGGTAAGAGTACAGATTATTGGGCGATCATGCGTTTACTTTACGAATTTTATTATTTTGCTTATGCAGTTCACGCTTCCTGGGCAAAATAATAGCTCTTTGATCTTGTTTTTATCTTTCGCCATCAAACGATCTCGGGAGATCATTTTCTCATCTGTCGATCTTGTTTGAGTTTTTCTTTTATTTTTTTTTTGTCAAGAAGTTCTTAATCAGGCAGAAAACAAAGGCGGCGACTCATTAAGTATAGAGCCCGGCTAATTTAATGACTCGTTAATCACATTACGTCTGCGCGTATTGTCAAACAAGTTTTAATGGACAGGGATACAAAACAGATGGAAGACCATAAAGGATAGAAATTGAATTAAGGAAGTTACATCTCCATTACTCTCGAAGGGTACAATGAAGCGGTTGTAATCACAATGTTATTTTTTAGGGGGGAGGGGATAGAGGAAGAGTTGTTCCTCTCCAGACGCATCATCTTGCAATTAACTCAATAACAGTCATAATACGCTCCTCAAGACTCTGTCAGTTCATCCTTTTTTAATTTTTAATCGTTTCCAATTCATTTGCTCATTCACTACGTCTAAACTTGAATGACACGCACACACATAGGAAGGAGAAACGAAGCCAGCATAAAACACGCCGAAAATGCAAAGCTGCAGATAAATTATGTTGAAACCCTGAATATCTTTCCTCGCTAATTGGATACATAGCTCATTTTCAACGGTGACGGTAACAATCCAACAAAGGGAGGTAAAAAAACTTATCGCCTTCCGCGCGGATTATTGCATCAAATTCCTGATCCTGACCGGAACTCAAACATTGTTAAAAATGGTACCCAAAGGTACAATGGAAATAATCTATAGGTTTTTAAGTTCGTAAAGGGAGCGTTCATGTATTAAGCAAGATTTGAAATGATTGTCATCAAATATTTGCTTCACAGCCAAAAATAGACTTTCTAAACCTATTTTTGGAAGGAAATACATCTCGTTCAAATATTGCATGAGCATTTTAGAAGCAAATTTAAATTATCTACCAAGGATCTACTAAGGAAAAGTCAAGGGTAATGGTAAAAGCTTTGGTTCCTAAGTATATGTAAGGAGGCTGTTTTCGGTAACAACAGTAAAGGTTAAGTTTGATACTTGCCACAATACCACGAGAAGAAAGGAGACATTGTATGTAAAACAAAATGATTAACCCAAAAACCAAATTCCCAGACACAACAAATGTATTCGATTTCAAGCGCGCAGAATATCTGCTTAATATGATGCAAGCTCGAGATTCCGCGCAAGAGTCAATTGAACTAAATTACCAGTGAAGCAATGTTTGCGGGGAATGTTAGTTGTGAGATTCAAGAGATGATCGCTTTAAATGTTTCCGATCCAATTATATGCTCTGAAAAACATGCGAATGTAACATATTGACCAATCGAAAAACTTTGTGTTGGGGGTTTCATGTTAATAAGATCTGTGGTGCTCCAGTACCCATTAGCGTAAAAATTCGGAGGCAATTCGGTCACAAATTACCGTCTCGGCTCTAATGCACTGCGCATGCTTTCCAAATGTTTCTCACTTGTCTTTAAAATGCATACGAAGTTTTTCTGTGAGGTAATGTAAAAATCGCACGAAAACGTTGTTTAAATTTTTTCCATTATAGGACCGCTTGTCGGAGCATACGTAAATGTACGTGCGGCTAGTTGTTAAAAGGTCAGAGATTGTTTCAACTTCTTAGCAGTTTCTAAGATATTAACGAAACGTCATGGACATCAAATGCAGCATTAAAGGTAAAGTGATATCCGTTTCTTTTTTTTGTTCATGACTGAGCGACGTATTAACCCTAATTAACCTGAAAACTTATCCTATTCAACGAGAATTTAAAACGATCAGAGCCATAGTTTTTGGAATTTTGCTAAATGTTCCGTCGCATGATCTGATATATCCTTGTGGAAAAAAAACACAAGAAAACAAAAACGAAAAAAGCAGACGGGTTGTTGACCATCTTCTTGAGATGCTTTCTTTTCATTTCATTCGCCCGCCGCCCTCTCCCCTCACCCCTCCTTAACTTTATAGTGATGTTTTTCAAAGCAAATTTGGAACATTTATGCTAAAGTTCCTGATACAGTGAAACAAAACAATTTTTTATACAAGTAAAAACATGTCAATTTGTACAAGACACAGGTTTTGTTTCAAACAAGGTTCATACGATTTGGATGAATCAATGACACTTTCCCAAGAAAAGTCTAGAACGGTAGAATAATGGATAATTTTAGGTCATTACTTTAGGAAGTAAACGGATCCAAAGGCGAATCTTCTTGAACATTCTCTTCATTTTAATTACGGATTACTTGAAAATGTTCTAAGTATTATCCGCCGAGTGGGTGAAGCTAATTTGTTAATTAATCTCCAAGAGGTCGCGGAGATTAACCGAAACTGTTACCGGGTATTACGTTATGACGCAATTTTGCCTCCTGAGAGCAACAGAATGCGCAAAGTATGCAACTAAGGTATTATCCTGTAAAACAAGGCTAAAATACGGACAGAAAGCGGACCAACTGAATGGCCGCGCTCAACGACGCAATCTTTCATCTGTTTGCATCCTTTAATCTTGACTTTTCAACGACGACGTATGGAGAGAGCAGGTTCTTTTTTTTGTTAGCAAGGACACTTTCAAAGTGTTCGTCTTTCGCGCACTTTCTATCAGATCACTACAATCCTTAGATATATAAAACCGGAGGGTGTATTTCCAGTTAGAAAACGAAATAAAAAAAGGAACCAAAATAAATGCCTCATTTGGTGCTCTAACAGGAAACTCCTGCACGTGGACATTTTCCTCATTTTTCGTATTTTTCCGAGCCCCGGCGAGAAATACCATGCATCTCGCAAAATAGCATTAAATGTTAAACCGCTCATGGGATAAGATTAATACAGTTGCTAAAACTGAGAGGTAAAATGGTTTACAGATACATGTAACCATAGCAAATTTCCTCGAATATGATAGGTGGGTGAAATACCCATATTCTTCACCTCTTCACTGCTGTAGATGTGTAATCGTTCACCTGTAATCGGACAGTTACGTATCAACCAGTCAACAAACTGTGAGAAGATTGACGTGAAAAGGCATTATTACCTTGAGTAAATTTTTTTACTCTCGGAAATTGTAACGGTTACAATTGATTAGCAACAGGACTTCCTGTCATCCAGTCGGTCAGCAATCATACCCGTGATAGCCAAATCGGACTTTCGCTGGCGTTTCATCTGCATAATTACAGACCGAATTGGACGCTATGCGTTCCTATTACAATTACAGACTGATAACTGATATGATTCTCGCATCAAATACGTTTCTGTTTACTTTTTCCCTCGGAAACATGAAAAAATTGCCCAAAGGTCAGTTTACTCATCTGTCAAACATTGTCTTGATTAAAGAGAAGTTAGTTATTCCCCGCGAGGAAATCAACCCAGTCGTGGATAAAACAGCGTGCGCAAATTACGAGCACTGTCCAATGACACAGACACGACGGGTGAAATAGAAGCATGGTGCGTACATTCTGTATTAACAGTTCATAACGACAAATCGCGTTCATGATAACGGTCATAGGTATTGACTGTAAAGTAGTAGTTTCTGGCAAATTTTTGGGATGCTTAGTCACGGAGCTTATCGATTTCGATTTCCTACCATGGAACTGTTTAGAACATTCATTTGGTTTTGTAATTCTACCAGAATAGTTTTGTTGTAGGCCTCCGGAAGGTTCTAAAATACGTGGGGAATTTCTAAAAGGACTGTCGTCTAGGAATAAGAGATGCTGTTGTCAGGAGAGACGGGCTATCCGGAAAGCTACAGTGATAGAGAGCTATTGTGGCATACTTGAAAGATTCTGTATCTCGAGGAGATTTGGAGGCAACAGTGACTTTGCGTCGCGGTGAACTAAGTTAATATCTGTAGTAGGCTCAAGTACGTTTTTAGAGAATTTTCGGAATTTTTAGGAATTCTGACTTAGGACATGTTGCTCATTAAAGTAGTTGGGTTCGTCAGAGTGTAGTTCTTTCTGTCGGTTAAACTATACCGTTTCCTATACCATAGTATAGCGACAATTTGGTCGAGCGCGTGGGCCGAGGGAAATTTGTCTTTGCAAGCAAGACTTCCACTGAGTTGAACCTCGCAAAGTTCTATTACCAAGTTTAAATGCAATGATAAAAAAATGCAAAAACTCGCTTCTAAAATATGTAAGAAGAAATTACAAAAGTGCTATCTGATTTTCTGCGAACCGATTTTTAGCTACTGCATTCTTCACCTATACTCAGACATTACAAGTTCTTCTCCTTCTCCTCCATTCAGTGTTGCGCGGGTGAATCGCCAATGTTTCCATGCCATCTTGCAAAGCAACATTTAGAGTGGCAGTGAAGGCATTGGGTGTTCCAATATGTGTCTAGGAGTATAGTTTTCTAACTCTTTAATCTCAAGTTGATTGTGAATGGCTAAGGAGTCCACAGGACTTTCAAGGAGTTAATTTTTGCTCCATTTTCACCCGAGGTTTACAGGATTATTTTAAAGTACAGCAGCACGACGTAGAGGTGTAGAAGCGAACACGGAGATCTGGCATATGGGTCCTTTTTTTTAATTGCTACCTAAATAATGGTGTCACTGAGTGAGAAAGCCGAGTAAGTTAGCCTTGGATACTAAAATCAAACAGAGTTTTAAATGCACTTATCTGGATACGCGATTTTTAGAGAAGGGGATAGCGAGATTTGGGAAGTTATATTATCATTAAGAAACAGGATCTGGTTATTTTTGTGGGTTCGTACAAGGCAGATCAAGAAATATTGCTCCAAAGAACCGAGTCCCGGGTGTAGTCCGGTTAAAAAGCAATAATAGCCCGCTTGATTTTTTTGTTGTCGAAAGGCGTTTTGAGACTCATTCACGATGTTTCACAGACGCGACGCATCAGTGTTCTTCTTGTGTAAGATGCTGTACCTGTATTTACATTCATCAGCGATGTCCTGGTTTGAAATCTTTCCCAGCAGGGGTAAGAGACTTAAAATAGTACCAAAATAAAAACTGTTCGGATTTCGGGAAAGTGTTCTCAGGAAGGGTTGGATCAAAAGACCCCATTGACGACTACTGAGGGCCACTCCTGCAAACGCGGCTCAGTTCAGACGCCCACATAGAGCCAGAATTAATTACACCACATTCATAAAATCTCTCTTTAATTGCTTGACCAAACCTCGTTCCAGTATAAGGTTTTTCAATTAATCAGTAACTCTAAATTGTCTTTTCATAGCATGAAACAGAAGAGGTTACGATAAATAACAAACGATCGAGACCCGAATCAATCTGCTTCTAACTACAGCTAAGGCAATTAAACTAGTTCTTTCCACTGGCCTCACTGTCATTTATCCACTTTCAGTATTACTAGACTCTCGACGGTAACCTGCGTACCTGCTGTACAAAGAGATGAAACGAAAGAAAGTCAAATTCAACTTGTAACGTTCCAAAAGACAGCTCTAGGCTGTAGAATGACCTTCGCCCACTTCTTCCCTATGTACGCCGGTCATCCGAGCGATGGAATAAACAAGGCAACGCTAGAGGCGAGCTTCCGAACGTTTGCCGAGCAATAGCCGGATAACATCGAAATTTGGTCTTTCTTTCGTTCCCAATCTCTCTCTTTTTGCCAGAGGTAACTAGTTATGAGCAATAACATTAGGAGGAGATAAAATATGGAACCACACCAAATTCAAAAATGTAGAAAATAAAAATCACATACTGGAAATAAAAATGTTATTATTTGTATATATATATATATATATATATATAAAAAAAAACAAAAGAGCAAAAAGAATCTTGAAAACGTTGTTTTGAACGCAAAGGTAGTAAATAGATATAGTCCATCAAAATGAAAACTTTGCAAATTCCTGACATTTTTGTCTCCATTCAAAACAATTATGTTCTGAGTTGTTTCCCATCTTTGTCTAGTTAAGACTTCTGTATTCTTAATTTGTTATTATTAGAGCTTAATAATTACATTAGGCAGGAAACAGCTGGTGCCTTATTATCTACGTGTTAGGGTCGGAAAATTACACAGAATCCATTGATTTAACTCCAATCCAGTATTCTATTCTAGTGCGCATGACTGACGACGAGTTATGGTCATGCGCAGTCCTAAGACTTTGGTCTCTGAAATCAAGAATACTAATAACATCAAAGTCACAAAAGTTAAACGCACATTCCTGATTGGGATTACAAAACTCACACAATTAGAGCATAAATTGTGCACCGTAAGGAGCGCCTCTCAACGATGTAAAAGAATTAAATACGATCACAGAAATGCTCTGGTTATAAATCGACCGCAAACTAAGACATTAAGGCTATCCTAGCATACACACGCACGTACACGAACGCGCACGCACACACGCACACGCACACGCACGAACGAATGCACACACAAGCATAAAAAAGGTCACCAACAGTGGCAAAACATGCTGTGTTCAAATGCAAACATTTTTGCTAGAAATACATATTAAACAAAAAAAAAAACCATTCAGTAATCACATTTAAGCCTATATCCAAATGCTAATTTAATGACCACTATTTTCAGAGCGGCTCCCAAATTACACTCACCAGCAAAATATGCGTCTAACATTCTGTAACATACTTCATTGAGACCTATCACTTGAAGAGGGATGGTACGGTTACGAAAAAAAATGTTTACTTCATAATGAATAATAATGATAATACAAAACGAAAAAAAAAGAAAAAAAAAAGGAAAATCTTTCCCTTAGTACCACTGAAGTGAGAAGTACAGTTTGTCGCGCAGGAGTTTCCGAGACGTTGATTGGTCAAGTAAAAATGCGAAACCAATCAAGAGCGCGCTTTTCCAACCTGCTGCTTACACTTCTCGCCCCTACTGGTTGCCATGCATCGTTAAATGCCACGGACTGACGGCACTATGAGATAGTGGCCACTTCTCAAATTATTCGGTTCATCCGATGCATTTGGGTATTTTATCACCTAAGTTGCGAATTTATCGATCAAAGAGAAGCAAAAACTCGATTAAATCTCACAGAGCCGCCATAGCCTCCAGTGACTGAAGAGTCACGTAAGTCACGCTCATTCAGATGTAATAAAAAAAATTTAAAACACTCTCTGTCACGCAACTAATGTAAAGTTCTTTGAATGTGGAAAGGCAAAAATGACACAACCTTAATCATAATCACGCAATACTATCATTAAAAGCATAATTAGCTGAAAATCTGTCCTTCTAACTCCATACTGATACCTTACTTCATTAATCATTAAAATTCCATAACCACAGACTCCATACTATATAACTATCTATGGGCGATAAAAACAAATTAATCCATCATATGTACATCCATCCTCAAATCACTTAAGCCATCGCATTTATCTTACAACTATACACACCACGTCTCTGAACTCAATAAATAAAACACACCATACAACAAGTTCACTCAATAATGAACACGTGTCAGACGCCATTTTGAATGGAATCTTCCGAAGATGTTTCGAGTTCCTCCTTCGCAAACAATCGTTGAAGGACCGAGCACTAAATCAATAACATTCAAAATGGCGACTAACACGCAGTCAATAAATACCTTATGGTGACCAATAACAAAACAAGCAACAATTCGCACAAGTCTCCTTTGAAAATAGCAATATACCTTAACGGTAAGAAAGCTAGGCTAAGTACAGTTCTAAAACTGCTTTTGGCCTACACATAGCAAGACCTGTCTCCACTGCAACAACTTAATGGAAGTTAATTTACATATGTAACACTACATCATAAGCTTTCAGTAACACAAACACGAGAAGTACACCACTGCGGGGCGTACTAACTGAACTATATTAAACATGCAGATTCCAAGTTGCTAAGCGCCTGTTCAGTAAAAGTTCGCAGATGACATCAAAATGTGGTACGAACAAAAAAGGGGCGCAGCTGAGTGCGTCCCTGATATCCTCACTACATTTGACGTCTTCTGTTATCTGTTATTGCACAGACCCATGGCAACATGCAGTCTATTTGTTTTATAAGATAAAAGAAGCAGAATGTTAATGATGACGTCATCTATACGTCTGTCCTTAAATAGATCGTAAGTAAGAACCAATCAAATTGCGTGTATATTTCAGCTTATCATATAATGCTATAACGAAGTCCATTTACTGGAATCACAGCAGAAATCACCGGTGAAAGAAGATAAATAACCTGTTATGTATAGTTATGGGAATACCGTATTTCCTCGAATATATGTGAACGCTCTGATAAGCGTCCTTCCCAAAATAAGCGTCAACCCACGAGGTCATTCTGTCAAACAAGCGCCCCTCTAGAATAAGCACCCACCCTTTTCCCTTATTTCTTAAATGGTAGGGATACAAGGAAAACCTGCCACGGAATCAGTACAGGTGAATAATTTCTTGATAAGCACACAGCACACCCCTTGATTAAGCACCTTCCTCTATTGAGCGCCCCTCCTTTAAGCCGAAATTGTAAATAAGCGCCCAGGCATCTATTCGAGGAAATACGGTACTTTCCTATAGTAGTTAAGTGCTTTTTAGGGGGTGGACAACGTATGGAAGTCCTGTAAGTAAATGGCACTAAGTAACATACTTTATAGAGAGTCAATGTGTCCTACTTCTTGCCATTTGTATAGCTGTCCTTATATAAATTGAACGCACGTCAACTGGGTACTAGAGTTCGGCCAAACTACGAACATTTTATGCAATCATGTCCATGTACTGCAAAAGAGGACGATTGACTGTATTAACCTATAACTACTTACTGGTAGCTCTACATGACAGTACTACATGGCAAATATACCTATGCTGAGTTTTAAAACTATTTACGTTTGTCAATGAACTGCACTTTCGTGGATGATTTATCCACGAAGAGGTTTATATGGATCGGAGGGGGGAGGGGGAAAAGACGTCAAAGGGAGAGGGAATGGTGGAACATCTCTTCCAAATTCTAGCGAAGCCTACTTCCCGTTAATCAACCGAGAAGCTTCTACTAAGAGGGGATAAAGTCCCACTTCTTCCGAGAAAGGGTAAGTTCCCATGAGGGACAAAAATATATATTCGGGAAACAAATAGCAAATATTGCGGTAAGATCCTTTAAAGTAACGAAAAGCCATAAAATTGGTCAGTTATCCTTGAGTCCTAAACTTCGAATTTCCCACCACTCTTACCAACTGGTATTTCAAATATCCAATTAGACGTCTCACAAAAAACAAAAAAAAGTGCATGATTATGTGTACTCTTAATGCAAAACTCCTGAAAAAGCTCAATATGTTAATCAGATCAGACAACCAAACACTTTAACACTGAATCTATGCAAGTCATATATGTCTACACCATCAGAGTAGGCGGTACCTTTGCAACGTTAAACATAGAAAAAAAAACAATACAAAACACGATTTAGTATTTTAAGTACAGCTTACTTGCTATTTCCTCCACCACTCTTGTGCATGATCTTTTGTCGCACTTCTCGTATCTTGAGTTGCAGCGCTCCCTTCGTCTGGAAGAGATCTGCATTCCGCTGCTGACAGACAGTCGTCACTGCATCAGAAGGGAAGTAGCCATGATCCTGAAACAGCTGAAGAACCACGGCACGTCTCTGATCCATTGGCTTCTTATGAGGAGAGAGAGTGGGACTGCCTGGTTCTGTCTTGTCTTCCCTATCAGCATCCTTCAGTCCTTGTTCCAGGACGGCGACCTCTGCCAGCGCGTCAAGACTTGGCATGCTCGTTGTGCGGTGACCTGCGCCATGGAAGATTTCTTCTGATGAACCGGTACCAGAAGACGACCTTTCCTGAGAAGGTGATTGACTGCCAGAATCGTCAGCGTTCGGTTTACTTGCTGTCAAGACCCCACGCTTGTTGTTTGTTGACCTGCCATCCCGAGCTTGGCGATGGTAAGGTGAATATTCGGGAAGCTGCGCAAATTGCCTCTCGAAATTCACCTCAGATAAGACTCTGTAAAATAAAACAAAGGTTCGAAAATGATGGATTTGAGAACGGGCAGAATTTGATCACTTTTTGAGACTAAGCTCATAGCCCACAACCGAACCGAACGCCAGTTCCACAAACGCTTTCACCATAAGCAACCACAACCACAGCCTGTGTTCAAGATGACGGTTTAGTTATCAGGGCGCAGTCGTCTAAAGGTCGGACAGCGCTATCCAACGAATAAATTGCTATCCGATGGACAAGTGATAGCAAAACGTATAGCGTTATCCATCGTATAGAGTTTTATCCAGTGGATAGCGTTGCCCAACCTTTGTAAAGCATGACAGTTGAAATAAACAGATTATTCATGAAATGGGAACTTACTCCTCCATTCCGTCAGCTATAAACCTCTTGAGTATAGGCTTTCCTATTTGCTGGGTTGTGTGTATATCACTTCTCTCAAGATTTGCTTGTCCTTCACTGCAGTTATCAGGCTGAGGCTTGCTGGGTTGTCTGTGGCTGCTTGGGTGACCTTGTGCATAACTTGTTGAGGTCGCAGCAGCCTCAGTTTTGGGAAAGGTCTCTGGGATACCTTTACCCCCTTTTGGGGACAAGAGGGACGCACTGGCTGACGGCACCTTCGGAGACAGCGGGGCGGATCGTGGTGGCACGTTACTGTTGCCGACATGAGCTTGTCGGTGATAGGAGCCTTGTGCTGGCTTTGGCGGGTTTTGTAGAAGTGGAGTACCCGCATGTAGTTCAGCGGGGCTTATATTGCAATAACCCAACCCTCCATGGGAGAGAAAACCTTGTTGCATACTTCGATTTGCCTCCATTTTTCCTGAAGGGTGTCCTGTTGGCTTTTTGGCGAGAAGAACTCTCTGGGATGCTTTTTCCCCACTGGGAGATGAGGCCAACAACGGAGGGGACAACATTGGTGCAATTGGCTTCAGCTGAACCCCTTTGGCAACTGGTGAAAGAGCCAGTGTAGTTTTACTACTTTTGTGAAATGGTGGAGCAGTGTGAGTAGCCACAGAGACTGTTAGGGGAGATAAGAAACTGGAATCCGAAGCACCTGCCCAAGCCACTTGATTGGCCAGTGGAACAGCGGTAGATACGCACGTGGCTCCTTGTGATTGCCTTGTTTCGTTTTGACCAGTGACTGGAACCTTTTGCGCACTTTCCATCACTTTGACGGTCTGACTTTTGCTTGGCTCCATCCCAGCATGACTGGTTCCTCTGTATGGTTTCACTTGTGATCCGTGTGCGGAATAACTTGTCGAAGACAAATTTGTAGCGGGAGAGTATTTGGTAAAGTTACTTGGGAATAGCACCGGTTGTGAAAATGACGCATGAGATACGTCAGATGTGCTCACAGCAGCTTTGGGGGCACTCTCATTGGCACACATCGCATTCTTAGAGCTTGCAGTACCACTGGACGGTTGGCTTGGTCTAAAAACTGAACCAGTTGGCTGAAAATAGCCACTGACTTTTAGTCCTGGAGAGGACGTCTTTGCCATCGGCAGCTTTGGGCGTACGAACTGACTGCTCTGCGATGGTGCAGTTTCAGTGGTTCTGTCCATACTTTTATTTGAATGAGGTAGCCCTTTTGGTGCCCTGAAACTAAAGTCCACCACTTTGGACGCCGTTTTGCCAGAAATGTCCTGTGAGTGATTTTTAGAGATCATTTGTTCATAGATGTTCGGGGTCACGGCTCTCTTGGCAGGGAATTCAATAGGGGAATACCTGATCTTGCCAAGGTCTGGTGTCTGGCTTCGTCTTGCCGTAAAAGGTACTGGAGAGAACCTCTGCTGTGGAAACACCCTGTTGGTCAGCTCCTCCTCATCGGAGTCATCCGACTCTTTGTCATTAACATCAATGTTCTCATTGCACATCAGTTCCTCGGAGCCAATATCATCATCCTCTGATTCACTCATCCCATCATTGGTCCCTTGTTCAAATGTGATGTGTTTATTGTTTGACACTGAGGGCTTCGTTGGTGGGTTGGTCTTATCATCTAACTCGGAACACATCTGAAATGAATCGAAAGAACATTAGTTTAAGAAAACGCTATTTAGCATGATGTTTTACTGATGTTTGCTGTATTAAAAACCAGTCAAAAACTTAAGGAAATTACAGTTATTTAGTATCAAATATTAAACAATTTCAAGGTATGTTTTTCTTCCTAGCCAAGCCTGATTTGGTTGATATATTTCAAATACCACAACAAGAAACAAAAATTTGAGCAAAGCCTGTAACTCCCACGACCTGATTGTTAATTCTCCCCTCTAGCTGCTTAGAATTTCCTTGTAAAATAGTTACAATAATAATTATTAAATTATTTGGTGTTAGACCAAGATAGGGACTTCTACCTGATCATTTTGAGTATTCTCATGACCTGTAAGATGGATAATGTATGGATATTGTAAGGAGAAACTACATGTTAGTCACTCATGGGAGTGACATCTGAAGTAAAGAACTCGTGTTCATCCAGGTGTAACAGTATAGACTACCTGTGCAAGCTCAAAGAGTGAATGCTGTGTTGTTGGGACTGGCTGTGGGGTGTAGGGCCTGTGTACAGCTTCCTTCAGACATGGATCCTGTTCATGTGCTGGTGTGCTCAATGAACGTTTACTTCTGAGCCTTGGTTTAGCATCCATTGTTTCGTCATTCTCATTGTCAAAAACGCCCTGTAAAAGCAATTATTGATTATCAAATCTGTTTAAAACTCAGAAATAAAGTCAAAGATAACAAAAGTGACCAAAAAAAATCACTATCACCACCCTTGATGTAATGTACTGTAAATGACAGAGATATTTGTTCTTACCTCTTGTTCTTCATTATTGTTTAATTCCACTCCATCTCCCCCTAAAGTCAGAAAGTGGAAAATATGCAGACCATGTCAAAAATAACTTACACTGCATTGTACAAAATCAAATTTTAAGGAGACAATGGACATCATTTGTCTGGTGATTAAATGCCACTGCACAAGGAAATTAAATTCTCAAGGCCTAGCAAAATCAATGAAGGTCACTTGCTGCTTCAAATTACCTCATTGTCAGATATAACATTCAATTCTTAATAGTGGTAATAGGACAGAGTGGAGTTCAATTTGGTCTGTAATCATATGAGTGATTGACAAAATCCGACAGCTACAAAGCAGAAGTCCGATTTGTTAATCATGAGTGTGATTACTGACAGAATTGGACAACACAAAGTCCCATTACCAATTAATCAAAACCATGACAACATTTGAGAAAGTAACTAGACATTGGTTAAATGTTTTCATAAAAAAAAAGAACAGTTGACTTGGCGAAAAGCAAGACAACAGTGCATGCTTGTGATGCATTCTGTCTACTTACACAGGCATGATGTGTAAACTGTCCCTTTAATGTCCTATTATACACCCCAATAAGCTATTCAAGTTCTCATAATGCATCATTTGAAAATAGCAATTGAGTTTATTGCCATAATCTCTCATAAATTAGTAGATAAAAGTACCATTATCTGTAAAGAGTGTTGATGCTGGGTACAGATCTGTACTTACCCACTGAATCACTTGACTCTGTTCTGTCAGAGACTTTGCGAGGAGACTTCTTTCTGTCCTTTGTACACCACTTCCAGTGTGGGTAAGCCCTAAAATGAGCTTCTTTGACCTTACAACAATTAATATAAATATTGATAATAACTAATATGCCTTGTTTTTTAGTTGTGTACTTAGTTGCCAAGCCTTTGATTTAGAGTGAGGCTGAAGTTGACAATGTTGTGATAGAGACCAGTATCTAGTTAGCATGATAACAAAGTAATTTACCTTTGAAAGGCAGCAAGGTTTGTATCATAACAAGGTCACCCTTAGCCTCATTCCAGTTCAAAGGCTTGGAAACCAAGCATGCAACTACAAAATAGACTATTATTGTTAATATTACATTGGCAATAGAACAAATAAAATCACACTGTTATTGCTGTAATAAAGCCTTTGGGGAGATCTCTTGATTTGGAGCTGAGGGTTGTGGTGGGAAGGAGTTTCTCAGCTCAAGAACCAAACTTCAAGTTATTACCATCTTTTTTTAACAAAGCCCAGTTTTAATGAATACTGAGTCACATTTAGCATCATAAAAAAACTATTACCAGCACCCTCATTGATCAAAAACCCATAGTGTATTGCAGGACTACATCCATGGGAAATTTTTTAGTTTTAATTTAGTTTATTAAAGCAATAAACCACACTTTTCATAGTTTTACCAATGTAATCACCCACTTGGGATGTTGGGAAAACACTAAAAAATTTAAGTCATGAGCTGTAGGCAAATGATTTTAAGAAAAATTTCTAGTGCTCTCTTAACATCTTGCATGGGTCAATATGCCTGTAGACTATGAGAAAATACAGTTTAATGCTTTAGTGGCAAATTTGAAAAAACAAACAAACAAACTAAAAAAAAAAAGGCATGCAACATGCAATCAGGTACAATTCAGCATGACTCAGTCATCAGACTCACCTGGGCTGCAAGGTCCACATATTTCTGTTTGTCTTTAGCAGGAAGGTTGTACCACCATTCACCCAGAATCTTACTCACAGTCCTGTTATCTTGGTGAGGGTGTTTCTGATGAACAAGAGCCCTGTGACGCTTGCTAAAGATCATAAAGGCATTCATTGGACGGCGAATATGTTCCTTCTCCTGCTTGGCTTGATAACTAGGTGCCTTACAATTAAAAAAGGACAAATGTCAAATTACCAAAGTAAAATTGTTTCAGAGAAAAAATTTTGCCAACTATCAAATTATTACAATACCTGATGCAACCAAGCATATCAATATTGCTTTATTCAAATGGTTACATACAATTCACTTAACATTATGCACAGAATTCTCCATATTTCACATAAAATGAAGGGTTTTGGAGAGTAACCAACTTAGAAGATTTTATGAACTTTTAAAGAAAGTGGCAAAAAATTAAAACTGCAACAAATTTTTGTTCTATTTTAATCAAGGTTTTACTAATATCAAACAAGACTTATGGTTGAGAGATGATTACTTCAGTTGCTGAAACAAGCAAATCCAGAAAAAGAAAGGGGGTTTAACATTGCAGCTAGTTGTAACCATGTTCAAGCAAATAAACAGACCTAAGGAATTATGTATGATGGCCAGCTATCAAATTAGAGTAGGTTGCAACATTCTGTAATAGTAAGAGGAGATTTTAGACCACAATTGTTTACACAACCAAATTACTTTTTGAAGTCTATTGAGAATTCAGTCAAGAGGACACTTAGGGTCTAATGTTTCACTTGACCCTTCAAATAATAAATGTTGCATCTTTGAGAATTCCATAATTAAAAGAGTGAAGAAAGGGTAATTGTATACCACTGAGTTTACAGAAATTAAGTATCATCCCCATAAAATTATGGTGATTTTTTAAAAATTACATACTGATTTCTTAAAATTTTACGTTTTATTCCATTATTTTATTATATTCTTGCCATGCTACTTACTGGTATCTTGGCAGGAGGTTTTCCTTCATCCTGAGAACTAAAGGAGGTGGACCGTGCTCTTTTCCTTGTGTTTGGTCCACTAGTGACAGATGTTTTGTTTTCTAACTTCCTGTCCCCTCCTATACCATGATTAGCACCTTCACCTTCTACCAGTGACATACTTCCTGGGTTTTCATTTCTGTCCATTTTAGTCAGCTCATTAGTGGTGCTTTGTCCTCCATGTGATGAGACATTAACATCGTATGTTTCCTTCTGATGCGAGCTGTTCACAGGCACATGGTAGAGTTGCGGTAACAAACACTGCCAGGGATAGACAGAAATCTGAATTGTATTCAGTTGAACTGGAGGTAATATCACTTTAGGAGTTAACTCTGTTGGTTCAGTTTGTCTATCTTTTGTGTATACATCTTGATCCTCCTTTGGTTGCAAATTCTCTTCCAATTTTACTTCAGTACCATCTTCCACAGTTTCTGATGGAGAATTTTTGCCATCTTCACTTTCCATTGTTTTCTCCTGATCAGATTGACCTCTCTTGTTAGTATCTTGTGAAAAAGGGACAAATGTACTGTTTGAAGTCAATGGCAGTGGCTGGGCAGGTATTGGAGAGTACATCAATCTTCCTGCTTTATCTCTGGGTGGTGTAATTGCTGATGGTGCAGGTAATGACACTGTCCTTTTGCCTGTAATTGCTGGAGGGATACGGGGAATGGGGGAAAATGAGCGACATGTACCTGCTGGAGGAGAAATAGGAGAGAATGTTCTCTTTGTTGGAGTAATGGGTGAGAGCAATGGTAAAGGAGACATGAGGGATGATGTGTTACTAGCACGACTTCCAGACTCTTCACGACAGAGAATACCAGAATCTGGACTAACTGCATTTGATAATGACACACCATTTGAGAAGAATGGTGAACGAAGCTCTGCACTTGAAGACCTTCCTGATCGTGGTGTGGTTGTAGCCCAGGTTTTCACTGGTGTTACAGAACGATGCTGGCCTGGTGTTAAGCTGCGGTTATAGCAGTTACCATATGGTGATGGAGATGGGGACTGACCCGGAACTGGTGAAATGGGTAAAGGTGTGGCTGGGTTAGAAAATGGCGTTGCACACCTGGAATTACTCAGCGACACCAATGAAAAAGCCGCTTCTGCTTCTTTATTATTCAAGTCTCTGTAATGGTCATTTCCTTTGCTGGATACTTCTCCTTCCACACTTCCCTCACTTTCATTTCCAGATTCCCATGTGAGCTCTTTCCCATGTAATTTTCCTTTTTTCTGTCCTGGAATCCCAACTCCTTTTGTCAATGACTTGCCCTTTAATGACAAATGACGAGAACAATAACCTCTTCGCTGAGATTCCTTGTTGCATCCTTCCCGAGAACAAAGCCGTCTCCACTGTTTCCCATTAAATTTTTTGCGCACACCATTCTCTGTTTGAACAATGTCCCCCTTCTTGTATTTCTGTTGTGTGGGAGTTGGCGTGCGAGAGACAATGTTTTCTGCACGGTTTACACTTACAGGCCGTCTTGGAGTTTTCTGTCGGTTATTAAATTTTTCAAATCCACTCTCTATTTCCTCATCAGAAATGGCACTGTCTGTATTTTCCTCTTCAAGCAAATCATTGTTTGCAACATTGTTGTTTTCTGGAAAAGCCAAATGCCTGACAACAGTTGAAGATGTTGCATGATTAATGTTTCCTTCAGAAAGATTGCTTCCACTTGGAATCCTCTTTAGAGAATTTCCTTCCTCACAAGCCTTTTTCCTCTTCTGTGGAGATTTCGGTTTAAAATCTGAATCTTGTGGCAAAACAGCTGGCGTGGAGGTGCACTTGGCAGGAACAAAGGGACGTCCGTCCATATTTCCGTTTCTGTTTCCCTTTTCATCTCGTGCATACAACTCGTGTGTTTCACTGTGCGATTCTTGGTCAATTTCTTTCGATAGATTTCGTTTGGCCGAATTTCTTGACAGTTGATTGTTGACATTGGAAATATCTTGATTATCACATGGAGCGATCTTTGTATCTTCTGAGGCAAAACTGTATTCATTTGATTTTTTTCCAGGATTTCCACGCCGGACTCTCGCTTTCCGATTCATGTTCTCTGCAGGACAAAACATTTCGTAAGTATTAACGATGAAAGCGAGAAAATTAACGGCATCGCTAAATAGATTTTGCATAAAACAAAGTCAATTTTGTTCGAATTCATGAATATACATTTTGGTGTTTTTTTCCTACAAGGTTCCATAGATAGTCACATTAGCTATTTTGGCGTATCGGAAATTGAACGATTGAATAAAACCATCTTGGGTGAACGGGGAAACTGCCATTTTTAAAGCAGAATGTTTCAAAATGTGGATAGGTCTCGGTTGTATACTAATTACAAATTCAAGGAAACTAAAATTGACGTACACGACATCACAGGACGTGTACTACGAAAAAAGATTTGCTTTCGCTCGATTGTCGCCAAAATCAGCAGGATTTTATTCGAGTGGATAAATTTCTTGAAGAATCGAGCAAAAGGACGGCCAGAATAAAGGTTTTAAACGAAGCTGCGATTTTAACGGTATGACAGCTAAAAACAAGGTGACACAGGATACATCTGAATATTGCGTTTAGCATGAATATCCGCGATGCTACTCTTCATAGGATCGAACCGTAAAGTCAACCATGAGATCTTGTGGAAAAGTACTACTACTTAGACTAAGATCTCTTTAAACATCGAAGTTGCACCGAACGCTGAAAGATGTGAAGAACAACGGCTAAGATCAGCTGCGATTTTCTAACGAACCAGCTGACAAGCTTCTTTTGAAGGAGCCATAAATAGGATTTTGGCCGGATTTCGATTTGGAGATGAATTTGCTCAAAAAAAATCTTTAAACAGGTCCTTTACCTTGATTTTAAGCTGATAATTTCGATCGGTACATAACCTTGGCCGTCCGGTTTTTTACGGTTCGCAACACAATAAAGTTGCAATCATGAATGGAACAAAAAAATGTCGCTCAATAAGCCCAGACTTGTCCGCTCGACGTAGAATTATCAAGTGGTGTGTAGTAAAAATTTCGAATTTACCTTTGGCGCTCAGATCCTCATCCACGTTCCTGCCAAATAAGGAAATAGTTGTGTTAGAAAATATCGAAATGAAAAAGGAACCGAGAAAAATCTACAAATCGAATACGTGTAGATAGCTCGAGTTACAAGGTCGTAGAGGGAAAAAATTTGCTCGTAGCGCACTGGAGTAGCGGTCAGATACAATATAACATCAAAACAACATTACGGAGAATCGATCGTGGAAAACAAGGTCATATCTCTGTAATACAAACCTGGAGTCACAATACAGAATGGAGAGAATTCAATTCGAAGGAAAGTGGCCCCGCTTGAGGCGAACAATCGCTCTCGTACAGAAACATTTCGAAAATAAACCGTGAATTTGCTTGTCTTTCTGTGAATGGAGCCGTTCTCGACGCTGATTGGCCACTTGGTAAACTCATTCACATGTGTGACAATTGTAAAAATCTAAACAAAGCTTCTGGCCAATAAACGCTGGGCAACGAATAAACGCATAGAGCATCTTTCTGCGCGAAAGTCCAGAGAATCCAGATCGCTACGTGATGACATGTAAAATCACTCACGAGAAAACTAATTTTAACAAAACAAAAAACAACCTATCCAAAAAGGCATCAAAAATTTGGTATGGCTATTACACGTCTGCGCGAACTAACATAAAGCATTTTGGCAAATAAGCACAGTTGTCTAGTTGAAAATCATGAATTATTCTCGGAGCCAAAAGGCAGAAAATTATCATATAGCAAGCCTGTCAACCAGAAAGGTGTCTTCGTTATTTCTATTTTATGAATCATCCCAGCAAACATTTTCTCTCATATTCACGTACACAATTCACCTTTTCGTGACAGTAACAATTAAATTAATTCGCCCCCTCCGGTTCCATTTATAGTTTCCCTACACAGAAAACAGAACTTAAAATATACATGAAGAAGCTTTTCCTTTTCCACGGCATTGCGTGTGCTTGTAGTGGTTTTAGCACTATTTGCACGCTGTGAATATTTGAAACAAAACGAAAATTGAAAGAGCATGTCGTATTTCCCGTCGAGAATTGTGTGAAGTTGAATACTACAATTTTTCTAGAAATATCTTCGGTACACAAAGAACATATCCGGGATTAGAAAAGGCGAAAGTTCAGTCGAACAGGTTACAAGGACATCGTGTTTTGTTACAACTTTACAACGATAATAAATAATTCTGTTTACAGCAATATTACCATAAAACAGATTCGCATTTTCGGAAACAAAACAGCCATGTATGAGACGGAAAAAGTGGATCGGTGTTTATCAAAGTCTATAAATTACGTTGTTTTTCAACAAAATCCTAACTTGTTCGACAATTGTCACCCCCTTTATTTCTAAATGTTGCGGAAGGTTAAAAAAATATTAGACATAGATAAAAACTGACAAAAATATACTAACAAGGGCATGACTTGTGGGTGACTATCCAGTTCCTTTCCACTGGATCACACGGCGATCACAAGATGGATGACGAACATCTAAACTTCAGACATTGACCTAAATCACATGAGCAGTATTTCGTTTTGGCTCTTGAACCGTCAGCTCCCTACCTTGATTGAATAGATGCTTGAGATCTGAAATTGAATGTTGTTCAAATCACTACTGATTACTGGTCATACAGCGATGAGACAGCAAGCTCTGGTTAAAATTAGAGATGACGAAAGTGACGTGCGTTGAGCGAAAATGATTAGTTTTTGTACAGCTTGTTTATTTGCATTTTATTTTATTGTGAACGTGCTTTTGATAAACCGTAAGAAGCATATCTATGCACGGAATTTCAACAGCGTAGTTGAAAGCACTTGCGTTTACGTGTTTTGAAGGAGAAGCCCGGGAAAACCCTCACTTTTGTCTTCTCCAGAGGTAAAACAAAGTAAGGCATATTTTGGGTTATTCTCGAAAATAACCCTTACTGAACTACTGTGCAAAACCCAAAGGAAAAAGATGTTTCTGGATAAAAATCACGTCGACCAACTGTTTGTTTACACAGCAAAGAACATTTAAACCTAAACATAAACTACAAAATAACAATAATGGTAAAAAGAAATACCTCGTAAGGGTTGTATGAGTCTCCCTATGTCTCAGCCACCCTCCTGCTTCGGAAATATCCCTTTCCTTATTTCATTCAAGCTACAGACTGTTGTCAGTGATATCTATTCCAAGGGAATAGGAGAAAAGGAAAATCGAATATATTAATGCTTACCTTGACCTACGAAGCCAGTAAATGAATGGCTTTCAGCTGTCCTCGCCCGAAATGACATGAATAAATTCTGTTATTTAAAGTAGAATTGCTTACTGATTTGCTAGTTGCCCCGTAATGTTTCCTCTTTTAAAACAAATTTCGGGATTTAGTAATAAAGGTATTCGTTTTGGCTTCGTCTCATAAGCTCCATTCTTTCAAAAAGTAATTTTGTTAGTAGCATAGGTCGATGTTATTTTAATTTTTAAAAGCAAAGTGAAAACAACACGTCATCAATAATTAATACAGCTCTGTTTAATATGCGAGTTCAATCTTGTGATGATATCATTTAAACGTTAAACGCTATTACTTTTTTACACTGATGTTCTATAAAACCTGGCTGATTCCTAAGAATCATATAGTTGTCGGATATACTCAGAAAACCACACAAATTTACTTGTTATGTAATAATGATTCCATAAATGTGTCAAGCTCGCAGTTCGCTCGTATTTCGTTCGCTTGGAATTGAACTAATTTGAGAATATAACGTAATGGGAAGTGATCTCCGCTGTCCAAATCAAGACCTACTGCTGAAACAAATCGGTGGCTCCCCTTTGGGAACCTGGGTCCTACATTTTGCGCAGTAACCAATCGACTCAGGTGGCAAAAATCGCGTTCTTTATCGCGGAGAATGGTACTGGCAGTGCCCGTTGATGAATAATAATCCTGAGATAATCTTAAAAGTGCAAGAATATTGATTGACACCTGGGGACGTTGCGGTTCTACTTTGTTTTCATGTATTCATTCGGTAAACTAGACTTTGCTTCGGTCAGTCAGTCAGTCAGTGTCAAAAGAAAACACGGCTTAATTTTGTTGATTTGTATCTCGCTTACCCGTAGAAACAACTGAAGCTAACCCGTATTAAGCTACAGAAAAAAATGAGTTAATGAAAGCAAAACTGAAGTTTTTAATCGAGTCAATTCGGAGAGAAGCCTCAGTATGAAAAGTTAAGTAGATCACAAAAGAGAACTTGTGTTTTCCTGTTTCAAGCGAAATAGCTACTTTTTTAGATCAGACTAACATTTTTACGCAGAGCAACGGTGGAACGAAACAAATACTTAAGTGACTTTTCAATAAAGGAATAGCCCTAACGGTTTTTCTTTTCTCTGAAAAGTTTCCTTTGGAAAACGATAATTTCTTCATATTTCCTTCATAAAAAATAATTTATGCATAGAAGGTGAGCGCTCCAAAGCACTCCGTGAATTGGGCTTTTAACTAGGCCACACGGTAGTGTGATATGAGATGATAAGCCAGTGGATATCAGAAAACTTTAGCTATACTGTTTGCTTTTGATGGGTTATAAGGCTCTGGAACCCGATTTTATTCTAAGAAGTTCTTATTCCACTGGTGGTACGAGAATTTCTCTTGTCTTATTGCCGTTTATCCTTGTTTTTCATTAAGCTTCACTTCCCACAGGCTGAACTTCTGTTGCACACAAACCTTCATGTCATGTGAATTTTGAATGTACTTTGATTTTTTTCTTTTATTTCTTCCAGTAATATGTGTATGAGTTTTGCTGAGCGAATCGTTTTGGTAATGTGGCAATAATTGCGCTGTATTGAGTGTAACTTTTCAGGTTTGGCGTGGGAAATTGGTCAGCAGGTGTCAGCCAGCTAAGATCGAAGTTAATAGAGTAACGGGAGTGGAAAGACAAAGTAAAAAAAATGAAATTTTTTGCGATAGCTTCATTCAAAGTCTGTCAAATTTCTCAAAATGCCTTGCCATGGCTGTTTTAAAAGCAACAGACAATCCAAAATGTCAGGCTTGACAGAAATGTGGGGCGCCGAGAAATAGAAACCGTGAATTACCGCGAAAATTTTAAAGTGATATTTCATCGGGTGTAACACATATTAGCACTCACTTCCTCTTTTTAATTTTTTTCCGAGAACTAAATGAAAAAATTTCACCATTTTCAATTTTGACTGCAACCAAGTATTTAGAACTTTCTGCGTCAATAACTATTGTAGTTGTTCGTTACCCTGGAACGAATTACGTATACGATACTTGAATGAATGAGTAAATAGTAAAACTAACAAGAGAAACTAGAGTAAATTTCGTGATTTATTTTATTGTATATTACAGTCATAGTTGTATGAATAGGTCGATTCCTGATTTTATATAAACAATGTATTGGCGCTGAAAACCCAGTTTCTGGTGTGAAGAAGGTCCTTGTGAGTGTTTGCATTTAAATGGTTACCTAGCAACTCACACACAGATTGTCACGAGCAATTCAAAGCAACCTTGTCAATTTGCATATGTTATTGGAAAGAAAAAAGATGGCGACGGGACCACGACCTTGGCTTATAACGTTCTGTATAACGTTAATCTACGTCAAAAGAACGTGTCCTAAAATAGTAGAAGGAACTATAGACACGAAAGAAGTAAGTCCACTCAATGACAAGATTGGTGTATTGTGGAACCTCAAATTAAATTCAAGATTGGAACGCGCGCGTTCGAGCGATCGTGGGGTTTCGCTAATTGCTCCGTTTTCCTTTGAATTTTTCTAGGATTGGAGTTTTTTGACGAGATTTTGTTACAAAGATTCAATTGGAGAAATTAGATATCGTTTTGAATACCCAGAGGTAAGTTCTCGATGGATGAATTGTTTGAATGTTGTTGATCAGGATACCACAAATATCGTCGAAGTATTGTCGTTTGAAGTCGCATGCTGCTTCTCCTTATATTGCGAGTGTAGTGAGACCTGTTTGTTCATGCTCCAGCTTATATGTTTTTTTTCTTGCAGTCTTATGCTACACAGAATATTTTTCTTTACTTCGACACTCAGTGGCCTAGAGTGTACCCTAAACCTGAAATGGTAAGCTTTTTTTAGTATTTACCTGAAAACATACGCTAGCTAGTGACGCAATTTCTCCTCCTTTCTCAAATTTAACTCATTGTATGTAGTCGAAAACTGGTGATCTATTCATTTTGTTGTTTTTATAAGTCACGAGAAAGGGTAATTTTTATATCTACGGGAGTGAGTAATAAAACAGGTAATTATTTTCACAACTAGTTTCACGTCAATCGCAGATCATTACATTTGTTGGTCATTACTCAGCAAATTTATTACGTTACATGCAGTTAGAATATTGGAAGGGTATTTTGAATGCCTTGATTCTAATAATGTTAGAATTTGCGATGACAATTCTTTATAAGATAGACAACAGGACAAATCATGTATAATTATGACAGTTTCCTTATGTATTTTTATGGTGAAAAGCACGATTTCTTTCCTTTGTATTTGACAGCAATACCATATTTCCTCATTCAAAACAGGAAGCGAAAATAGAAAGCTGTATTTCATGTTGTTGCGGCAAAAACAAAAATAATGAAAACTGTATGTATTGACTCTTAGGTGCCAAAGTATTTTGATACACATTGAAGAAAACTGCTAAAATCAACCAAAATTGGTAGAATCACTATCGCGGCTGTTTGGTTTCATAAACAGGTGTTTGTTTTCATCTTGAAAACAGGCCCAATAAAAGTGGCCAAATATAAAGAACATGCTTTGCTGACTCACTGGATCAAATAAAATTTCAGGAAAGTATTTTCTTTTCTACTTTTATGGTATAATACAGCTGAAAATTTTCGTGGAACCTTTAAAGGTGCTCTGTCAACAGAACACTTAGTGTACATTGCATTAACTTCATGGACCTTTCAAGTACTCAGTTTGCAGTTTGCACAGAATGATAGGAAACCCTTATTACTCTGAGAATGTAGTATTGGATCAACTGATAATCTCTCATGGATATTTTTCTTTATTCTCATCACTTGTTCACTTAATGTTGTTTTGGTATTGTAAGGAGAAATTCTGTATTGGTCACTCACAGGAGTTCAAGATATAACAATAATCTGGTATTTACAAATATTTTGAGTAGAGATAGTGGACTAATGTACTTGTAAATCTAATAAACCATGAGGTAATTAGTTACAGCCTCATGCTTGGTACCTCAAGATCCTTTTTTTCCCAGGACCAGGACACTTCTCTTTTTGCTAAAAGAATCTTGATCTTATCATTTCCTCTGGAAAAAACAAATGTGATACTGTATTCTGTAGCTTTCTTAATTTGTGTCTGTGAAACAGAGGAGTCCTGACATAGGGAAGACAATTTGTGGTTTAAAGCAAAAAAAAACTCAGAATAATATGCCAGGTGCCTCTACAAGCTTTGTAAAGGATGTTAACTCTTTTTTTTCCTAAGATCTGTTTACTAATTTTACTCACTGTCTGCTACACAATTCTTGTGATGTTAGATCTGAGAATGTGGTATTGGATAACTGATAATCCCTCATTGATATTTTCTTTATTCTCATCAATTGTCTGCTTGAAGTTGCTTTGGTATTGTAGGGAGAAATTATTTCTTTGTCACTTATAGCAGTTGAAGATATAACAACAATCTGGTATATGAATATTTTGAGTAGAGCTAGTGGACCAATATACTTGTAATTCTAATAAACCTTGAGGTAACCGGTTGCAGTCTCATGCATGGAACCTCAAAATTCTTTTTTTTCGTTCAAAACTTGGACTGTTAATGACAGTTTTATCCCCTGCCATTGAATCATTTTCATGCAAAAGGAACCTTCCAGGCACATACTTTCACCAATTTCAATAACTCCTCATGAATTAAGGGCAACTGACCATGAATATTGAGAATCTGTTGACAGTTGTACAATGTTGTAATTCATTTTATTTTTTCTTAAAGGACTCTTTTGATGAACCTTTTTCAAAATTATATGGAAAAGTTCTATCATGCTGATGAGCCTTTTTTTTAAAAATTAAGTTGAAAAGTTCTATTGCACTTTTCTTTCTCCAAAAACTTGAAAAGTTAAAAAAAATTTCAACTGATCAGAAAATTCAAAGCTGCAGGGTCCTAAACAGACAATGCATAAAATGGTATTAGTAGAGCAGAGTTCAGAGTGGTAAATGTATTTTAAGTAAATGGAAGAAAGGTTTTGAAATTGTGTTCTCCTGAACATACAGGTGTTTTTCCTTACTTTAAAGATCAGACACAACATTTAATCATAAAAAGTCTATTTCATCTTCGGATGGTTGTCACAAAGTGAGCTGGGTGAGGAGAAAAATATTTCAAAATACTCAGTCATGGTTTAAGTGCACTTCTGGGCTCTATTTAATGCCTGAAATAGAGATTGTATTCAACTTATTGACATTTTCCTTTTTTTCTTCTTGTTTTGAAGCTGGGAGCAAAACAAAAAACATGTTTAGTAATCATGTTCTCCCCTTGCCACATTAAACAGAATCAAAACGTAAGCAAAAGTATGCAAGGCTTATCTTTTGATAATATAGTCTTGAAGGAGCTGCATACAAATATTGATAGAAAATATCAAAAAAAATGAAAATTGCCAAAGAAATGCAAAGTCTTAGCAGTACTTGAAAAGGGACATGCTTGAACTTGATTTAAAAGTATTAGCCCAATTTGTTTCATTCTAGAAACATTGAGACCTAGAATAAAGTTGAGCTTCTAGTACAAAAGTTTGTATATGTAATTAGGGCAATAAACAGCATGTGGTAATTGCTCTCTTTCTAATAGCTTTGAAATTGGAAATTTAAGATAGTTCTCTGTATTTTAATAAATCTTGAAGTATCATAGCTAAGAGTAATTTTGTTTTTTATTAAAATCCTCAATTATCATTCAGTGACCTCCTTTTGCAAAAAGTGCAATTGATAGGAAAGCTTTTAGGCTGTGGAACACAATTTTAATTTATTTTTCTTTTCTCAAGACTGTTGACAAATTTCAGCAGTTGTTGATTAATGAAAAGCAACCTTCATTGCAAGGCATTCAAATAGAGACTCCTCTGACTTAAAAAATATTAGAATACAATGAAAGACATTTTTTGGAAAATTTAGGGTATTAAAAATAACTTTCCTTTTTTCCCTTAAGTTATGTGGGATTCTGTCAGTTCTTTGAAAAAAGTACAAAGTTATATACCTAAATGAGATTTTCACTTGTGGCTGTTAAATTGAATTATGTAAATTCAAACCCATGACTACAACCTTTCAACCAAGGTGTTAGGTCTTCAAGTTCATTAGAATCAATTAAATTGCAAGCTTGCTCATGAAAAATATATTTAAAAACAAACCTATCTTAAATTGAAATGGATTTAATTTTAAAAAAGGTAAAGTCTTAGTTCAGTTAAATGAGGAACCTCTGTCATCTACTTATTTATTTCATGTGTGAAACCAATATTTACAACCTGCCAAACAGTATTGTTTTGTAAATGCAGTGCTCAGTGCTATCAGCAATTAGGAAACAGGTGTTTTTTTGCTGAACTGTTTTGGAGTTTTTACATATCATATATTAAGGGATGGGAAAATAGTGGCTTAGATTTACTACTTTTTGGATGCTAGTATTCAGGAATTTACTCTTTTCCCAGAACCAGAAAATTAAGAATATGGAATAGATCTACATGTCTGAGACAATAACTTTTGAACCATAACAGTCAATAAGTCACAAAGTGCTCCTATGAGGGAACAGGATCTTATACTCAGAATAGTAATGAGGACCCAAATGCACCAATGACAGCAGGCCATAACCCAGTAATAATGTCAAACAAAGGTGCTAAAATAGCAAAACATAAATATTCCAGCTTGTTCCCTGATGAAAGACAAGCAGTATAGTAGTCAAAACCTTGCAAGCAATACATGATTGATTAGCCTGGCTCTTACATTGTGAGATTTCATTCACCTATAACACCACAATGAATATCAACACTTAATATAACTTTTGATGCCTTTCTGAAATCCATGTCAGCTTGGTCAATTTAGGAACTTTTTCCTCTCTTTCCACAAATTAATTAGGCATAAAAATGTGACACAGCAGTTCTTTCTGTGTTTAATGCATTTTGATATGCAACAACTATTACTCCAGACATCAAGTAACAAATTAATTCAATAAGTTAGTATTTACCATTTAACTTCAGTCCACTGCCTTTAACAAGATTGGTAGGTCTTTAATTTTGAGGGCTTTTGACATTATTACTGGTATTAACCTGTGAGTAACATAGTAGAGAGTGTTTTGATCCTCAAAAGTTATTATTTGTAGTTAGTTAAGCATTTTAACCTTGTCTTAGGCCTGTGGACTTGAGCTCAATAATTTTCACAATTATTAAATAATTGATGTATTATTGATATTATTGTTATTATTATTATTATTATTATTATTAGATTATTGTTATCATATGAATCTTCAGCATTTTTTGGGTGGTGGGGTAAATTGTGAAATTTTTATTAAACTTCCTTTTCGCAGATTATGCTTGAATCACTTTGAATAAGGCCAATGTAAACTTTTAATTGTGCCTAAATATAACTTTGCATGTATTTATTTTCAGCCATATCTCAGATTTATTTATTTTATGAGTTATGGTATGGATTCCAGGCTTTTTGACCTTTGGGTGTTTCAATCTTTAAGAAATTTTTAGGGAGATATGAAAAAATAATTAAATTTTGCTCATCACTGACAATAAATGTTTGTTCAACAGTCTTGTTTAGATAAAGAAGACAAGGTGTACAGAGGGAATAACCAAGTTATAAACCTTACAACCAGTTATGTGTGGTCTGGATGTAAAAAGAAAGATTTGGATAATGAATCTTACTTAGAGTGCACTGGTAAGAATAACACAGTGAAAGCTATGATATCTCTTTAACTCCTAAAAGGGCCTGGCATCTAATTTCTCCTGACAAAAAAACATCAAGGTCATGAGACTAAGGCAAATTATCAGCAACTAAAGAAGCTCTTGATTGTTAAACAAATTCTCTCTTTCATAACCTTTAGAAATACACAGAGAAAGTAAAGAGAATACACATACTGATGTTAGGGTGTAAAGGGATATGCAACAACATTAGTTTACTTATCAAATCTGCATTTACCACTTTTAAGGAAGAACAAAGTATTTTATAGATGGAGTTTCAGAAGAACTACATTTCACTGCAACACCTCCTTTGCCCTATTCACTGTTAGATTTTCATAGCAAACACAGTGATACATTGTTTAACTATTTAAACTCTAAAAGTGATTAGCATCTAATTTCTCTTTACAATATCACCCCTGAATCATACAATAGGGTCATCAGAATAAAGGAAATTATCACCTAATAGGAAGCTCTTGATTGTTAAACAAATTCTCCTTGCCAGCACCTCAGGAGATGTGTAGAGAACACTATGGAGAATATGCATGCCGTTATTTGGGTGTAAAGGGTTAAAAGGAAGGGTGGGTTAAAGGATTGGTCTCAGGGATAAAATTGGTGAGGTATTCCAAAGTATTGTGATATCAGTGGCAGTGTATCAACAGTTTTTGTTGTAGATCTAAACAAAAACAGTTCTTAGGAAAAAACACGAAATACTTGGTAACACCACTTGGATCAGTTCTAACGATGATGAAAATTTCCTACTTGACTTTTTAAACCTCTAAGAGTGACTAGCATTTAATTTCTCCTCACATTATCACTGCTGTATTACACATAAAGGTCACAAGAATAAAGGAAATGACCACATCACCACTAACAAAAGAAGCTCTGGATTTCTAAAGAAATTCTTCTTGTCAGTTCCTTAGGGAATGTATAGAGAAGAGCATGGAGAAAATACATACTGATGTTAGGGTGTAAAAAGGATAAAACTAGCAAAATGTGGATTAACTAGAGCATGTATTGGGTTAGTTTCTTTTCATACCAAAAACCACAAAATTGAAAAAAGTCCCTTGTGAATATGTGCCAGTTCATTATTATAAGTGACCAAATCCATAAACCAACTGCAACTTGGCTATTTAAGACTGGGTTGGATTTTTAAGAACACTCTACATATCACTTTTTAAACTTTTTTATTGCAGGAGATAGGCGTTTTGTATCTTCTCGTGAGAGATGGTGGTATTTAGCTGTAAGCAACTGCAAGTCTACTAAGGTAGGCATTTTTTATCGTTTGCATTTATCAAAGCCTCTTTACAGGCTTTCAAAATATAGCTTTGTGGATGATGTTTTGTGCTTTTAGAGATATAAATAGGTACACATTGTATTGCTTTAAGAGGAGTCACAGTGCACAGTATTTTGTTGTTTTGATTGGAATGTAGAATTGTTGTAATTTAAAATAAAAATGATTGTCCTTGTGAAATGGAGAATTTTGTTGCCCTTGGGAGTTTGAGTTAACTGGGACCTATTGTAACTGAATTCTAAAAGATAACTTTTTCACCAAAACTTTGATGATCTTAAAGTCATGAGACTGATTAAATTTTGACTTCTTTTTAGGGACTGCTGTTGAAGTACAGATTAGAAATGACAAATGGAGATACGTTTTGGAAAAAGCATTTCTCTGCAGACGAAAGATGTATGTACATGTACAATAGACAATCATTCAATAATTTCCATGTTAAAAATTTATCAATTAAATTATGAAAATTGGTCCATGCTTAGCATGCATATATATGTCAAGTTATGGTTGCACAAACACAGGAGAAGCCTCTTGAGTGCTCCAAACTTCCCAAGTGTATCCATAACTCAATATTCACACAGCTAAAGCATGAACCAATTTTGTTTTAACATAGTGTACAGACACAAGTTGTAGGTAGGCCTTGTGCATGCACTATGTTACAATTAAAATTGATAATTTTTTATTAGACTAAAGGAATCAAACAACAGATATTAATGATCACTTACAGTAACAATTAGTAATTATATTAAGTATTTTGCATGGTAACCAACTTATTGACAGTTTAACATTTTTAAATTGTTTCCTTTCCATTTCTTTTCCAGTCATTCTTCCAATGGACATAGCATTTTTTATTATATTTACCAGTTTGTGGTTTCTTGGCATCTATGTAGCATGTAAGAAACTTTAATTAACTTATTAGTTTACTCTTTTTTGACCATGTAATCAGTACCTCAAATCATTACTTTCAAGTATGTGTGAGATTTATATTATGAAATATTTCTGTTACTGATGGTTATATACTGGTTATATTTTCCTTTTTTGTTCTAAATAACTCTTGTATTGCATTTAATTGGCATGGCTTTGGGGAGCTTTCTAGTCTTTTTTTTATTATTATCAATGCTGACCTCACTCCCTTAAATTGTGATGATGGCAGCTTACTACCTGACACCTATTTACACCTCGTCAGAGAAAAGGGTAGCTAATTAGTGAGCATATAAAAGAACCTGTTGTGGTACAGGAGTGTCGAAACGTTGGCTCTTTGAATTGTAACTTCTTGGTTACATTCATTAAATCTTTAAACCAGAGTAGCATCAAACCATGTCTGATTGTCTACCTGGGTGCCCTGTGAACTTTAGTATATCTGATTTGGGCAAGTTTTCAGGGGCAATCACAAATTATAGGAAAGCAAAACCAGTGCAGTTGTGGATTATACTGGATATAAAAGATATTATGACTTAATGATAACAATGACAGAAATGATGTAATTGCAATTGGTAATAATTCTTTTGTACTGCAGGTCAACTAACTTCTCGAAGATTATTTCACTTCTCATACAAATTATATTTGTGTTCCCTGACATTTGAAGGTAATTAAAGTTTTGTAAGTTGACTTGGAAAACACAGTCATTGACTTTTATTAATAGTTAACTCTCTTCTCACCAATCAGTAATTCTCAAGAGAATCTATAATTTAAATTTATATTCAAGGTTTTGTTTCATCATGGGAGGTCTTCAATGACACAAATTTTCAAAAAGTTTGCTCTATTAGCAATAGGCTGGTAATTATTAAAAAAAAAAGGAAAAACACCAGAGCAGTGACATAACATGTTGAAGTGCACAATACGATGCTAACACATTTTTAAAGTGGGCAACCTTAGGATGGATGCTAACACATTTTGAAAGTGGGCAACCTTAGGATGGATGCTAACACATTTTGAAATGGGGCAACCTTAGGATGAATGCTAACACATTTTGAGAGTGGGCAACCTTAGGATGGATGCTAACACATTTTGAAAGTGGGCAACCATAGGATGGATGCTAACACATTTTGAAAGTGGAGATGGTTCGTGTATTCCACAATTTAGTAGTATACATAAGTTGATTAGAATTTATAATTTAACTGACTTAAATTTCTTATTTTCTTATGTACAGTGCTTAGCTTGATATTCTACCTAATATATTACATTGAGTATGGAAAAAAAGGAATTGAAAAATATGGAATTTCAGTAGTAGGTAAGTAAGTTGTGTTTGTGGAAACATTTGAACATTTGCTTGGTGTAATTCAAAGAAGAGAGAATCCTTGAAAATGTTGGTAAATTTGCTCAAACTGTAAATGTTAATTAACAAAACAACTGTTTGAGTACTTGATATATGCAGGCAATATGATTCTCTTCTACTTTATTCAAACCCTAGAATAACTATGCTGCAACACTTTCATCTTGACTAGGAAAAAGGAATCTAAAATGGGCAGTGCTGGATTAGATTTACTGAGGATTAAAAATTTTTGACATATTGATTTGATGAGATATTTACATATACTTTTTTTTTTTAATCACAGGGCGTGCCTTTCATTTCACTTCTCATGTTGTATTCCTAATAATGCTTATTTTGATGGCCAAAGGATGGACAGTGACAAGGTATTGCTGAAGTACATTAACCTTAAAAAAAGTTGGTGTCAAATTGAGTAACCTAAATTTAAATTGCTGTCAGGTGACCATTTGGCAACCAATTTAGTCACTTAGAATAGGTAAATTTTCAGATAGCCTTGTTGATAGTGACAACCACCCTTGAAATTAAAATGGAGGAAAAGGCAGTGCTTTCAACAATATTGGAAGAAGGTGGCTGCCTTGGTAAATCACCCCCAGATAATAACATGAAATACAATTTCCCTCTTTTTATTCCATTCCTTCTATTCAGAATAAACTGGCTTCAGATGAAGTTTGCTGTGTTAAACCTCCATAGATGATCATTTCACATTTGTCTCCTTTGTAACAGTTGTATAACTAATCATTTTAACTCTAAATAAATCTTACATTTGCTTACATGCAAACTGCTTCCTGAGTTTCACACAAAAAGTCCTCTGAGAGGACATATGGTTATTGGTTATAGAAATGTTGGGTCAGTATGTTCTTGAAAACTCAACAACTTTTTTTTTGCCGGAAATGTTTGAAATGTATGCTGGAATATATGATAAGACAGTATCAATAATTTTTATCAAAACTTTTCTGCAAAGGAAAAAGAACTGAAGAAACTCTAGAAGAATTTCAAGTGTTTTAGGTTTTAAGCTTCCAAAGTATACCTGGCATTTCACAACATAATACCTCCCAGAGCTCCAGTAGGTGCCAGATCCTTATGAAAGCATTGAAAAGGTGACAAGACTTACTTGGTTTCCCCTATCTAACATGAAATTTAAATTTACTTTAATGTGAGAGATTAAGCAAACTGTAAGGGAGACCGGGAGATTTGCATTGTATCATAGATACATGAGTTGGCAGACATCTTTCTTAGAAAGAGAATGTAACTGACCTCACTGGACTGAATCATTTGTTTGCAGAGGACGTATCAGTTCTTCTGGTCAGATCAAGCTCAGTATCTTTGGCACAGTGTACACAGTGTGTTTTGCCATCCTTTTCTTCTATGAAGTTGCTGTAAGTGGAATATGATGAAATAAGTGGCAACATGTCCCTCTAAATTCTGCTTTTAGGACCTAAAAGTACCCAGTGGTCTATCAAATGGTACAGGTAACAGTTGTGATAAAAAAAAAAGTATCAAAGTGCAAGCTAGAATTGCATAAAAGTCCAATACTTATCACAGCTGTATTCTAGTATCAGAAGTACCATTATTTGTTATTTTCCCTGCTAAAACTTTCCTATGGGGAGTGGGAGGAACCAAAGCTCAATAGACATGAGCCTGTATTGCAAAAAGGAAGAGTGTTCATGAAGTTGTCGTTACACACTCGAGATCATTAGAGAAAGATGTTGCATGGATTTGGCAGGAGAGATTTGATGTCTGACGGAGCTGAAATATTTACAAATGTAGTTCCCCTTTATCAATTTCCCTAGGGGATTGCTCATCTCACCCAACCCACCCCACCACCAACCCTTCTAGAAGAGAAATAGAATGCATCATTCTTAAGCCCTTACACCCTAACATCAATATGCATAATCTATACTGTCTATACATTTCCTAAGGTGCTGATAAGGAGAATTTGTTTTATAATCATTTCCTTTATTCTCATTACCTAAATGTGTGGTTCGAGGATGATATTGATAGGAGAAATTAGGTGCTAATCACTGTTAGGGGTTAAAGAGTTAAGACAGAGAGATTTTGATTTCAGCTTCATATTACAGCTCAATATCTTTGCACAGGGTGAGAAATGATCAATGAAAGATTTGATGAAATACTTGTAAGGTTACAATTAGATAAAAAAATAATTTTAATAATAAATTTGTGTTGGAATTTAAGGTGTTTGATCCTGGCAAGGTCCTTTACATCTATGAGAGCCCTGCTGGTATTGGAATCTGTGTTCTGAGAGTCATAGTAAGTATATGTGTTACACTTTGTTACAGGCTAGCCTCAAAGAACCAATTCTTACTCCTCATTAACATATAATTCATGTAATGTTTGGAGAGAGAACTTTTGGGTTAGGTTTAGTGCAATTTCCTCTAGATCATGGCAATTGATTGAAATTAATATGCACTTGCTTGCATTTAATATGCATAAAAGAAATTACTAGTAATTAATAGGGTCAAGAATCTGGCATGATTATCAGTCCAGGAGAGATAATTGGTATAAATAATCAATGAAATGAGAAACAAACTTAAGTTGTGAATTATAAAATTAAGGTTTAAATTTTAAATTTATTTCCAAGGATTCTCAGAAACTGAGATATTGATGACTTTCATACAGCTTAAGTTGTTAACCTTATTGTAACTGTTACTGGGTGCTTATGTTAAACTTTCCTGGTTTGTTTATTGTGATGAAGCTGATTATTACTAATAACTTTCAGGCTTGGTTGTGGTTCTGTTATGGGACTTTCTTTACACTGAAGCACTATCCAAACAAAAGCAATTTTTATTACCCATTCTGGATAATCTACACAGGATGGTAAGTTGGATAGAGTGTTCAATGACCAAGAGATGCATATCCTCTGATGTATTTTGAGATTGAGTAATTTTGTTCTCCTTTGTTCTTTTACTTGTTTTTTATTATTATTATTGTTTGCTTGTTTGTTATAACAACAACTACAACAAAAAAACAATAATTGTGGTAGTAGGTCTCATGTTAAGTTTGGGTCATTTGAAATCTGACATGGGCCTACCTAATGTGATAAAAGTAGGAGCATGGTTGTTGTAGCACCCCTTAATATCATGCAAATTGAATCAGATCTTCTTACTAATAGGCAGCATGTCCCATCTGCCCTATATGTTAATAAAGAGGGTAAGTTTCTTAAGAAACCGTGCTGCTGTGTTGGTGGGGGAGTATAACAAGGTAATTTGGTATCATTAACTGAGTTTGCCATTGTAAAGATTTTAAAAGCTGACATTTTGAGCATTAGTCCTCAGTCAGGGCCAGTGATGAAGGCTAATGCTCAAAACATCAGGTTTTAAAATCTTTCTGGTGGCAAATTTATGTTGTCAACTCAGTTGATATTACAAAATTAGCTTGCCTTGCATTTTATACAAGCTTCCACCACTTGCACCTGCTTTTAAATCCTTCTTCCCCTTTCAGAATAAAATTTGTTTCTTCATCCATTAAAAAATTCATCTCTCTCAGGTTCCTTGCTGGGCCAATCATGGTTGTTATTTCAGCGTATAGAATACAAAAATGGGAAAGGTGAGGAGACAGTGTTGGATCATATCACTATCATCTCCTTTGTCTTCTTACATATTTCTGAATGACTCTTAGATCTCAATCATAATTTAAACTTACTGGTATTAAAAAACTAATCCTTATTGAGATAGATGTACCAGTAGTTGTGTGTGTAATGGATTCTCTTTTTTTCATATGAGAGGTAAAATGTAAAGCATTGGTCAATAACTGAAAAAATGTAAAAGTGTCCTTGCAGTGAAAAAAATGTCTTTTTTCTTCTTGTTTGAGTTTGCTATTTACTTGGTGATGAGGTTTCATGGTACTATTTTTTTATTCAGAGCTCAAATTGTTAACGGAATTGATTGGTGCATCTCTATTCTGGCACATGGTGTTTTCTTGGTAAGGAATCAGTCCAAACTGTTTTGAATGGTCCTAGATACCTGTTAATTTCTATATATGAACAGTGTTTGAAATATCTCAGATAACTGATTAAAAATTAAATAAAGTAAAAGTATAAAGCTAATTAAGTTTTCCCAAATATTAAGGATTTATTTTTTTGGTTCAGATAAACATTCCAGCCAAAGGCTGTTGCCCACAATTTGTTGAATCTTTTACACCCTACCATGTTCTCCTTACTGTTCTCTATACATTTCCTAAGGTGCTGACAAGGAGCATTTTTTTTAATAATTAAGAGCTTCTTTAGATGGTGATCAATTCTTTTATTGTTGTGACCTTGATGTGTGCTTCAGGGGTTACATTGTAAGGAAAAAATTAGTTAGTTGTTATCCTAAAGGGTTTAAAGAGGAAGATATTACTTCTACATGCTCCCTCTTAAACTACATTTTCATGTTCACAGGTCATTACCAGACCTAATGCAGCAAATTCCAATTTCCCATTTCACCTAAGAACCAATCAGGTAAGACTGGCTTGTTACTGATGTAATTAATTGAGTCACTTTGGAAGATACCATGAAGCTAGCACTCCCGGCCCCAGTTGTTCAAAGGGCAGATAATGCTATCCCACAGGTAAATCACTATCCAGTGGATAAGTGCTAACAAAATGTATTGCACTATCCACTGGATAGGGATTTATCCAGTGGATAGCATAATCTAACCTTCAAACAACCAAGGCCTGTGTGGGTTTGTGGGTTTACCAGTATGTGGTACTTAATTTCTGCTTGATTCTACCATTGAACTACACAAAAAGACTCCAACTTCTTGCCCATGGGCATACTGACTACACATTTGTATTACATACACATATTTGATAAAGTTGGTTCAAGTATAATTCAGTTCCAGTAAGGTTTCACTTTTTATTTTTGTCAGCTTATTTTCTATATTCTTCTAGAATTACTTAAGCACACAGCATTTTATTCATTAGCATTTGTATTTGCAGCCTAAATGGCAATGTGCCATTCCAAAAAGGGAGACTTTTAAAAGTGTACAATTGATAGAGTTATCATTACTCTGCATGTTATTGTTAGTAAAATTTTATGAGCATGACTTTGTTTACTGCAGGCTATTTCTTTGTAGATATAATTTTGGAATAATGTAATGAATTCTTGGATGTATTAGTTTGCAAAGTGTTTCTTTATGGCATTTTAAATCTTGAAATTAAATGGACACAACTCCATTAGCTTCTAGCCTTGAATCTCATCAGTTATAAATGAAGATATTGCTGTCTAACTAATCATTCATGATTTTTCAGACACTCTGTCTATCTGTTCAGGTATAAGTGTACTGGTACATATATTGTTAACAGTGAATTGTTAAATTTGTTTAGAAAACTTGTTATCTTCCTTAGAATAACTATTTCATGCTTTGAAAAAGACAAAATTATGGTGCTACATCACTTATTCAAAAAATGAAATTATTTTCTAGATTGGCATTCAAGAAGCTGCTCCCTCCAGACCTTCAGAGAATGGAATTGCATACTACACTCCTCCCCTGCCAACTGCACCCCCTCCTTACTACTCTCAGCAACCAGGTCGCTTCACAGACATCACATCAATGTTTTCAGTTGGTGGAGGGGCCAATGGCAAGGTAAAAATATCAGAATCTTTTAATGGGAATTGCTGCTTGAAAACTAGGTCTTTTGCAGCAATTTTGTCACCAGCCAAGTGGCCAATTTGCACTTTGCAGTTGGCACTCACTGTGCAAAAGATTTAGGGCTTATAAGCAATTTTTCTAGCTGGAACTGCATCATCTAAATCAAAGAACATCTCAGCATTGGTAAAATTTTAAGTTGCTTTAGTTTACAGTCTTTCAGATATCAGAGCTGGGTTATGCATGTTTGCCAATGGACTTAATCAGGTTCAAGCTATAATAGCTACTTCAGCAGATAACATAGCACAGGTTGACTGTAAAATGTGATACACAAGGCTGTCTACTCCTTAACCATATATGCCCTGCAGGAAAGCATAAAGAAAACTCTAACCTATTGCAAAATAGCTGAAATCGCAGCTTCAGCTAAAAATAAAATGAGCTGGCTTAGATCAGTAAGAATACATATAGATCAGCAAAAATTCCATTTTTGAGTAGCATCAGTGATTAGCAGTGTTTGAATAGAAAACTAGCAAAACTTATTCACCAAGGCTTTTAACTCTAGCAGTTTTATTCCACTTCAGAACAATGCATTTGCTTGCTTTAGGGAACAGAAATGTCCTACGAAATAGTGATTTTCAGGCTCTAAGACTACCCTGTCATGAATATAAGAATCCAAAGTACTCCTCCCTTGTTTAATAATAAAATCCATTTGGGTGCTCCTTTTTTACCAGTTGTGAAATTATTATAATTTTTAAAGGTTACTCTTCTGTGGATGGAAATCTGGAATACTGTATCAGCATTATATAATATGCTCGGTGTTAATTACTTAGAGATATAACATTTCTCTGTATCTACTTTGCAGCTGCCATATCCACCTGCAAATTCTTCAAATGGTTTGCAGAATCCTTATCCACCCATGAATGGAACACAAAATGGTGGAATGAATGGAATACCAATGATGACAACAAGCCCCAACTGATCAGTGTCTGCTCATCATAGACTGAATATTGTAGATTTGTCTTGTATAAAATTGTTTTTCTATGACTTTCTAATATTCATACTTAGTGTTTTAGACTCATACATGTGCCTAGTCATTCATGACACATGCCAAGAATTTAAAAACTGTTTTGCTTTGTTATTTGTTGTTTGTAAGTGAAATGTTGTCTGTAAGTTAAATGTTGTTTGTTTATATGATGATTTATTTTTTGTGCTTATCTTTTTCCCTACAAGTAAACTATGTTTAGTTAATCTTTTGTAAATTTGCAGTGGAAGCTTTTGTGGCAAGTACTCTTACAACTTGGTGGCTTTTCCCACATGTAGAACCATTTTCACTACACTTTGAACTACCATTACAACTCTTTATTTGCACACTTCCTTGAAAAGAACCCACTAATAAGCAGAAGTAGGCCTTCCCAGAAGTTAAAAACTGGTTTTCCATTGATTTTAAAGTCCTCTAAGTACTCAAGCCTTGTTCAATGGTAGGGGATAAATTGTATTTTAATCAATCTGAATTCCACATTGTCACTTGTCGCAATTATTTCATAGTTCATAAATTACTACATACAATTTTCATGTTTTCCTGGTAGTCATAAAGTAACATTCATTTACTTTTCAAAATGTTGTGATGGCTAAATTTAAAGCAAAGAGTAAAACTTTGCAGACTTCCACAGTTGCAATATGGTAATAAGTAAATATAAAGCATGCAAAATGGTATTCAAGTCTAACCTCACCATGATAGTTAGCCTGCAGAGCAAGCATAATTTTGGCAAGGGAGTGCTCAGTATTTTCTTGGTGAAAATTATAGCTACTATGATGGTAGCAGAAGGCTGGGTAGAGAAAGAAATTTGTACCAAGGAAGTGAGTGACTGTCAAAAGGAAGGAGAGAGGAATATGTGGTACAATAGCCACAAAAATGTATCCCAGCTGGACTGTAGGCTATAATTTATGAGGGAAGTTCTTGAATTTTTACCTTAAAAACTAATTCACCAAAGTGAAGGTGAATTGTAGTTGATATTCACTAAACTGCAAGGCAGCAAGGTATATATCTAGGGCTTTCATCAACACTGAGGTGAATAATTGTTTTAGTACATGCCATACAGAAACAAAAATCATTTGTTTATTTCTGTCATTATACAAGGGTTAAAAATTAAACTCTTGATATGTTACCTTGTTTCTTCGGGTGCTCAGAGGTGAATAGGCACTGGTTTATCACTTTTGAACTAGCCAAGTGCAAGTGCAAAAAACAATATTTCACCTAACTGTGTGGTAGACACAAGAAGAACTATTCAATTTTGCATTGATATGCATCATAATTTCAAAATTTCTTGTTGTGTTTAAAAATGTTTATAGGGCATTACAAAATGTTATAATAATTGTTCCTCTTAATTTATTGTGAATTGCTTTGCAAGTTAACGTAATTTAAATAGCAGACAACAAGAGAATTCACTTAGCATGTAATAGTTTAACTTCTTGGAAGTTAACTAGGTGAACAATTTCCACATTTTGTGTACATAGTAAAGTAACTTAAAGTTTGGCTTTTATAATAAAACTAATTTTTTATTCCACACTGTAGATAGGAGTTCCAGCTGAATCCCGATAAATTCACTAGTTTATTTACTAACTATTGTTATTACACTCATCAAGTGCAGCATGTGTAAGGTATGTAATTATTGTACTTTTCAGCAACATTGAATACACAAAAACCAATAATTGCTCATATGATAATATATTAAAACAAAACTTTAATTTTCAGCTGTTGATGTAAATTGTTGCTGTCCAGACACAAAATTCAAAGATAAGTTCTGATAAGAAAGAGAGAATTCCATTCATTAATTCCTAATTTTTTTTACTTGCATGGAAGACTGCCCTGTGTACTTTCTAGATTAAAATCTTTGGTAAATTTTTTACAATCACTTTGCAACTCTTGAAATTTGGTAGATACATGATCATGCAAAGGAAACCAAACTCAAACAGAGCGTTATTCCATTGCCACCACTTTTACCTGGGTTACTTAACCCTTTCACTTCCAAGATCTCATTGGTAATTCTCCTTACTGACTGCTGTACAATTCTTATGATTTTAGTTCTAAGAATTTGTTACTGGATCAACTGATAATCCCCTAATTGATATTTCTCTTTATTCTCATCACTGTCTGCTTGAAATTATATGGATATTGTTGGGAGAAATTCTGTCTTGGTAACTCATTGGAGTTAAAGAGTTAAACAAAATTAAACCAATCATGCTGTACAAAACAGTAACATTTAATTCTGACAGTATTCATTTAGGTCAATTGATGATTAGGAAACAGCAATTAATTTATTTTAGGTGCAATGTATTGCAAGTTTTTCTGTATTCCAATTGATCAGTTTTTGGCAAGTTACCCTGCAATGCAAAGGCAGGTTGAAAGTGCAAATTTTTTTTGACAAATCATTATACTAAGGGCAAAGTTTGCCTTCCAGCAAATAGTTCTGTTCAAGTCTGTTAAGAGAAATACTGTTAGGACCAACTTAAGCTGTCCTAGAGACTGGGGTGTCCATCTTAAAAACAGTTAAGGTAATGCAACACAAGTAAATTTGCCAGGCTGGTCTTTACATATATTCTGTTGGTTTGAAGTCTCTCACTTAAAAAACCTACAATATGAAAATTTAATTGCAAATATTCACTGCTCTTAAAGCTTAGAATCATAATTAGAAAAATATATTTTTAAAAAACACCAAAAGCCTATTTTAGAATTGACAAGGTGACTTAACAAAGTTATGCCAAGGCCCCAAAGGATACAAATGAACTGAATGTGACTTATTGTGTATTAAGACTTAAAGTTAATGGAACCCCAAAGGGTGAAAAGCTTATGTAAACATTTCAATTAAACTTTGGATTAGCAGGAAAGGATAAAGAAAACAGCCTTGTTTTTATACACCTTATACAAAATACTTTGGCACTTGAATTTTTTAATAGGCTTGTAAGTATGAATTTTCTCTAAAGCGTTCACAGGTTACAGTGTTTGTTTGTTTGTTAGATATCTTCATATAGAAGATAATAAGACTGATGTGTTGGCACATGGCACGTTTGTTTCCTGAAAAACCACAATGAAGATCTAAGAACCTAAGACATAGGATGATGGGTAGATGTTGAGAGCAGAAGTTATTTATAGTGATAAAGTTTCTTGTACTTCTCATGTTTCAGCTATGTCTCAGAAATATCAAATTGTAAATATGTTACTGCAATCATGGAATCAATTTTTGTAGCCAAAAAATTTTACTTAAACTACTAAGTAATAAAGAGATTTAAAAATTTCAAAGAAATTGTCATTTACTTTGCTGGTTTTTGTTTAACCATAGTAAGTAAATCGGGTAAGATTCAAACTGTAATATTTCTGTTACAAGATGTAAAAACACTCATCAGAACAAAGAGTGCAACGTTATGAAGAATTATGTAGATGTCTGAAAGTGTGAGAGGTCCTATCACTGACCAAGTGCTCACATGCACGTGTGGATAAATGCTGAGAGGTTTCACCAACATAGCAGTGTTTTAACATCTTGGGTCAATTACTTCCACAACTTTTCAACTTAAAATCAAAGAAGCTATCCACATTCAACGGGAGAAACCTACACTTAATCATCAACTTTACCATGTTAATTCAAAACTTTCCTTGTAAATGCATACATTGTTTTGTTATTATTGCTTGTTTTGTCCAATCAGCATTTTGTTACACACTTTAAATTCAACTTTGTCTTTGTATTATTCAGAACTGTAGTTGACAGAAGAACTCTTATAACATGTTTTTAAAAGTGTCATTTATTTTCTTAGATTCTGTTACATCCCCATCTCTTTCCATTGACCATGACGGCCACAGGAATTTCTCTAATTTTCCGTGACAATAAATAACATCTGCCTGACTTGTCATGAACAAAATGTAACATTCAGTGGCGGTCTCCAGGTCAACCCGCCAACCGGTGAAGGAAAAACCTCTTTCAAATCAAGGCAACCGATAATATTATGTCTGCCCTTTATAAAATCTCGATTTCGCCGAGTTAACATGAAATTTCCAGATCGTGAAAGGTTTCCCTTTCCCTTTCTACTTTCCGACCTTGACATCTATGGTAAGCCCCATTAAAGGTTTCTTATCTTCATTTTCTCCGCAATCGCTTGTTTGCGAGGCCACTTTTCAAGATAATGTGGAAATATGGGAGAAATTGAAGCTAACCTCAGACTTCGTGGTTTTGGTGACTATTTGGTAGACCAAAGCAGGTTGCGCCTTTCCTTAAATTTTTGTAGTACAAAAGCAATGGAAAAAATATTTTATTTTAAAGACAAATTTTCATTTCACTCTCGTGGCGTAAGTTGGTGGCCTTTTGTTCAGCTCATAACTAATCGCCATTAAGTGACGTAAGCTTATATGTAAAATTCCGATTGATCGAGTCTTTCCAACCGAGAGGCTTGCCCTGAGTGTCTTTCCTCTACGAAGTCTACAGTGATAAACGATTTCAATTTGTGCTGGGTATGAATGACCTTAAAAATTACTTACCTCAATATTCTCAATGTAACAATTATGGCACCTTCTGTTCTGATGACTTTGGCGTCCTCTATATGCCTCCTAGTAAAAGATTGCAAGATTCTTACATATTCAGGATCCAATAACTTGCTCTTTCTCTCACCTCCAGAAATCGCGTTCAAGTACCTTAATTTTAGATTTGTGGCCTCACTATTTCAATCAATTTAGGACGGGGAAGAAATGGACAAGTGAAGGTCAATTTCCTGTTCCTTTCAAGGTCAAGATGGTCCAAACGTTTCCCAACCTCATGTTTCCCGCCATCCTTTAATTAAAGAGAATTGATACTGGGATCAGCAATTGTAGCCAATTTACGAAAAGATTACGACAACCTTTTAGGGGTACAACCACGTAAGTATGACGATTTCTCTATGAAGTAGTTTTTTGGGGTCAGAAAAATATAATTTATCACACAAAAGTGAGCGAAATATTCAAGCTTACTACAAATGTTATTGATGTTGATTTTAATTCTTATATTGGATGCTTGGGAACCGCGCTTTCAAAGTAAACTCAGAGTTGACCGCCAGTCACAGGAAGATCGAGGGTTTTTTCAAATTTGCGGACAAATAACATCTTCCGGGCATATTTGCTCGATATCTGAGCGGAAAAATGCCTGTTACGCAAATTTGTTATTCAGACAAGTACTTAGACGACCATTACGAGTACAGGTGAGCACAATTTCATGATCATGGTACTATTGTCTCCAATTCGACACGGGCGCGCTAGCGCGGACCCGCAGAGCGCTAGCATCACAGCTTTGATGCCACGTAGATCACTACAACTCACCCTAAGAATCTAAAGAGACTTTGGAAGGTGAATTAGTTAAGAGAATAAATGCACTCAGTTGTTTGAGCTTATCTGCTACATCATCTCAAGCGCATGGAGATGTGGCACTTAGTATTTGCTTGACGAGCAAGCCTTTTAGCATCTTAGCCATTCGGAATGAATTCGAATTGCCTTCGACTATCAGATGGTTAGTCACCATTCAAGGTGTTAATGATAGAAAAGATCCGCATTTATTGCAATCTCGTTAATGCAGAGTTCAATTTGCATGCAGCGCTAGTTTAATAAAGTGAGTGATACAGTAGGGTTTTATGCTGGAGGAGATTGGATCTTAATGAATGCATCGTACGCGCGATTTCCCACGAAAATTGCTTGGCGCGAGTTGTAAACAGCAATGGCGGCCGCAAATCAAATGAAAATTGGCCGGCGTTTTTGTTTTTAAAAGCTGAATGAGGCTATTTCTGTAATACAAAGAAAAAGTAGAGAGAAGTGAAAATTCGACTCACAAATAACTCAGGCAAAGGAGACATTAGGAGTGCAAAACCAATGGTGCACGCTAAAGGACTCTAACAAACTCTACCAAAGGACTCTACGTCATGGACTTGGTTTTTGAGATATCTTTCAAAAACTGAGTTATAGAGGGGCTTTTAGCACTGCCATACTGTTAGCATGCCAATGGATGAAGCCTGAGCAACACCCTTAAAAAATTTCCCAACAATAGTTTTAAACAGATCTTAAAACATTTGCCTGATGACAAGGTATACAGTCCTGCTGATATCTTTTATTTGTGAGCACTTATCATTAATTGTGAAAAACCCTTTAAAACCTTGTTAGGGTTAGGGTTCATTACTCATTTGTAATTTGCTCCTGTATCACAACATTGCACTCATGTCAAATGAAAAATGCACCTGTTTTTATGCCAATCAGAAGCATGCATCTTTTTTATTATATTATTACTTTATGAACAACACATGGTTGCATATGAAGTATTTTTTCTACTAGACATGTCATCCTTCCAAAAGATCTTGCGGAGTTTGTTCCCAAAACCCACTTAATGACAGAGAGTGAATGGCGAAACCTTGGGGTACAACAGTCTCCAGGGTGGATTCACTATCTTATTCATGAACCTGGTAAGTATTTTCCAAGCTGTCATGACAACTCAGTTTTCTTGTCTAAACAGAACCAGGTCAGAAACACATCATTGGAGCAAAACTGAAATAATCTGGTGATACTGTATTTCATTGAATAAGTGCCCACATTCTAATAAGCTCCCTCCCCCAAGGCTATAATGTCAAACAAGCACCTCGCTCCTCCCTCACTCTCCTAACTAGTAGGGATGCAATGAAAACCTTTTTCTATTGCCACTTTATCTATAACCTTTTAAGTGTCAACTTAAGCGGAATCATTTCAGGCGAATAGTTTCTTTTCCTTTTAGTCACCCTCAGTTATTTCCATCCTTGTGTGTTTGCAGAATTCCTGTGTGTGCATTACCTGTTCTTTTGATTTTTATCCTATTGCTGCATTAACTTAACAAGCCCCCCTCCCCCCTTTAGTCCTCAGTTAAGCACCCTCCCTCCAATGAGCACACCTCCTTTTAGCAGAAATTTTAAATAAGTACTCTAGCATTTATTCAAGGAAATACTGTTATTGCATTTGAGGGCCCCTTTCCTTCAATGAAGAAATTGATTTTAAAGAGCAAAACAGATCTTCTAATGCTAACATCACTGCAGAAGATAAGGACACCTTGGAAAAAAATAATGCTACTATTCATCGTCCTAAAACCAACATGACATTGTTGTTGTTGTTGTTGTTGTTGATACACTCCTATCTTGACTTTGGGTCAAAAATTAAGGTTGACATTATTTAGTGAAGGTTATCTACTTAAGACTGTCTCTTTCTCATATTTAGAGGAAATGTATCTGGCTATGGTAAAAAGTACTCGAATCAATGTATGAATCAGTTGTATGTAAGACAAGGTTGTACACTTTGTATGGCTGGCAGCCAGTGAACTTCAATGATTGGTTTAATTTAGCACAGTAGATACCCTATAGATTGACTGTGAAACTTTAAGACAAAGCCTTCTCAAACTGAAAGGCGACCCTGTGAAATTTGCGGTACATCTTGAAAGAAGCTATAGTTTAGTTTTGTTCTGATAAGATTTTCCTTTTATTGTTATTTTCTTGGCTTATCATGTTGTTTTCTCTTTTGCTCGCAGAGCCACATGTGTTGTTGTTTAGAAGACCCATCAGCTAGCATTCTTAAACGCAGGAGCTGGACAAATTTAGATATTGAAGTTTAATTCACTAGTGACATGGATGGGCAAGAAACCTTGTAGACATAGATCGGAGAAAGAACTGGACAGAACTTAAAACTAAGTAAAGGATCTTACCAACGTCCATATTGGTTTGAAAAGAAATTTGACAGACTGTTGGAGCAAAAGCACATTTAGTGTTACTGACCATCTTTTTGAAAGGAGAATTCTGTAACATGAGAATTTGAACACATCTTTTTTTTCCCACTTGATTATTATTCTTCAATTGTGCACATTTATAATGCATTTATTGAAGCCATGCCCCCTTGACATTGAAAACCAATCACAGAGCAGAACTGTCACACTAGATTCAGGGTAAGATGAAATTTAAAAAAAAAAAAACCTTGCTCCCAAGGCAAGTCATTAGGACTACTGAGGTTTAAATAGTCTCTGAGTTGGATTGTCAGGGGCTTTGGTTTCAGTAAATCTGCCATAGTATCAGTGATTCAGTTCTTTTGATCATGGCACCTGTATAATGATTTTCTTGGATTTTTATTACTTGTCCCTTTTTAAATGTATCAAGGATTTAATGAAGTACAAACAAAATGAAATTTGGAGACCTTTTCCCACTTACATTGTGAAAATGTAGTTTAAAATTACATTCTTCATATATCAACATATTTCTGCACTTGCACACCTTCAAAAGATTAATTGATTGATTTCAGTCCAAAATTAATGGAAAAGAATCCCTCTCCAAAATCTAAATAAGAATTACAAACAGAATAATCACTAAGTCAGGAAAAGAGATGTAAAGTTTATTAAACTGAAAAATAACTGAAATAACTTGATAATGATCAAAGTGGAAGGATTAGGTTATGGAGTGCAACCAAACGCGTTTGGGTGCCCTGTGCTTCTCCAGACTTCTCTAAGTGCTGCATTGTTCCAACTGCTTTTATCATATTTCTGAAAGAAAAGAAGATGGTGACATGTTAGCACAATTTGGTGTCTTGTAATCTCTATTAGCCAGACCTGGCCGATCAGAGCGGTTCGTTAATAAAAAGAAATTGCAAGGTAACTTAATGGCAAAGATCAAAGAGCCCACCCGTTTTTAGATCTGCGGGTCAACAGGAGGTCGGGTCTGACTACAATGATCACTTAGGGAACAAGGGAATGCGGAAGTTGTAGAGAGGTAGTCGTTGAAGGGGCTCAAAGGCATCATACGGTGCCAATTTTTGCGAGAGAAAGAACAGTGTTTTTCACGAAAAAGTGACAGGGGAAAGATATAAAAACTCAACACAACTGAAATTATATTCACCAAATTGATGTTTTAAAAAAACACAAAACATAAACACTGCTGTTGTGGCAAGTGGCCGCCGTAGAGGGGTTGAAGTAGGAGTGACTGTAAGGACTTTTTTCCGCGCGCGCTACGTTAAGTCTTTATTGCCAAGGCTAGTCTGTAGAATTGCTTGGCGCATCCTTCACTAAAGTTCATGTGCCGTTGACGTGCTTTTTGGAAAAAGGTTGGGGAGAGAGTTCTTTCTTTATCTCGTTCGAAGCTTGAACGAGCTGGGAGAAACATGGCGACAATCTTGGGTATTAATGATTGATAATGCTGAGCTACCTTGTCACTGTCATCTCCCTGACGCACGTTCACCACGTTTATCTCTGATAGACGAGGAAGACCTGGAGGAACTGAAAATCACAACATAAATTAACTTAACTAAAGGAGGCAGTTTGAATGTAACGAAAAATAAATTGATAAAAGGGGGTAAGTTTCTAAATAAACTATGGTGTTTCGTCAGTGGGAGAGTATAACAGGTAATTTAGTGTTAACAACTGAGTTTAAAACGTAAATTAGCTACCGTAAAGAGTTTAAAGGCTGACGTTTTGAGCGTTAGCCCTTCGTCAATAGCTCTGACGAAGGGCTAACGCTCGAAAGTCGGCCTTTAAACTCTTTACGGTGGCAAATTTACGTTTTAAACTCAGTTTTTAACACTAAATTACGAGAAATAAATTGGTCATACGCTAAGTTTCACCCTCAGATTATTTTTCCCTTTTCAGCGTAAAGGTACACGAGAACGACTTTGATTTTCATATACAATTTGTTTTAAAACTAAGTTTCAATTTTGTCTAGTCCATCAAGTGGTTTGGGACCGGGCGCTATTGTTTTCGGCTCTTCCAGTTAAAGGAAGTGTCCGTTACACCCCACTGCATAGAATGTACCCCAGAAGAGATTCTACGGCTTGATGACTAATATTTGCCGCTGTGGGAAGGAAACCGTTATCGTTGGCTTAAAAAGTGTGAAAAACGTATAGGTACTCACTTATGCCAACAGCCGGTCCGTCTGGTCCGGGTCGACAGGGATGATGGGGCGGCTTCTTCTTTTCCTCTCCCAGTACATACTGGGACGGGTCCTGGTAACTAAACCGTGAAGTGGATTGGAGGCTATAATGTATCGTTGGCGGGCCTCCTGTAGTAAGAAAATATATTGCGGGATTTAATGAATAAAAGGAGTAGTTTCTCTTTTTTAAGAGATTGCTATGAGCATAATGCCGCTTACACTGATGGTGTATCGAGACTATCGCGTCCCATCATTGTTACTATTACTAACTCGCCTCTTCAATATTAATTTCACGGGATTTAGCAGGCGCAGGGAATACGGAAGGTTTTACGTTACAGTAAGGCTATTGCAAAGTTGACGAGGAAGAAGATCTATTCAAGTTGCAGTCGATAGGAAGATTTCCCCATCCACGTTTCTTTATCAGCCTATTCTTCGAAGACTTTTAAGTACGACTGCAACTGACAATTTTAACCCAGCATGTTTGTCGGATACATTATAGAAAGAACTAAAGTGATTCACAGCTTAGGATACCCTTAGTACGGCAGCTAAGCCTAACTTCTTTTCAAATGCATTTGATGAAACAGGCCAAATGAACCTTAGCATCGTTCTTGATGTTTTGGTTTTACATCAGACGTATCAAAATATGAATTACAACTGGTGCTATGTTCAAACAATTCCACGCTTCTTGACCCTTTTGCAAGCCTGCAAGTGCTTGGTTTCACTTTTATCCATGAATTGTTAAATATTTTTACAATAATTATGAGAGTCAGCTCGTTGGAAAAACAAATCAAAATATCTAGCATAGATCAGCGATTCCTTGTGGTTATGACAAATATTTACCAGGAAAAACAGATACCTCGGTTGACATCGTGAGGCGAGACGTGTGATGCAGGCCCACAGGAGAAGTTGATCAAATCTGTTAAAGGATTATGATAATTCAGTGATAACTTAATGTAAACAAATAAGAATACAGCCAATATCAGACAAGGCCACCCTTAAATAAATGAAATAAGGTCCCTAATAGGAATTCAACAGTGTTGTAACACCACGAAATTAAGGAAGAGTATTTGACCGTTATTATAATCAAGCGTTTCTTGTCTCTTATATTTGTCAGTTATTTTGATCACATAAATTTCTTTGCAAGTGTTACCCTATCGAGCACAATTACTTCAACCATTAGAACGGTATTAATTTCAAATATAGAAATCGATTCAAGCTTATAACGTATATCCATGTAATGTGTACAAACAAAAATAACCGTTCAACACATTAAACTTATGATGGCATTAAAGATGCTGAAACATGTCTCTGAAAATTTTCCTCGTTAATTTGAAATTTATTTTATTTATATTGTTATCACAATGTTACGGAAGTATTATATATACAGTAAATGTAAAAAAAAATCATGTTTTGATCTGTAGGGAAGAAATGCGTTATTGAAGTCAACCTGTGAAGATCAATTCGTAACCTTTTTCCTTAAAACATGGTAGTGGTGGCTGGTGGGATGTAAATTCAATAAAGTAACTCTTGTATTAGAGCGTCTTTTAAGGGTAGGGATCGATCCCTTGTTAGAACTTTAATGTAATCCATTAAAAACAAATGCGTCACTCTGGTGATGGCTATGCGAGATAGGATTTTTGCAAAATAAAACATATAAGGGCTCAAAATACCAAGAATTGACACAAGGTAAATGTTTTAAAAAAAGTACATACAAGAAATTATAACTATTCCACATGAGTAGCTAATATGGGTATGTGCTGCCAAAAAAGAAGCAATTTTAATAAATTCCTTAAAATCTTTGCAAGAACTTAACTTCTTTCAAACTCACCCAAGTGTCCCAAAAGAGTTGGGTATCTCGAGCGTGTGTGGCGAAAGTCTGGATTCCAGATAGCATAGGGCTGAACAGGTAAAATCACACGTCAGCAAGTCAGTTTAAAAAAAAACAACAATTATCTTCATTTTGGATTAGGTGGCTTGACATTTTCACAAATGCGACTAATATAAAAGAGGTTGTTGTTGTGTCCGCAATTAACATACATAATTTTCATTTATTCAGAGTCGCTTATTTGTCACCTCACGGCTTTATTTGGAACCAACAAAAGCACCAGCTACCAGTTGGCTTGTTAGCTTAGTTGGTAGAGCACTGCATCGGTATCACAGAGGTCATGGGTTCAAATCCCGTACAGTAATGAACACTACTGCTCAAGTAGTGTTCATTACCGCGAAGATCGCTTTCATAGTCACTAAAAATCACTGCTGAGTATGATTTCCTTGTTTGGTGAAAATTCGCTGCCAAGCCTCGATTGTACTGCATTTTTCGTGTATCTCTGCCACCTTGTTGTTTTTTTCACTTTACATCCTTTTTATCTCAGCGTCTCGGAACTACTTCCACATCGATGTTTCGCCAGTCCGCATCTTAAAGGCGAGGCTTGAAACTAAAATTGGCTATTCTGGCGTAAACTGCAAAAATGTTCTTCGAAAGGCAGTCTGCTATAAGTTAATTAAGCACTCCTAAGATTAAGCTAAAAACAAACAAGTAAACAAATGATAGCGTTATTATGCACATTCCTGTGGTAAAAAATAAGGGAGTAAGCATACCAATATTTATGAGAGAACGTGTTTCAATAATAGCTTTTTCACATGACAAACATTTAAACTTTTAACATCAGAGCAAAATAGAAATAAAAATTGAAGTTTGCTCCGCTATCCAACAGAGCTCTACAGATACAGAGAGTAGAAAGATCTTCTCCGATATCGATCTCTTTTGCTATATATATCTTTCCACACTATCATTGAAACTGTGGTCATTTTATTACGACGCATTTAAAAAGCTTATTTTGAGCATGCAAGGAAGCAACTGAAGTTTTTTATAAAACATACAAAAACAGGACACCTTAACAGATTGACTGAACGTTTTACAGCTTACACTCCTCACTGGAGATCATATCAACCTCACGGGAATCACTCAAATTCAATGACTTCCTTAGATCATTTTCATTACTCTTCTTTTGGCTCTTGAAATGAATTTTGGCAGTTAATGAGACTATTCTGGGATAAAATACTGACCCATCGAACATTTAATTCGTTTATCGCTGATTGTCGATTTCCGTTTTCTTTGTTGTTGTCATAGTAGTCATGTACGCCTTACAAACCTATTTTTCCTTCACCTTTACAAGTCTTCCTTAGATCATTTTCGTTTTTCTTGTGATTTTGAATCTGACAACAAACACATGTAAGTTTATCGCAACAGCAAAAGGTAAGCCTCTTTTTGTAAACTTAGTGCCTACAATAAATCAGGAGAAATGATAAAAGAAACTAACAAAGAGCGTGGAGTAGGGTTTTAAAATGTGCTCCATACCTGAGCATTCGATTGAAGAGGGCTCTGATAAGCAAGACCTAACGGCTGTGGATTGTGACGTCTTGTAGGAGACAAAACACGTGCCTGTAGGTCACGTGGTTTGGTTTTTACTTGGCCGTGGTGTATAAGCGTGGTTGTCTTTCGCCGCCTTCTGAACAGCAACCCGACAGGCGCCATTTTGAGAGCTCAACTGCTCAATTCTTGCGCGTAATAGTTTGTTTTAATTTATGATGCAACAAGTTTTAATTGTAAGCGTCATTTTGCTTCATGACCGCTAATTAATTAGATTTCTATGCTGCGCGCGCGGTAGTCAACTGACAAATGAAAACATTGATTTTGCATTTTCTTATAGTGGACTGAGAAGGTTCAAAAGATAAAGAGGTGATTGATGACATTTTGTTTCTTCCGATGAAGTCTAAGCACTCCTCAAACCGTCACAGTCTCTGTGATTTCTAAGTTCCTGGCGAAACATTTAAGATGGACTTTACTGGATGATGTTAATGCAACTGTCTTGAATGACGTAACTTAGCCATCATAAAACTGCTGACACGGATATATAAAAGATGAATTCTGGTTAACTTGGTAACATCTCTTTTCAACCGAAAAACAGACTTTCAATAATTCACATCTAAGAGCAAGGGAAAAAAGGAATAAGATGGGGAATACTGAAAACGAAAACAAAAAAAGAAAAAAATCAAGGCATCCCCAGAAAAAAAAGTATTTTGAAACTTGTTCTTAAAAGTTGCTAAAACTTAACGAATTTTGTACTGGGAGCCTGGGTGGATCAGAATGAAAAACGGGGGACTTTCATTTATAATACCACTGTTGTTTGCCGACGGCGTCTCGGGCGCTTCTGTTGTTGCGCTATGAACGATATGGAAGATCCAGCCACCCTCCACTTCAATTTAATTTTCTTTACAGGTTTTGAATTAAAAGAATGTTAATTTGTACTCCCTTAACTTTTTACGCTTCAGAACAAGAAATGTACAATTCATCAAAAATGCGCCTTATTTTAACACTTTTATTTTTTTTAAAGTTTTTTCAACAGAGCTGTGTGAGTGTTAGGGCCCGTCAGCTTTTTCCGGGACCGGCTACCTTAACTGGGTCATTTAAAAACAGTTATTCACCATAGTGGAGGTTGATAGTCACAACTTATACTTCCACCGACTCTGATTGTTTGTAAAGGAAATAACATGATTTCGAGTGCAAGATGGTGTGTTAATAATAAGCACGAGAGAGTTTTTCAATGACGACAAAATTGAACAAACCCGTAAAGCAAGTGCAATTTCGACCTACGAAAAATTTAAAAGTGCTTATTTACACCAGGTTACACGAGAAATAATGTAATCACTTATTAATAATTAACATGAAAAAGCATCACAGAGAGTTAATACAGACGAAATTTGGACAAAGCGCACTTTGCACTCGTGTTACATGAACAATGCACTCGTTTTCGGCCAATCAGAAAAGCGTGTTTTTTATGTGTATTATCAGAGTTTAATATACCACACCGAAACCAAAATTTAGCTTACCTCTTCAATAGACCGAAGAATTGGTTGGAAATTAAACTCTTGACGAGCTATTTTGTCTCTGCGGTTGTTCGGAAGTTAATAGCACTTGCTAATCACTTCCGAACAAGCCAAACAGCGTGTGCGATAAGCTCTATTGATCTGTATGGTATATTCTTACCGGTACTTGCGTCATTTGTATTCTAAGCCCATTTGATTTTGAAAAAGATAAGTACCCTCTATAATGGTGTCTCTGATAACAAAATTTTGTCTCGTCATTCGAAGGAGCGATGTTAAACAAATCATACATGGAGATTGATCGTCCATTGAAATTTCTAGACATGTTTTGATTAGATGGCGAAACAAGGTTTTCACAGACTTGTTTATCTTCCACATCCATCTGTGTTTGCTCCTTCGAGAAAAATATAGGTTCCGTTGGGGCTTTTAAATTACTCTTCTTCGGAAAGCTTTCATCATAAAAAAATTGAAGGAGTTTTTGTGTTTTAATGTTGCTAGATCCCTGAAATTTCCAGCTTTGAGGAAAATCTGTCGACTAATCAATTCCATTTGTGGTTGGCTGAACTGAGAAAAAATTGATGTTTGAGACGTGCGCGTCACTTACCAAAAATCTTTCGTTGCCATGTCAATCTTAATCATCTAACGAAGGGATTTTTTTTTTACATCAATTTGATGATACCTGGTACTGTCCGTCATCCCCTAATATACTCTAATGATCTTTTTGCGATTCTATCATTAAACTTCACCAAATCTAAATCATCTAACGAAGGCTTTATATATATATATATATCTACTTGATGATATCTGATACTGTCCGTCATTCCTTAATATACTCTAATGATCTTTTTGCGATTTTATCATTACATTTCCCCAAAGAATATATTAAAACTTTTCCATTATATAGCACTTGGAGCCGTGCAGCGCGCGCCAAAAATGCTTCATCATTTTTTACGACGTTTTTTTGATTTGACCCCACCTCAACCTCATTGCGACTATTTTATTGTAATGTACTTTAATAAAAACTGGAAAACAGTTTATATTATCAGCTCTGTTTTGAAATTAAACGATTCAGCTGAATCTTAAAGTGATTATGCCACTCTTTTATAATTATCAGTTTTGAGTTTTGGCTCTGTTGACTCCTAAATTTTTCCCAAGAAAGAAACCTTAACTTACCGATGTACTGTTTTCGAAACCCGAGGTCGCCATTTTGGGGCAAAAGTGTAACGTTATTAATTATTTAAGTTGAACATTCTATTATCTATGCCCTTAATTTTTCTCTTTTCTGAAACGTCAACTACGAAAAAAGCTATGTAATTATAGCGTTCGCTGAACTGCACCCAAAACAGTTTAACTTTATAAAAATTGCTAAATGCAGATCTACTAAGATAACTGACTTGGGCGTCTTATAATCTCCCTCACTGCTTGTCGAACTCCTCTTAGTCTCCAGCAGTAGAGAATGGGATTTAATGATGAATTAAGTAAAGCAAGAGTGATTGTCAGTCGAGCAGCAACGTTAAACGATGAGTTGTAACCGCGAGTGCTCGCTAAAGCTATTACTATTCCAAATGGAAGGTAGCAGGTCACTAATGCTACCTGTACGTACAACCCAGTGCACACTGTCCTCCTGTACTTGGCAATGTTGAAAGCACTCCTTCGCACGTTCGATTGGTCATCTTGATCAGAGGCTCGCAGCGTATTGCAATATTTGCGTAGTTTAAGGTAGATCGTCAAGTAGGAGATAGCTGAGATTATTATTGTTGAAGATATGAATGCAGACATTACTTTGGTCATCAAAGCAAGCCTCCAAAACCGTCTCAGGCTGGCGAGGGAAATGTTCAAAAGCCAAATCCAAATAATCATCGTGCGTGTTCGCCTGAAAGTTATGACACTCTTGTAAGTCAATCCCAAACAAAGAGCACAAAGTCTGTCTAAACTTATTGCAGTTAAAATGAACAACGACACTCCACTTAGAGCTTTCCCAGCAACGTTATTGATGCTCACAAGAATGTAACAAAGCTGCAATCGCTGATTTGCTATCGACAACAACTGGACGGCAAACAAAGGTTGAGAAAAAACGCCAACACAAAAATCAGTAACTGCCAGGCATTGAAACATGAGTTTGGATGCTGGCTGAAGAGAAGAAATCTTTCGCAAGGCAAAAAAGATTACAGCATTTCCCAGAGACGCTGAAATGGCGAGGAGAAAGTTTAAAGCTGTTAGAGAAAACAAGAATTGGTTTCCTTTGGTTGAGGCGGCGCAGGTCACCGACAGTGTTACCTCGTAGATCCCATTCAAGCTAACATTCACCATTGTAAAATTTGCTTTCTTACACGTTCTTTTCTTCAGTGATCGAGATTATGTGGAATCAACTGCGACAAAGACAACTTTCTCAATACAATAATCAATATTACATTTTAGATACCCATATTCTAACAACACCTATTTATTCAGCAGTTGCAATGAATGACGCAGTATTTAAATTAACAGGTAAGAAGTCACGTTCGGCAAACGATGGCAAATAAGGGAATCACGGTATGATAAAATTTTAAACCCATCGATCGGTTTCATGAAGCTTAATTCGTAAATCCCCGTTTATGGGATGACAAACACCTCTAACAACGCAAAGATTTTCCTAGACTGAGTTATATGTGAGGCATGCCGAAATAGTTGATTGCTCATCGTGCTTATCAAATATCATTCTTTTTTCAGAATAATATTGGATTTTGATAATATCAGGCGCAGTCAATTATGCTTCACACTTATAACTTTGCCAAGACTACTGCCTTGCTTTTTACGATAGAAAAGGAAGTGGATAAACAAACTAATTAGTCATAATTTTATCTCGGTAAAATTCTGGATTTAACGAATATCCAGCTTGTTGTAAAATCAAGATTCGCTGTCAGTCTTGCGGATTAGTTGGTTTGGTAGTCAAGTGAAACCTTTTTTAACAGATATGAAGTTTTGAAAGTTTGCGCATTAGTTTTTCTTACCAAATGCACTCAGTTGTTTGAGCTTATCTGCTACATCATCTCAAGCGCATGGAGATGTGGCACTTAGTATTTGCTTGACGAGCAAGCCTTTTAGCATCTTAGCCATTCGGAATGGATTGGAATTGCCTTCGACTATCAGATGGTTAGTCACCATTCAAGGTGTTAATGATAGAAAAGATCCGTATTTATTGCAATCTCGTTAATGCAGAGTTCAATTTGCATGCAGCGCTAGTTTAATAAAGTGAGTGATACAGTAGGGTTTTATGCTGGAGGAGATTGGATCTTAATGAATGCATCGCACGCGCGATTTCCCACGAAAATTGCTTGGCGCGAGTTTAAACAGCAATGGCGGCCGCAAATCAAATGAAAATTGGCCGACGTTTTTGTTTTAAAAGCTGAATGAGGCTATTTCTGTAATACAAAGAAAAAGTAGAGAGAAGTGAAACTCACAAATAACTCAGGCAAAAGAGACATTAGGAGTGCAAAACCAATGATGCACGCTAAAGGAAGCAAGACAGCAGAATCTAGAAAAAAGTGTGAGCTAAAATCATGAAAACTGGAAATAAACCTTTCTAGATTGATAAGCTAGTATCTTGAAATTAGCTCGGTGACCCACCCTGATTTTCTGTGTACAAATGATATTACATGTTTGTAAAAAATTTAAAAAATAATAATCCAATGAATAATTTTTTACATCTTGAAACAGTGTTTTCCTAAATAGCACAAGCTCTGCGTGATAGTTTTTTTTTCTTGTATACCATGTATGGAAAAGAAATCGATGGGGCCATAGAAATTTAACAAAGGACTCTACGTCATGGACTTGGTTTTTGAGATATCTTTCAAAAACCGAGTTATAGAGGGGCTTTTAGCACTGCCATACTGTTAGCATGCCAATGGATGAAGCCTGAGCAACACCCTTAAAAAATTTTCCAACAATAGTTTTAAACAGATCTTAAAACATTTGCCTGATGACAAGATATACAGTCCTGATATCTTTTATTAGTGAGCACTTGTCATTAATTGTGAAAAACCCTTTCAAACCTTGTTAGGGCTAGGGTTCATTACTCATTTGTAATTTGCTCCTGTATCACAACATTGCACTCATGTTAAATGAAAAATGCACCTGTTTTTATGCCAATTAGAAGCATGCATCTTTTTTATTATATTATTACTTTATGAACAACACATGGTTGTATATGAAGTATTTTTTCTACTAGACATGTCATCCTTCCAAAAGATCTTGCGGAGTTTGTTCCCAAAACCCACTTAATGACAGAGAGTGAATGGCGAAACCTTGGGGTACAACAGTCTCCAGGGTGGATTCACTATCTTATTCATGAACCTGGTAAGTATTTTCCAAGCTGTCATGACAACTCAGTTTTCTTGTCTAAACAGAACCAGGTCAGAAACACATCATTGGAGAAAAACTGAAATAATCTGGTGATGCTGTATTTCATTGAATAAGTGCCCACATTCTAATAAGCTCCCTCCCCCAAGGCTATAATGTCAAACAAGCACCTCACTCCTCCCTCACTCTCTTAACTAGTAGGGATGCAATGAAAACCTTTTTCTATTGCCACTTTATCTATAACTTTTTAAGTGTCAACTTAAGTGGAATTGTTACAGGAGAATAGTTTCTTTTCCTTTTAGTCACCCTCAGTTATTTCCATCCCTGTGTGTTTGCAGAGTTGTTGATACTTATATCTTGACTTTGTGTCCAAAATTAAAAAATATTAAGGTTGACATTATTTAGTTAAGATTATCTACTTAAGACTGTCTCTTTCTCACATTCAGAGGAAATGTATCTGGCTATGGTAAAAAGTACTAAAATCAATGTCAGGGCTCGAACTTAACTTTTTTGTCTACTAGCAAAGTTTTACTAGTAAGATTTTTTTTACTAGCAAAAGAAGGAACCTAACTATTTTTTAGACTCGCAACTTCGAAAAACCACTTGCATTTCGCCAGTTTGCGAGTGCTAATTTCAAGCCCTGAATGTATGAATCAGTTGTATGTAAGACAAGGTTGTACACTTTGTATGGCTGGCAGCCAGTGAACTTCAATGATTGGTTTAATTTAGCACAGTAGATACCCTATAGATTGACTGTGAAACTTTAAGACAAAGCCTTCTCAAACTGAAAGATGACCCTGTAAAATTTCCGGTAGATCTTGAAAGAAGCTATAGTTTAGTTTTGCTCTGATAAGATTTTCCTTTTATAATTATTTTCTTGGCTTATCATGTTGTTTTCTCTTTTGCTTGCAGAGCCACATGTGTTGTTGTTTAGAAGACCCACCGGCTAGCATTCTTAAACGCATGCGCTGGACAAATTTAGATATTGAAGTTTAATTCACTAGTGACATGGATGGGCAAGAAACCTTGTAGACATAGATCAGAGAAAGAACTAGACAGAACTTCAAACTAAGTAAAGGATCTTACCAACATTCATATTGGTTTGAAAAGAAATTTGACAGACTATTGGAGCAAAAGCACATTTAGTGTTACTGACCATCTTTTTGAAAGGAGAATTCTGTAACATGAGAATTTGAACACATCTTTTTTTCCCACTTGATTATTATTCTTCAATTGTGCACATTTATAATGCATTTATTGAAGCCATAGCCCCTTGACATTGAAAACCAACCACAGAACAGAACTGTCACACTAGATTCAGGGTAAGATGAAATTTTAAAAAAAAACCTTGCTCCCAAGGCAAGTCATTAGGACTACTGTGGTTTAAATAGTCTCTGAGTTGGATTGTCAGGGGGCTTTGGTTTCAGTAAATCTGCCATAGGTATCAGTGATTCAGTTCTTTTGATCATGGCACCTGTATAATGATTTTCTTGGATTTTTATTAATTGTCCCTTTTTGAATGTATCAAGGATTTAATGAAGTACAAACAAAATGAAATTTGGAGACCTTTTCCCACTTACATTGTGAACATGTAGTTTAAAATGACATTCTTCATATATCAACATATTTTTGCACTTGCACACCTTCAAAAGATTAATTGATTGATTTCAGTCCAAAATTAATGGAAAAGAATCCCTCTCCAAAATCTAAATAAGAATTACAAACAGAATAATCACTAAGTCGGGAAAAGAGATGTAAAGTTTATTAAACTGAAAAATAACTGAAATAACTTGATAATGATCAAAGTGGAAGGATTAGGTTATGGAGTGCAACAAAACGCGTTTGGGTGCCCTGTGCTTCTCCAGACTTCTCTAAGTGCTGCATTGCTCCAACTGCTTTTATCATATTTCTGAAAGAAAAGAAGATGGTGACATGTTAGCACAATTTGGTGTCTTGTAATCTCTAACCATTAGCCAGACCTGGCCGATCAGAGCGGTTCGTTAATAAAAAGAAATTGCAAGGTAACTTAATGGCAAAGATCAAAGAGCCCACCCGTTTTTAGATCTGCGGGTCAACAGGAGGTCGGGTCTGACTACAATGATCACTTAGGGAACAAGGGAATGCGGAAGTTGTAGAGAAGTAGTCGTTGAAGGGGCTCAAAGGCATCATACAGTGCCAATTTTTGCGAGAGAAAGAACAGTGTTTTTCACAAAAAAGTGACAGGGGAAAGATATAAAAACTCAACACAACTGAAATTATATTCACAAAATTGATGTTTTAAAAAAACACAAAACAAAAACACTGCTGTTGTGGCAAGTGGCCGCCGTAGAGGGGTTGAAGTAGGAGTGACTGTAAGGACTTTTTTCCGCGCGCGCTACGTTAAGTCTTTATTGCCAAGGCTAGTCTGTAGAATTGCTTGACGCATCCTTCACTAAAGTTCATGTGCCGTTGACGTGCTTTTTGGAAAAAGGTTGGGGAGGGAGTTCTTTCTTTATCTCGTTCGAAGCTAGAAAGTTCATGTGCCGTTGACGTTCTTTTTGGAAAAAGGTTGGGGAGGGAGTTCTTTCTTTATCTCGTTCGAAGCTTGAACGAGCTGGGAGAAACATGGCGACAATCTTGGGTATTAATGATTGATAATGCTGAGCTACCTTGTCACTGTCATCTCCCTGACGCACGTTCACCACGTTTATCTCTGATAGACGAGGAAGACCTGGAGGAACTGAAAATCACAACATAAATTAACTTAACTAAAGGAGGCAGTTTGAATGTAACGAAAAATAAATTGATAAAAGGGGGTAAGTTTCTAAATAAACTATGGTGTTTCGTCAGTGGGAGAGTATAACAGGTAATTTAGTGTTAACAACTGAGTTTACGCCACCGTAAAGAGTTTAAAGGCTGACGTTTCGAGCGTTAGCCCTTCGTCAATAGCTCTGACGAAGGGCTAACGCTCGAAAGTCGGCCTTTAAACTCTTTAAAATATTTGCCGCTGTGGGAAGGAAACCGTTATCGTTGGCTTAAAAAGTGTGAAAAAAGTATAGGTACTCACTTATGCCAACAGCCGGTCCGTCTGGTTCGGGTCGACAGGGATGATGGGGCGGCTTCTTCTTTTCCTCTCCCAGTACATACTGGGACGGGTCCTGGTAACTAAACCGTGAAGTGGATTGGAGGCTATAATGTATCGTTGGCGGGCCTCCTGTAGTACGAAAATATATTGCGGGATTTAATGAATAAAAGGAGTAGTTTCTCTTTTTTAAGAGATTGCTATGAGCATAATGCCGCTTACACTGATGGTTTATCGAGACTATCGCGTCCCATCATTGTTATTATTACTAACTCGCCTCTTCAATATTAATTTCACGGGATTTAGCAGGCACAGGGAATACGGAAGATTTTACGTTACAGTAAGGCTATTGCAAAGTTGACGAGGAAGAAGATCTATTCAAGTTGCAGTCGATAGGAAGATTTCCCCATCCACGTTTCTTTATCAGCCTATTCTTCGAAGACTTTTAAGTACGACTGCAACTGACAATTTTAACCCAGCATGTTTGTCGGATACATTATAGAAAGAACTAAAGTGATTCACAGCTTAGGATACCCTTAGTACGGCAGCTAAGCCTAACTTCTTTTCAAATGCATTTGATGAAACAGGCCAAATGAACCTTAGCATCGTTCTTGATGTTTTGGTTTTAAATCAGACGTATCAAAATATGAATTACAACTGGTGCTATGTTCAAACAATTCCACGCTTCTTGACCTTTTGCAAGCCTGCACGTGCTTGGTTTCACTTTTATCCATGAATTGTTAAATATTTTTACAATAATTATGAGAGTCAGCTCGTTGAAAAAGCAAATCAAAATATCTAGCATAGATCAGCGATTCCTTGTGGTTATGACAAATATTTACCAGGAAAAACAGATACCTCGGTTGACATCGTGAGGCGAGACGTGTGATGCAGGCCCACAGGAGAAGTTGATCAAATCTGTTAAAGGATTATGATAATTCAGTGATAACTTAATGTAAACAAATAAGAATACAGCCAATATCAGACAAGGCCACCCTTAAATAAATGAAATAAGGTCCCTAATAGGAATTCAACAGTGTTGTAACACCACGAAATTAAGGAAGAGTATTTGACCGTTATTATAATGAGGCGTTTCTTGTCTCTTATATTTGTCAGTTATTTTGATCACATAAATTTCTTTGCAAGTGTTACCCTATCGAGCACAATTACTTCAACCATTAGAACGGTATTAATTTCAAATATAGAAATCGATTCAAGCTTATAACGTATATCCATGTAATGTGTACAAACAAAAATAACCGTTCAACACATTAAACTTATGATGGCATTAAAGATGCTGAAACATGTCTCTGAAAATTTTCCTCGTTAATTTGAAATTTATTTTATTTATATTGTTATCACAATGTTACGGAAGTATTATATATACAGTAAATGTAAAAAAAAATCATGTTTTGATCTGTAGGGAAGAAATGCGTTATTGAAGTCAACCTGTGAAGATCAATTCGTAACCTTTTTCCTTAAAACATGGTAGTGGTGGCTGGTGGGATGTAAATTCAATAAAGTAACTCTTGTATTAGAGCGTCTTTTAAGGGTAGGGATCGATCCCTTGTTAGAACTTTAATGTAATCCATTAAAAACAAATGCGTCACTCTGGTGATGGCTATGCGAGATAGGATTTTTGCAAAATAAAACATATAAGGGCTCAAAATACCAAGAATTGACACAAGGTAAATGTTTTAAAAAAAGTACATACAAGAAATTATAACTATTCCACATGAGTAGCTAATATGGGTATGTGCTGCCAAAAAAGAAGCAATTTTAATAAATTCCTTAAAATCTTTGCAAGAACTTAACTTCTTTCAAACTCACCCAAGTGTCCCAAAAGAGTTGGGTATCTCGAGCGTGTGTGGCGAAAGTCTGGATTCCAGATAGCATAGGGCTGAACAGGTAAAATCACACGTCAGCAAGTCAGTTTAAAAAAAAACAACAATTATCTTCATTTTGGATTAGGTGGCTTGACATTTTCACAAATGCGACTAATATAAAAGAGGTTGTTGTTGTGTCCGCAATTAACATACATAATTTTCATTTATTCAGAGTCGCTTATTTGTCACCTCACGGCTTTATTTGGAACCAACAAAAGCACCAGCTACCAGTTGGCTTGTTAGCTTAGTTGGTAGAGCACTGCATCGGTATCACAGAGGTCATGGGTTCAAATCCCGTACAGTAATGAACACTACTGCTCAAGTAGTGTTCATTACCGCGAAGATCGCTTTCATAGTCACTAAAAATCACTGCTGAGTATGATTTCCTTGTTTGGTGAAAATTCGCTGCCAAGCCTCGATTGTACTGCATTTTTCGTGTATCTCTGCCACCTTGTTGTTTTTTTCACTTTACATCCTTTTTATCTCAGCGTCTCGGAACTACTTCCACATCGATGTTTCGCCAGTCCGCATCTTAAAGGCGAGGCTTGAAACTAAAATTGGCTATTCTGGCGTAAACTGCAAAAATGTTCTTCGAAAGGCAGTCTGCTATAAGTTAATTAAGCACTCCTATGATTAAGCTAAAAACAAACAAGTAAACAAATGATAGCGTTATTATGCACATTCCTGTGGTAAAAAATAAGGGAGTAAGCATACCAATATTTATGAGAGAACGTGTTTCAATAATAGCTTTTTCACATGACAAACATTTAAACTTTTAACATCAGAGCAAAATAGAAATAAAAATTGAAGTTTGCTCCGCTATCCAACAGAGCTCTACAGATACAGAGAGTAGAAAGATCTTCTCCGATATCGATCTCTTTTGCTATATATATCTTCGTACTGGCGTATATAAGTTTTCCACACTATCATTGAAACTGTGGTCATTTTATTACGACGCATTTAAAAAGCTTATTTTGAGCATGCAAGGAAGCAACTGAAGTTTTTTATAAAACATACAAAAACAGGACACCTTAACAGATTGACTGAACGTTTTACAGCTTACACTCTTCACTGGAGATCATATCAACCTCACGGGAATCACTCAAATTCAATGACTTCCTTAGATCATTTTCATTACTCTTCTTTTGGCTCTTGAAATGAATTTTGGCAGTTAATGAGACTATTCTGGGATAAAATACTGACCCATCGAACATTTAATTCGTTTATCGCTGATTGTCGATTTCCGTTTTCTTTGTTGTTGTCATAGTAGTCATGTACGCCTTACGAACCTATTTTTCCTTCACTTTTACAAGTCTTCCTTAGATCATTTTCGTTTTTCTTGTGATTTTGAATCTGACAACAAACACATGTAAGTTTATCGCAACAGCAAAAGGTAAGCCTCTTTTTGTAAACTTAGTGCCTACAATAAATCAGGAGAAATGATAAAAGAAACTAACAAAGAGCGTGGAGTAGGGTTTTAAAATGTGCTCCATACCTGAGCATTCGATTGAAGAGGACTCTGATAAGCAAGACCTAACGGCTGTGGATTGTGACGTCTTGTAGGAGACAAAACACGTGCCTGTAGGTCACGTGGTTTGGTTTTTACTTGGCCGTGGTGTATAAGCGTGGTTGTCTTTCGCCGCCTTCTGAACGGCAACCCGACAGGCGCCATTTTGAGAGCTCAATTGCTCAATTCTTGCGCGCAATAGTTTGTTTTATTTATGATGCAACAAGTTTTAATTGTAAGCGTCATTTTGCTTCATGACCGCTAATTAATTAGATTTCTATGCTGCGCGCGCGGTAGTCGACTGACAAATGAAAACATTGATTTTGTATTTTCTTATAGTGGACCGAGAAGGTTCAAAAGATAAAGAGGTGATTGATGACATTTTGTTTCTTCCGATGAAGTCTAAGCACTCCTCAAACCACAGTCTCTGTGATTTCTAAGTTCCTGGCGAAACATTTAAGATGGACTTTACTGGATGATGATAAAGCAACTGTCTTGAATGACGTAACTTAGCCATCATAAAACTGCTGACACGGATATATAAAAGATAAATTCTGGTTAACTTGGTAACATCTCTTTTCAACCGAAAAACAGACTCAATAATTCACATCTAAGAGCAAGGGAAAAAAGGAATAAGATGGGGAATAATGAAAACGAAAACAAAAAAGAAAAAAATCAAGGCATCCCCAGAAAAAAAAGTATTTTGAAACTTGTTCTTAAAAGTTGCTAAAACTTAACGAATTTTGTACTGGGAGCCTGGGTGGATCAGAATGAAAAACGGGGGACTTTCATTTATAATACCACTGTTGTTTGCCGACGGCGTCTCGGGCGCTTCTGTTGTTGTGCTATGAACGATATGGAAGATCCAGCCACCCTCCATTTCAATTTAATTTTCTTTACAGGTTTTGAATTAAAAGAATGTTAATTTGTACTCCCTTAACTTTTTACGCTTCAGAACAAGAAATGTACAATTCATCAAAAATGCGCCTCATTTTAACACTTTCATTTTTTTTTAAAGTTTTTTCAACAGAGCTGTGTGAGTGTTAGGGCCCGTCAGCTTTTTCCGGGACCGGCTACCTTAACTGGGTCATTTAAAAACAGTTATTCACCATAGTGGAGGTTGATAGTCACAACTTATACTTTCACCGACTCTGAAGTGTATTGTTTGTAAAGGAAATAACATGATTTCGAGTGCAAGATGGTGTGTTAATAATAAGCACGAGAGAGTTTTTCAATGACGACAAAATTGAACAAATCCGTAAAGCAAGTGCAATTTTGACCTACGAAAAATTTAAAAGTGCTTATTTACACCAGGTTACACGAGAAATAATGTAATCACTTATTAATAATTAACATGAAAAAGCATCACAGAGAGTTAATACAGACGAAATTTGGACAAAGCGCACTTTGCACTCGCGTTACATGAACAATGCACTCGTTTTCGGCCAATCAGAAAAGCGTGTTTTTCATGTGTATTATCAGAGTTTAATATACCACACCGAAACCAAAATTTAGCTTACCTCTTCAATAGACCGAAGAATTGGTCGGAAATTAAACTCTTGACGAGCTATTTTGTCTCTGCGGTTGTTCGGAAGTTAATAGCACTTGCTAATCACTTCCGAACAAGCCAAACAGTGTGTGCGATAAGCTCTATTGACCTGTATGGTATATTCTTACCGGTACTTGCGTCATTTGTATTCTAAGCCCATTTGATTTTGAAAAAGATAAGTACCCTCTATAATGGTGTCTCTGATAACAAAATTTTGTCTCGTCATTCGAAGGAGCGATGTTAAACAAATCATACATAGAGATTGATCGTCCATTGAAATTTCTAGACATGTTTTGATTAGATGGCGAAACAAGGTTTTCACAGACTTGTTTATCTTCCACATCCATCTGTGTTTGCTCCTTCGAGAAAAATATAGGTTCCGTTGGGGCTTTTAAATTACTCTTCTTCGGAAGGCTTTCATCATAAAAAATTGAAGGAGTTTTTGTGTTTTAATGTTGCTTGATCCCTGAAATTTCCAGCTTTGAGGAAAATCTGTCGACTAATCAATTCCATTTGTGGTTGGCTGAACTAAGAAAAAAATTGATGTTTGAGACGTGCGCGTCACTTACCAAAAATCTTTCGTTGCCATGTCAATCTTAATCATTTAACGAAGGGATTTTTTTTTACATCAATTTGATGATACCTGGTACTGTCCGTCATCCCCTAATATACTCTAATGATCTTTTTGCGATTCTATCATTAAACTTCACCAAATCTAAATCATCTAACGAAGGCTTTTTTATATATATATATCTACTTGATGATATCTGATACTGTCCGTCATTCCTTAATATACTCTAATGATCTTTTTGCGATTTTATCATTACATTTCCCCAAAGAATATATTAAAACTTTTCCATTATATAGCACTTGGAGCCGTGCAGCGCGCGCCAAAAATGCTTCATCATTTTTTACGACGTTTTTTTGATTTGACCCCACCTCAACCTCATTACGACTATTTTATTGTAATGTACTTTAATAAAAACTGGAAAACAGTTTATATTATCAGCTCTGTTTTGAAATTAAACGATTCAGCTGAATCTTAAAGTGATTATGCCACTCTTTTATAATTATCAGCTTTGAGTTTTGGCTCTGTTGACTCCTAAATTTTTCCCAAGAAAGAAACCTTAACTTACCGATGTACTGTTTTCGAAACCCGAGGTCGCCATTTTGGGGCAAAAGTGTAACGTTATTAATTATTTAAGTTGAACATTCTATTATCTATGCCCTTAATTTTCTCTTTTCTGAAACGTCAACTACGAAAAAAGCTATGTAATTATAGCGTTCGCTGAACTGCACCCAAAACAGTTTAACTTTATAAAAATTGCTAAATGCAGATCTACTAAGATAACTGACTTGGGCGTCTTATAATCTCCCTCACTGCTTGTCGAACTCCTCTTAGTCTCCAGCAGTAGAGAATGGGATTTAATGATGAATTAAGTAAAGCAAGAGTGATTGTCAGTCGAGCAGCAACGTTAAACGATGAGTTGTAACCGCGAGTGCTCGCTAAAGCCATTACTATTCCAAATGGAAGGTAGCAGGTCACTAATGCTACCTGTACGTACAACCCAGTGCACACTGTCCTCCTGTACTTGGCAATGTTGAAAGCACTCCTTCGCACGTTCGATTGGTCATCTTGATCAGAGGCTCGCAGCGTATTGCAATATTTGTGTAGTTTAAGGTAGATCGTCAAGTAGGAGATAGCTGAGGTTATTAGTGCGGAATATATGAAAGCAGACATTACTTCAGTTATCAAAAGATACTTCCAAAACCGTCTCAGGCTGGCGAGGGAAATGTTCAAAAGCCAAATCCAAATAATCATCGTGCGTGTTCGCCTGAAAGTTATGACACTCTTGTAAGTCAATCCCAAACAAAGAGCACAAAGTCTGTCTAAACTTATTGCAGTTAAAATGAACAACGACACTCCACTTAGAGCTTTCCCAGCAACGTTATTGATGCTCACAAGAATGTAACAAAGCTGCAATCGCTGATTTGCTATCGACAACAACTGGACGGCAAACAAAGGTTGAGAAAAAACGCCAACACAAAAATCAGTAACTGCCAGGCATTGAAACATGAGTTTGGATGCTGGCTGAAGAGAAGAAATCTTTCGCAAGGCAAAAAAGATTACAGCATTTCCCAGAGACGCTGAAATGGCGAGGAGAAAGTTTAAAGCTGTTAGAAAAAACAAGAATTGGTTTCCTTTGGTTGAGGCGGCGCAGGTCACCGACAGTGTTACCTCGTAGATCCCATTCAAGCTAACATTCACCATTGTAAAATTTGTTTTCTTACACGTTCTTTTCTCCAGTGATCGAGATTATGTGGAATCAACTGCGACAAAGACAACTTTCTCAATACAATAATCAATATTACTTTTTAGATACCCATATTCTAACAACACCTATTTATTCAGCAGTTGCAATGAATGACGCAGTATTTAAATTAACAGGTAAGAAGTCACGTTCGGCAAACGATGGCAAATAAGGGAATCACGGTATGATAAAATTTTAAACCCATCGATCGGTTTCATGAAGCTTAATTCGTAAATCCCCGTTTATGGGATGACAAACACCTCTAACAACGCAAAGATTTTCCTAGACTGAGTTATATGTGAGGCATGCCGAAATAGTTGATTGCTCATCGTGCTTATCAAATATCATTCTTTTTTCAGAATAATATTGGATTTTGATAATATCAGGCGCAGTCAATTATGCTTCACACTTATAACTTTGCCAAGACTACTGCCTTGCTTTTTACAATAGAAAAGGAAGTGGATAAACAAACTAATTAGTCATAATTTTATCTCGGTAAAATTCTGGATTTAACGAATATCCAGCTTGTTGTAAAATCAAGATTCGCTGTCAGTCTTACGGATTAGTTGGTTTGGTAGTGAAGTGAAACCTTTTTTAACAGATATGAAGTTTTGAAAGTTTGCGCATTAGTTTTTCTTACCATACAAAAATGATTGCCCAACATTAGGGATAACGTTTCGAACCGGTTGAGATATTATACGGATTTTCTACTGACCTCCCATCTGCGCCCCAAAGGGGCACGTTCCGAGATCAATTCTGGGAAGATTTGCTTTCCATCGCTTCAGGTAGTTAGGGTAGAAAGAGAAACAGGAAAGGCAAAAACAGATGTAAGAATTAAAATTCAAGTGAGCTTTTAATGCACATTACGCCATTCATATGTAAATAATATGAAGGTTGGCGGCCCGAGAGCTCTCTTACTTGGACCGCTTAGTGTTATGGGTTACAAAGAAATTTGATGAGGCTTTGTTTGCGCATTTGTTATCTTAACAATACAACATTTTACTTCGTGAGACTTTTAGGCTTTATACCATTGTAAAGCTTATACATTCGAACCTGTATTAAGCGGCACTTTATCAAGCGGTAAATCACTCACTGCATGTAGTAAGCGGTCGGTTGTCAAAGTCTCGAGTTTTTTCCCCCTTAATCACTTTAATTTTCGCCTCTATTAAACGGTCACCTCTATTAAGAGGTCCTGGTCTTCTTTGATTGAGTCCCAACGGCCTTTCTGTTTTGTCTTCCACCTGTATTGAACGATCGGTAAAAGCGGAACCTCTTAAATAAAAACTCAAAATAATATTTCAAGTAAATTTCAATCCACGTTTCTCTCCTAAAACCAATTTTAGTCGTCAATTATAGCATAAAATGACTCTTTATTACCGCTATTCTGTGGAACCTGTAATAAACAGTCAACCTTTATCAAGTGGTCATCCCGCCATTCCCCGTGTGTGACCGCTCAGTACATGTTGATCGCTTAATGCATTAAAAGTTTGATTGTATAACGCTAAATGAGTCGCAGTTCTTCCATTTTAAATCCTACGATATTCTGATTTGTCTAACTGAGTTTGTCATTCGTATTCTTTGTTTTATTCATTTTTCTGTGTTTCTTTGTCATCGTTTTCTCGATATTGCTGTATTCTTTGGTCATCCATTCGTTGTCTCTATCTTGGTTTTCTCCGTCTTTGTTTACTTTTTCTTTTGCTGTTCGTCTTGGTTTTTTATATCTTGCTGTATTTTCCATCCTCCATGTCTCCGTCCTCGTATACACCTTTTTGCTGTATATTTTCATGGTTGTTTTCTCGGTCGTTTTGTATTTCTTCTTCTTCCATTTGTCCATCTTGGGGTGTTTGTTTGTCTTCTATTTCTTCATCGTTGTTCTCTTTGTCTTTTTGGATTATTTCAACCACTCTTTTAAAATGACCGTTATCACTAAAAGATCTTCTTCGCCGGACAGAGAGTCTTTTCCATACAGGGATTTGTGGTTTTCTAGACCTTCTTCGTCTTCTTCTCCGGCGCCCCCTAAGTATTTTGGTATTCTGCCTTATTAATGTTTTGCTTTGTGCACCTCCATCTAGAAAACTTGCTTCAACAAAACCATGCTCTTGAAGAGCGTTATCATCTGTGTCAGGCAATGGTGCCTCTTCAACGGAATCTTTTTGTTCTGCTTCGTCCTGTACAGTGGTCATCAAGCCTTCAAGTCTTTTCTCCATTTTCGTCCGCTCCTCTTGATTCAAGTCGTTTTCTCCCGTTGTGCTGCGGTGCGGTTCAGCGACCATCATGTAGAAAAATGGCAAAACGAGGAACCCGTAATGGAACAACATCTTGAATCACCTACCAATTAACAAATTGGAAGCAAATAAAGAGAGCAGATTATTTTACCACAACTTTAGTACACTTTCATTGATACAGATGCGACTGTTTCACTAAAATTTTATTATCGCGTTTGCTAGAGAGCGATAGAAACGATGAAAGGGTATTTAGGCAAAGAATATGAAAAGTTGACGATAAATGCATAGAGTGTTCACGCAATCGACGCTTTTCATGGTAAATCCAGTCAATTTGATGAAGAAAACACTCTTGTAGTTTGTACATGAGTCATTTACATGGGTAAACCCGGACTTGTAAATGCAAGGATTTAGTAAAACAATATTCCACACTAGAATTTACGCGTGTATCTCGAGTCAGTATACATGTGTAAATTACAATCGTGGACTTCAGAGAGGGATCTCAATAGGGTGATCATAGGATTTTACGGCAAACGGTTGATTTATTTCTGTTAATTTTAAAAGAAATAATTTTCACGTTTTATTTCAGCGTTTTATGACTGTTAAAATTTGTCAATTCTTCCCCCTAACGGCTAATTTTTGTTTTGCCATTTTACAGTTAATGGTTAACCCAATTGAGAGCCTCTTTTACTGTCCGTTTGAATTTAAGTCTATTTTTTACATATGCAATTAAAAATCGCTGTTGTCCTTTCAATATCTGCGGCTTTGCTTCATTTCTCACTTTTATTTTTGAAAGAATCATTGAGCAAGTTATCCAAATAGCAGAAGCTGCTCTTGGCTCAGATCGCGAGGGAACACATAATGATAGTTTTGGCGCCATTTTCGTCGCCAGTGACGAAGAAGGCGAAGCAAGCAGCATGGGAAAAGATTCGCACGCAATCAAACGGCGTCAGTGCGTCGTTCACTAAAATCTGTTAAAAGAGGAATAAAAGAAAATATCAAGACAGAGTATTGAGGTGAACTTAAACTCCTAACCGATGTATCAACCGACATAATACACACGCGCACATGGATTATGGACAAGCTCAGGTTATGGACCCACCTTATGCAAAGTTTTTTTACAAGCTCCAAACACCAATTTGTCGTCGGACAGCTAGTTTTCTATCTTAGCTGGGCGTGAGAAACGCTGACGCTTAAATAAACTGTTTTGATAAGATCACTTCCCGAACCGCGTGTTTGATTCAAGCCAATGGGCTGAGTTTTAATTGGCTCGCGCAGGTGAAGTCTGACGATAAGAGTCATTAGTTAAATTCATAGAATGATAAGCATTGGCTGGAACGAGATGAATTTTTGACGTTATCAACTTTCGTTAAACGTTTCATGTGAACTTATGGTCGAGAGTTAAAACTCTAAGCGTAAGTGATTATGGTAGAGTCAAAAAATAAAATAGATAGAAACGTTAACTAAGTAAAAATATCTAAAAATTATCAAAAATTGTCTCATACTGAATGATCGAGTGTTACCCAGGTAACAAATTACCGTTATTCTGTGCTTCATTAGTCTTGGTAGGATCAGACATCTTTAATTTTCTATACAACTTTGCCATAATAATAACCCTCTCAAATCCAATTAGGTGACTATTCAAGCTGGCATTTCTTTTCCACTGGTTGATGAACCTAATTTTGCTTAAGAGCTTCCAAGAAAATCTCTGAAAATAGCTTTTCTACACTAAGATGTCCAAGTTGTCACCAAATCTTTGAAGAAGCCCTGAAGCATAACTTTCCTTCCCCAAGTCTTCAAGCAATCCAGCCTCAAAGAAGAGATTTCGTGGAGAGAAAATATATATTTAGTTACAAGTTACAAGGCAATGATTTTTATCACACTGTTGTCATAGTAAAGCCTCAACGTTGCAAATGATTTTATCACACAAAAGGGTGAATAGAGGAATAATTCTTTGAGAAAAGCAGGTCATTTAAATGGTCGAAAATAATGGAAAATTAACAAAATCCTTCGTTGTTGTGAAAAAATATTTAATGCAAATTGATCTGATTAAGTAGTGTGTGTGTTCATACAGCAAGATTTTTCATTATGAATGTTTTTTAAGTAGAGGGAAAATTATTAGAAAATAGCGATTTCTAATGATGTCCCCCTCCCTTAATACTAACAATTTTAGGGCTAGATCGGTAAAAAATAGTTTGAAAATGCATAAATTCAGGTTTATTTTATCGAATTATGGTGTTTAATTTTAGAAGCGTTCATTTAGAGCTCTCTACAATCTGTTTCAGGTAATCCAAGAAAATAAAGGAATTTTTAAATGAAAAAATATTGCAGATTACCTGAAAAAGATTGCAAAGTGCTCTAAACGACCTTTAAGTAACATGGGTTCCCTCAACATCTTAAGAGAAATCGTTTGCGTTGGTAAATAGGTTCGTTAAGGGAGCGATGTCCGAATGGCAAAAGAAAAAGAAGTGGCTGCTGTTGAGAGGTCACTCTTAGTGGAGGTCCGACTTTAAGTTAAGATTCTCTAGTATACTTGAGTAGATTAAATGGGTAGGAGAGTTGTGAGGCTAAAAAACAGAGAATCATCTATCCAACATATGCCAACATATGGGTGATTAAATAAAAATGCATAAATTCAGCGTTCGAATATTTATTGAAAGCCACTCCCTCTGGGTGATTAAATAAATCGCCGTTGAGTTGCTATACCAAAATTTACAACGCCTCGTAATTTCCTCTCTTTTCTTTCCAAGAAATCTCTTCCCTTTCATTTAAATAAGGGTGCATTGATTGGCTTTTAAGTTTGGGGAAAGGTAATCCTGCTCAAGGCTTCTTCGTGGCTTTGGTGACATTTTGGACACAATAGATTAGATAAGATATTTTTCAGTGATTTTCTGAAGCTCTTCAGCAAAACTGGGTGCATCAACCAGCATGAAAGAAATGCCTGCTTGAATAGTCACCTAATTGGGCTTGAGAGGGTTATTGTCATGGCAAAGCTGTACAGAAAATTAAAGATGTCTGACTAATGAAGCAAAGAATAACTGTAATCTGTTACTTGGACAATTCCGGGTCACTTTGTATTTGACAATTTTTGATAATTTGAAGATATTTTTACTTAGTTAATGTTTCTATCTATTTTATTTTTTTACTCTACCATTATTAATTACGCTTACAGATGTAAGCTTATTTTGACAACATTCAAGCTAGAATAAACTGTCCACTGCCTCCTTGTCATAAATTGGAATGGAAGCCACATTCGATATCTTGTTAGGTTTAACTTAATACAGTTCAGTGGCGATCTCTATAAAAGGGCGGCCGAGGGCATTTCGCATAGGAAAAAAGTTTTGCCTCAAACTTTACCCATTACACTATCTTTGGTAGTAAGTAAATAAAACTTCATTGGTTTTTAGAAATGCGTTAAGAAAAAACTTCGAGAGTTCTCAATGATCAAAGCTGCAAAAGGCGTCGGCGATGCTGTCAATGCATGCAGTGAAAACTTGCACTGGATCTTGGACATTCCTTCTCGCTGATCTTAAGTCCTGTATTTCTCTGCTCCCATCAAGTGCAAACACGCTGATAGCGTGGAAGAACTAGGGTAGAATTGCGAGCAAACAATGACGTTATTGCTGCCACCATTCAGGTGGGAGAAGTACACAATTGAATTATGTGACTAAGTCACTGGTCAAAGTGAATTTCAGGTTGTGCCGTTATAGATTACGAGCAGTCCCTCCTTTTCGGCGAAATCCGTCTCGCGAGTCAGAAAAAAAATAAAAAACCAAAGCTCTTGAAGTGAGGCACTAACATTAACTTTTTCTTCCGTGAATTTTTCGACTCGCGCAACGCACTTCGCCGAAAAGGAGGAACTGCTTGTTGAGTCTAATACTGTTATCGTCGGTCATGCTGAACAAAATCTTGTAGTTTGGTTCTGAAATGTTCATTCAGGCTTGAATAGCTTAAGCTCTCTAAACTCAAATATGAAAGAACAGAAACCAATTCTTCAAAAAGACTTTCTCACTAAAACGTTGACCGAACGCTGATCAATATGATATTAGATACGAGACAGAATCATTTGCCAGATTTTAACCGTTTAAAATGTTTAGAGTATCAATCAGTGTCAATCACTGTGTTCTAAAAGCTCTACCTTATGATCTTTTCTTTTAAAAATGGTTAAAATCTAAGATTTATGAAGCCACCAATATAGAACGGTCGGAATTTGCTCAACAGACTAGTTTGCATAATTCTGCTGTCACGTTAGCAAAATAACCAAAAGTTTGAAGTCACTACGGCAAAGGAAATCAATAATTACAATATGTTTTTACATTTCTATGCTTTTGATCATCTTATCAGAAAAAGTCAACCGGATTTTTTCATTTTCCAGTCTGGACTTGAGAAATGTCACCCAAGAAAGAAAGAGTACTTTTGACCAATTCCAGAAAGCTGTCTAACGGGTGTTTTTAAATAAATTATGGCGAAGCTCTGAATAAACACGTACCAAAATTGAAATCCTTTTAAAATTCCTTAGATATCACAAAATTAAGGAAAACAAACAATTCTTGCTGCATGCACTGTGTTAAGAGGAGCGAGCTTGCAACTTGAAATTTTCGATGTCGCAAGAGGTCAAAAAAGGGCCTTTTGCAGCTTTGATTATTGAGAGCTGTCAAAATTTTTTAATAAAGAAATTAATGTGGCTTTATTTACTTACTACCAAAGATAGTTCAATGGTCAAAGTTTAAAGCAAAAATGCTTTTCATCGTGAAATTGCCTGGACCGCTCTTACAGAGATCGCTACTTATTTTGTCGGAGTGATTGGAGTTACATTTGATCTTAATTTATAACCTTCTGTCTTGTAGACATCGAAAAGCAAACCTTCAATGACATCTTCAGTGATCCCTGCGATGAAAATTCTATTGACGCCTTTCTCGAGAATAGTGGTGACAATTTTAGGAATGATTGCTGCAAGTAATAAAATAAATCAGTGATAATCCAAGATTTTGTTCGATCTCTAAATCGCTGTTCTTCTCCTAGTCCTTGTCCTCGCCCTCGCCCTCGATCTCCACCTTGTCCTCGTCCTAGTCCTCGTCCTCGTCCTCGTCCTTGCCCTTGTCCTTGTCCTTGTCCTTGTCCATATCCTTGTGCTTCTGCTTCTGTTTTTCCTTTTTCTTATCCCTGTCTTTCTCCTTGTCCTTTTCCTTTTCCTTTTCCTTGTCCACATCCTGCTCCTGGTCCTTGACCTTGTCCGTCTCTTTGTTCTTCTCCATGTCCTTAAACTTCTCTTTCTCCGTCTCCTTGTCTTTGACTTTGTCTCCCTCCTTTTTCTTGTCCTTGTTCTTGTTCTTGTCCTTGTCTTTGTCCTTGCTCTTGTCATTGTCTTCGTCCTTGCCCTTGTCCCTATCCCTGTCCCTGTCCCTGTCCTTGTCCATGTTCCTTGTCCTTGTCCTTGTCCTTGTCCTTGTCCTTGTCCTTGTCCTTGTCCTTGTCCTTGTCCTTGTCCTTGTCCTTGTCCTTGTCCTTGTCCTTGTCCTTGTCCTTGTCCTTGTCCTTGTCCTTGTACTTGTACTTGTACTTGTACTTGTACTTGTACTTGTACTTGTCCTTGTCCTTGTCCTTGTCCTTGTCCTTGTCCTTGTCCTTGTCCTTGTCCTTGTCCTTGTCCTTGTCCTTGTCCTTGTCCTTGTCCTTGTCCTTGTCTTTGTCCTTGTCCTTGTCCTTGTCCTTGTCCCTTGTCCTTGTCTTTGTCCTTGTTCTTGTCCTTGTCCTTGTCCTTGTCCTTGTCCTTGTCCTTGTCCTTGTCCTTGTCCTTGTACTTGTACTTGTCCTTGTCCTTGTCCTTGTCCTTGTACTTGTCCTTGTCCTTGTCCTTGTCCTTGTCCTTGTCCCTTGTCCTTGTCCTTGTCCTTGTCCTTGTCCTTGTCCTTGTCCTTGTCCTTGTCCTTGTCCTTGTCCTTGTCCTTGTCCTTGTCTCTATCCTTGTTCCCGTCCTTGTCCTTGTCGTTGACCTTTTCCTTGTCCTTTTTCCTGTCCTTGTCCTCGTCCTTGTCCTTATCCTCGTCCTCGTCTTCGTCTTCGTCCCCGTTTTTTTTAAAGTTATTTTCATCATTACTTTTATGATCTTTATCGTCACTGTTATTATTTTAAAGAAAAGTTTAATAATGTTCAGAAATAAAAAATGCGTGGTCATTTAGTATGTAGGAATTGACGCATAAACATTTACCGCAGAGCTAACGCTTCCTTGAATAAGACTTTTCATGCATTTCCCAATTTTGTTTGTTCTTTTTAAAAACTTGATTAACAGCAGTCATTTGATCAAAATACTTTGATAAGATTAATTCTCAGTTTTGTAACCAAATTAACAGCTCAATTGAATAAATATAAAGTGTAATTTGCAATTTAAGAAACCCCGTTGTGTTCATATGACATAGTTTTGGAACCGAAAATAAACACGAGCGTCGTTTAATTGTTCTTATTCTCTTATCACTCTTATCTCTATTTTCGTCAACAATTGAGTTTGCTTGACAAAAAAATCATTATTCACATGTCATTATTTGTTTTAAATGAATGTTTTAATAAATTTGCACTTGAACGCCAGTAAAAAGTTCACCAATCAAAGGAATCCATAACGATCTCCAACAGTGTAAAAACGCAAATGCATCCAAATAAAGCTATTAATTTTTCCAAAGCCTGCAAAACTTAATAAGAATAATTAGGTGACAGATGTGAATCAGCATAGGAGTTAGGTTTAAATTGTGTCAAAGCAGCTCGGAAGCGTGACTTTCAGAGGAAACCTCATAGCAGCTTTAATTTGTCGTTGCGTTCGACGACATGATTGCCCCGCATTCAATACAACCTGCCGATGTTTTTTCGGAGGATCCAAGTGAAGACCCAAAAGATTTCAGCAAACCACTGCTGAAAGTTATCGATGAAATATACAGTCCGGTGTTAAAACTTATGAGGCTGTTCGGCTTGTATCTTGGAGATACAAGTTTGAAACGTTTGGCTCATACCTCTAGTTATTACAGACAACCAAGCATTCTTGCGAGTATTAATTGTTGTGTTATGGTTGTTGGGTTCTGGTTCAATGTTGTGATGGCCTTTGTTGCTATTTTTTGTGGAGATGATATGTACACTTTCATCTTGTTAGGCTTATGGTGCGTATTAATAGCACTCAACGCAACACTTTGTCTACTTGTACTTTGTGTTCCCTTCACCGACACAAGAAAGTCCAGATTTGGCTATTTCCTCATGAAGTTATGTTCTATTAAGACCACTGCCAGTTTAGAAAAGGTAAAAACCAAGTCAATCAGAGGCATCATTGTGTTTGGATTCGTCTTCATTTTCTCCACGGCTGGAACCTTGATGGTATACCTTCTGCTGGGAATAAACATGGCTCACGGTAAGCCCTGGAGTCAGTGGTTTGGATTTGAAATAGTCTCCGTCGTTTTCCTCATTGTTGGCTGTGGAGCGTGGTTACTGCCAGTTCTTTTTTACTGCATAACTTGCTGGATTCTGGAAGCATTGTTTGAAGACTTACACCAAAGAATATCGCCCCTGCATCCAATTACTTTGGATCTAATAGCTTTTAAGATGGAGCATCAGAAGCTTTGTGAGGTGGTTAGCTTTGCGGACAAAATGCTTCGCCTTCCTGTGTTTGAGATGGTTTCTGTGTATCTTCCTCTAATTTGCTTCAACTTTTATCAAGTGGTCAACTTACCTCCTGGAGATAAATATATCTCCCTTATCAGTACCCTCTTTTTTCTGCTGTTTGCTGCGTGTTCCCTGGCAATCATCATAGTATTTGGGTCAAAGGTCAATGAACAGGTAAAGGAATTTCTTTAGGAGATTTTAGTCATAGTGAAGATAGAGTGGTAGCTAGTAGCCCTATTAATATTATTTCTAAAGTTTGCGTAAATATGTTATTTAGCTTCACCAAAAATTCACCAAAATTTCTTATTAATGCTTATCCTATATCTTGCCTTAAGACTGAATTCAGCTCTATAATCTTTTAATTGTTTCTCTTCTTTCTTTACCTATTTGTTTATCCAATCACTCCAGATTCACGGCTTTCAAAAGGATCTAGAGGCATTTCCAGTATCAAAAGACGAGGGAGTAAAGGTGATTTACGCCTACAATAACAATGCTTTCACATATAAATACGATGTCGATGGATCTCCGCTCAGCTTTCTCTGTGTCTCTCTGTACGCCTCTGTTTGCCTGTAGTTTCATAACCGACCTGTTCATTATAGATGTGATCTATCCCAGCCAAATATAAGAAATAATAAAGTAAGTGAATTAGATAAGTAAGACCGGAATCTTTCAAGGGACAAACTTTCTGGACTTATATTTTAGTTGGTGATGTTTATGCTGGAACTGCAAGGTGAATCAAAGGGTCTTTCTATTGGTGGACTGGCGGTGATCAACAAATCAATGTCTCTAACAGTAAGTTCTCTGCTATCTCACTTGACGGTCCTTTTACTCTTCTCACTGAACAGAACAGTTAAAGAAGATTTTTAACTACAGATGATGCATTTAATTCCATAACATTTTTTGGTATTCTGTTCTAATTACGAGCCATTTCGTTTTTCTCTTTGCTAATGACATATTTCTTGTTCCAGATTGTCGGAGTGCTTGTCTCCTACTTTGCATTTATGTTGTCCCTGCCAAAGCCATGATTTAAAAAGGAAAAGTAGTACAACAGAAAGAGCCGAGTCCAGTAACAGGGTTATTTAGAAGAGACAAACAATTTCTACCAAAGTATTCTTTTCAGAATCAGTTGATGATTATATCAGTAAAAAATTCCAATTACTTCATTCGAGCAATTCTTCAGTGCGTATTGAAGCTGTTCAAAGTTCTGATTGGCTAGAAATGAAAGTATTTCTCATGTGAAACGGATGCAAATTTGTAGCATGAGTGTAGATTACAAGCAGGCCTCCCAAGTTTACAGGTTAATTAAGCATTATAAACTGAAATGATAATGTAAATTGGCTGCCTTTAAGAGTTTAGCTGCCGTTTCGAGCGTTGGCCCTTCATTAGAGCGAAAGGCTGACGCTCGAGACGTCGGTTTTGAAACTCTTTACGGTGGCCAATTTACGTTATCAACTCAGTGGATAATACTAAATTACCCTGTTATACTCTTCCACCGACGCAGCACCACAGTTTCTGTAGAAATGTATCCCTTTACGCCCAAGTTTACTCTTGAATCACTTTTTAATGATGGTCTTGCAAAAGTTTTTATTGGAAAAATATTGTGACTTCTTTCAATCAATCATTGGAATAAGCTTTATATGCAAAATTAAAGCGCATGCTTTAAAACCTCACCTGTTTTGATTTTCTTTCTTTCCTTCTTTCATATATTATATTGTTAATAAGTGATCACATAATAACTCGTGGGAGGAAGCGCCTAATTTTTTAGACTACGAATTGCCACACGGGCTCGTACCATTTTGTTAGTTTGAAAAATGCAGTCGTTCTTCTCTAAACCAAGTTGCACTAAAAATGATGCGGTAAATCTTCCAAATGAATATCGATACTTCATCATCGTAAGCCGAACAGTGAGTGAGAGTGACTTGTTATCCTTACGTGAGTTGATTCAGAACATTCGTCATGAAATATTGGCATATTTCCCAAATGTGATTCAAAATCAAGACAAACAATAAAACTAACTTCAGAGAACTAGAACATTCTCGATTAAAATCAAGTCTTAATTGTGTAATTCTCTAAGGACTCCACAGCCTTTTATACCGACCGAACGATGGAAATTAATAAAATTCGTGTTGCGACAGGGACCCTGCTGCAAAGGCATCGCATATTTCTTTCATTAGAGATGGACCTTTTTCAAAATAATAGGTTATTCACCCGTTTAGCTTTTGAGGAAAGTGTCTCAAAGAGAGGTACAACCAGTTATCACTTTGGAAAGAAAAAAGCCTGTTAAAGAATGATGGACAAACTAATATTCCGTGCATTCATACAGCAAAGCAATTTCAAGCTTCAGGTAAAAACATCTCCCACGAATATGTCTTGGTGGGAAGCTCTTCGTGGCTCCTCACCATGCTGGTGAATTCGTGCCGGAGAAATGTTGATGGTGCCGTTTTCAGGTTCTAAGGGATTTCATGCTGTTTAAACGTCTAAAGTGTGGTCTACAAAAGGAAAAGATATCTTGATATTACGAGTACTTTCAGACTGTAATCAGAATTACAATTCCTCAATTTCCGAAGTTATCGAGGCTGATGTTTCATCTTTGGATCAACGGGGTCCTCGTCAATCTGGCAAATTTTTACAGCATAGTATAAATCATTTTCATATCATTACTTGACTCCTGAATTTGATTGAGTGAAAATCATACATTCAATTCCCACTGTTAATTAATTTCAATCACCTCCATTTTATGACCAACAATTTTGTGTCCGGATAGAATAATATTGAAATGTTCCACCTGTTTTACAACAACACAATGAAGATTTCTTTCCCTTTTTCAATGTTTCTCTGATATCTATTGAGTTTCACCTAGGTGACAGAAGTAACAAGTGGAAAGGGTAACATATAAATTTTACATATGGCCTCAAAAAGTAGTGCACAGTGCTGCCCTGGCGACATGTTCAAGAGGCCTTTTGTGTTGAAGATAAAATAACTAATGAACTACGGTAAATATTATACAAAGAGGGTACATATAATCATTTTCTTCTGAAGAAGGAACGATGACATTAATTTCTTCAAAACTTACATTTGGGGTTTTTACTTCCATTAGTTTTCATTTTGCACTTTATAACAGTTGTTGGCATTTTTATTTCAAAAACAAATGCAGCTATTTCATCAAATAAAATAATTTCCTTTCTTAAAAGAAATCAACCATATTTCAATGACTGAACAATCAAATGAAACCTAATTGTTTTTTTTGAAAGAAAAGAAACCAATTTGGTTCATAGGATAAATCATTCCTATATTATTACTTGACTCCTGAATTTGATTGAAAAAAGAAACTAATTTGGTTTAATTAATCAGTTTTTTCAAAAATTGTTGTTTACGAATGAACCGTCAAATGAATCTCTATTACCATTTTTTCGAAAAGAAAAACCAACTGATTTCAACAAGCTGTCTTTTTTTATGGAAAAACTCACTTTCCCTACAATGAACGACGGAATGAATCTTGGTTGCTTTTTCGAAAAAGAAAGAAACCAGTTTATATAAACTTGCCAGTTTTAAAAGAGGGCAATTAATTTTTCGAGGTTATAAGAATCCAAAGGTAAAAAAAAACAAATGAAAGTGAGTGAATCAAATTCCAAAGTTGTCTGTGTATCCCAGGGCGCAGGAGCAAAGCGTTACTTCCAAAGTGAAACTGATTAAAGCAGCTCCTGAGATTGAGTTCGACGACATGATCACCCATGTCCATTAAAAACTACCATAACTGGTGTTTCGTCAAATGATTCAACTCAAGACCAAGAAATTGTCAATAAACAAGCAGTCCAAATATACAGACTTTGTACTATGGCGATGCAAGTTTAAAAACTTTGGTGCACGCATCTTGATATTTCAGACAACTGATCATTCCTGCGAGTATTCTTTGTTGCATAGTAATTGCTGAGTTTTCTTTCAATGCTGTGGTGGGCTTTGCTGCTATTTTTTGT